CCATATAGGTGCGTGTTATAGAGCGAAAAATACGGTAATTAAAACACTTTTAAAGCACATGTCTTCCCCCAAAGAAACCTGGGAACTGAAGCCCTTTGAGGGGATAAACTACAGTTCCCAGGATTCTTTGGGGGGGGGAAGACATGTGCTTTAAATGGATGGTGCGAACACCACCTAAGTCTGGATGTAGTCATTCGCCCCAGAGACAATTCCATAGGATTGTATCGAACTAAGTTCTACTCAAATGTAGACCCATTGAAAGTGGTGGACATAAACTACTCATGTGCATTAAGCTCAATGGGTCTGCTGTGAGTAGCATTGGATACCACCCAGAGATGGAAAGAAGATAAAGTCCTTACCAGAGAAGAATGGCAGATCAAGTTGATGGATTATGCCAAAATGGCTAAAATGACTGGAAGAATCAGAAATCAGGAAGATCAAAATTTTAATAAGGAATGGGGGAAATTTATAACTTATCTTAAACACCATTGTAAACAGTTAAAACCATTACAGTGGTACCTCGGGTTACATATGCTTCGGGTTACATACGCTTCAGGTTACAGACTCCGCTAACCCAGAAATATTACCTCGGGTTAAGAACTTTGCTTCAGGATGAGAACAGAAATCGTGCAGAAGCACGGTGACAGCAGGAGGCCCCATTAGCTAAAGTGGTGCTTCAGGTTAAGAACAGTTTCAGGTTAAGAACGGACCTCCGGAACGAATTAAGTACTTAACCCAAGGTACCACTGTAGTAGGTTCGGAGTATCACTTGTAGTTTAATGGCGAATTTTGGATACAATGGAGAGATAAAAAATATGGATTATTATAAAAGATGCAGGAGGAAATGATTATCAATAGGACCCACAAAGGGGAGGAGGGGAGTCCAAGAGATTTCTTGGAATCTTGTTTTTATGTTGTATGTTGAATATGTGACTGTAAAGTTTTAATCTGAAAAACCAAATAAATAATTTTTTAAAAATAATAAAATTGGATACCACCATAGCAAATATATCTATTTCAAGGCCTCGTGCCGGATCTCTCAACTCACCCGCTGCCTGTTAGCAAAGAGAAATATTAAAAACGAAACAGACACCTGAGGGATGTGCCTGGTTTCTCTCCCAGGAGCCAAAGGTTAGGAGTTCTGTGCCCTGGGCAGTGGGAAGATGGAAGTGCCCTTCTTTGCTGTCCCTGGCACAGGGCGAGAGAGGGCTGTGTCAGTCACCCACCGTGCCATCCCGAGAGCTGGAGACAAAGGCCGTGGTTGTGAGCAGGCATGAGTCAAGCAACGGCTACCGTGCGCACCAGGGTGATTCATTGCGAAGACAAAGGCTGCAGGGACTGTTTGCCCTGGCTACTAAGTCATAGCAGTTGGCAGCAGAGAATTGACCTATTGTCTCCAAGAGAAGAGCGTGGATGTTTTCTGCGCGCTGGAGGGGCCTGATAGTTTAATTGACCCCAAAGGCATTCTGGTTTGAACCAGCTGCCTGGATCGCTCCTGCGTCCACCCCCTGCCACATTATTTGTAAATAAGCACAGACATATAGCGGGGAGCTGGGGAACCTGCGGCCCTCCAGGTGTTGTTGGACTACAACTCCCATCAGCCTTGGCCATAATGGGAGTCTTGAGTCTACAGCTCCCAAGATGTGTTGGGGGCAGCTGTGTGCTTTCAATTTATGGTACAAATCTGACCTAGTTCTTATTGTCCATGAATCTCCATTCACCCTGCCTTGTTGGCTGCTTGGAAACGTGTTAGTTTTCCTGATAGCTAGTTAATTCTGTGTTTCCCGTGTGGTGTAGTGGTTAAGAGCAGTGGACTCGTAATCTGGTGAACCAGGTTCGCTTCCCTGCTCCTCCACATGCAGCTGCTGGGTGACCTTGGGCTAGTCACACTTCTTTGAAGTCTCTCAGCCCCACTCACCTCACAGAGTATTTGTTGTGGGGGAGGAAGGGAAAGGAAAATGTTAGCCGCTTTGAGACTCCCTAGGGTAGTGATCAAGTGGGATATCAAATCCAGACTCTTCTTCTTCTTTCCGTTTTCTTTTGAAATGCAGTCTCCCATTTTTTTTCTCTCTCTCTGCTTCGTTCTTAAATTGATGTGCTTAACTGGAACTCTGGAGGTGAAAAATGCCACCCCACAGACTGTGCTGGGCACACATTGGCTGCTGCCAGTCAGAGTAAATGGTAGAAGGCTGTAAATGGTACCAGGCTAGATGGACAAATAGTCTAACATGATATAAGGCAGCTTCCAATGAACTGAATCTGGTCACCCTAGTTCTGCCCCTTAACCTGAAAGCAGGGATGGAAGGAGCTATCAGTTTCAGTTCTCTCTTTCCCCCCATATTGAGTTAAAATTCTCCACATTTTGCAGCAATTTTTTAAAAAACCCTCATGAAAATTCTTTAGCATTTTTAATTTTTTTTGCAAATTTCTCCTAACAAAGCACATTTTGTATGCAGTTTTGACTGGTGTGCACTTTTTTTGCAAGCAATTTCCCTAACATGCCTTTTAAAATACTATTTTCGCTTAAATGTTTGTTCTTCTGTACACATCTTATGTAATTCACTTAATGTGTGCATTTCTTTGTAAACATCCTTTGGTTGGGAGAACTGCATTGCACGATTTGGGTCAGTGCAGACTTCAAAGGATGGCTGTGACTCATTGTTTTGCAGCGTGTGGATTTTATAGATCTGCCTTGAAACGTGAACTGAATTAAATTCGTGCTCTCTTCCCCCGCCCCTCAATCTCTACCTGGAAGTGCAGCCAGTTAAAAAGGGGGATGGGAAAGCCGGTCGCACTTGTGGAAGACCTTGTGCTGTGTTCAGCCAGTGCAGCTGATTAGCTGGATCTATTGTCATCATGAGTCCCTTGGAGATGTCATGGACGGAATGGTCCAATCCTGGGGAAGAATGGGAGGAGCTTGGGGAGTTGATGCCTGACCACCCTGGGGAGGGTCCCAGAGGGTTGCTTGGAGAGGGAGTGTTGGTTGCCACTGAACTCACTGGGTGATTGTACCTGCACCTGCACCCCAATCAAAATCTGTGGATGAGTGCCTTATACCACAGTGCCCTCTTGTGTTGTGTTGGTGTGCTAACGTGAACATGAATCCCCTCATCACAGCCTCCATTGTGGACCAAACTACTTATTCCATCAGTGGGGGGACCTGTGGCTCTCCAAATCTTGTGGGACTCCAACTCCCCTCAGTTCCAGCCAGCAGGGACAATGAGAGCTGAGGTCCAACATCATCTTGAAGGCCACAGATTCCCATGTTAATCACACTGCTACGAAACGTGCTTAAAATCTCCTATTTCGAAAGGAAAGCAGCCTGATCCTGATTCTTCTGGAATCTGCCCTGGGGCTATTTGCCCTTATAGATCATTATGTGGTAAATAGCATCTTTGGGGAATAGTAACAGTGGGTAAGCAGGAAAGTGGTGCAGGGCCTTGATCTGGAACGTGAATCCTGTGCGGTTTCTTTTCTTTCAAAATTGGCAGTGTTAAGCGCACCTTTTTTAAAAGGTGATTAATGCAATGTGTGGTTTGGCTCACATACTTGATACAGCACAGCTTCTCCTGGTACCAGAGGAGTAGCGGTCCTTGGCCATGGGTGATCAAGGACCTGTTACTATTTCTGCAGCAAGGCCCCTGCCTCCAGCATCCTAGACCAGGCATAGGCAAACTCGGCCCTCCAGATGTTTTGGGACTACAGTTCCCATCATTCCTGACCACCGGTCCTGTTAGCTAGGGATGATGGGAGTTGTAGTCCCAAAACATCTTGAGGGCCGAGCTTGCCTATGTCTGTCCTAGACCCTCCCAGTCAACATGACAAGGGAACCCTTGGGCAACTTAAAGAACTCTTCTGGCCCTCTGCTCTGATTGGAGACAATCAGTGTGAAAGGACATGAGTTAGCCGCTGAAGACTGGCTCCTAGGGTCACTCGGGAGAAGGTGTACGGGAAGTACACGGAAGAGGAGTTCTGTGTGCTCCAAAGCTAAGCATTTAGGGACACTGAAAACACAAGGTGCTTCAAAAGAAGGATGTGCAAGTTCTGTTACGTGCCTTGGAAAACACAGCTCCGAAAGACGATACTGGAGCTTTCCAAACCATTTGCCCATGTATGTGCACAGAAAATAGCTGATCTTGCTGAAAGACAACACATGGCGATCTGCATAGATTGTTGCAATGCGTCCCTAATAATTATTATCATTGCATAATCTTAAGAAGGTTGTATAATCTTAGAAGAGGTGTGTGCCTGTGAACAGCTGAATTTGCAACTGCAATCCTGCCTGGGACGAGGGTGGCACTGTGGGTTAAACCACAGAGCCTAGGACTTGCCAATCAGAAGGTCGGTGGTTCGAATCCCCATGATGGCATGAGCGCCCATTGCTCGGTCCCTGCTCCTGCCAACCTTGCAGTTCGAAAGCAAGTAGATAAAAGAGCAAGTAGATAAATAGGTACCGCTCCGGTGGGAAGGTAAACGGCGTTTCCATGCGCTGCTCTGGTTCGCCACAAGCGGCTTAGTCATGCTGGCCACATGACCCGGAAGCTGTACACTGGCTCCCTCGGCCAATAAAGCAAGATGAACGCCGCAACCCCAGAGTTGGTCATGACTGGACCTAATGGTCAGGGGTCCCTTTACCTTTACTGTCCCAGCTCCTGCCAACATAGCAGTTCGAAAGCATGTCAGTGCAAGTAGATAAATAGGTACCGCTGCGGTGGGAAGGTAAACAGCCTTTCCGTGTGCTCTGGTTTCCGTCACGGTGTTCCGTTACACCAGAAGCGGTTTAGTCATGCTGGCTACATGACCCGGAAAGCTGTCTTTTGAGAAACACTGGCTCCCTCGGCCAATAAAGCGAGATGAGCGCCGCAGCCCCATAGTTGCCTTTGACTGGACTTAACTGTCCAGGGGTCCTTTACCTTTTTTACTGTATAGCATCACTCCAACCAACACAGATTTCAAGCCCTCCCCTCCCTACACACAGCTCCAGGGCTCAAGACTGACTCCGAACGTATTGCTAGTCAATATTTTTTATTAGTCAGCAATCCATGCCCTGCTTTTCTGGGATGTCCAAGAGGCTGTCTGCATCCCAGTTAGACCATGGTGGTTCCGGGTTTCCTGCGGCAGGACTGGATGATGCTGAGGAACATCAGGAAAACAAGGAACATGGAGAGCCCAACAATCAGTGCCTCGATGATGGAGTAGGTGTGGCCATGCTCCCCAGAGACTGGCACGACTCCAGAAGAGGCGACGATGAACTTGCCCACCAGGTGTCCGTTGACATAACACTGGTAATAAGCCCCATGCGATTCGTTCTGGAAGGAGAGACGCAGGATCCCGCCACCGGTGGCCTTGTCCAGGCTCTGGGAGCTATTCTTCTGGAGAAGTTCAAGGCGGGTCAGCATGGTGGGGCCCGCTTGCCAGTACACAGGACTGAAGAAAAGAAGGGGGGAGAAATTGGGTTGGCATTGGATGGGGGGGTGCAGGCAGGCAGCCTGTCCCAACATTTTGCAGACAGAAATGCAGGCTGTTACTGTCCAGTTAGCATCCTAGCCAATTAACTACAGATGCCTGAGGTGATTACCGTATTTTTTGCTCTATAAGATTCACTTTTCCCCTCCTAAAAAGTAAGGGGAAATGTGTATGCTTTCGCTGCACAGTGATCCCTCTTGCTGTTCTGGCTTCTGGGATTCAGTATATTTTTTTTCTTGTTTTCCTCCTCCAAAAACTAGGTGCGTCTTGTGGTCTGGTGCGTCTTATAGAGCGAAAAATACAGTAATTCATTGCCTTAGTCAAGGATGCTTTTTAAATAAAGTAGGCTGTATTGAACTAAATTACAGCTCTCATTCATGATATACATATACAGTGGTACCTCAGGTTACAGACGCTTCAGGTTACAGATGCTTCAGGTTACAGACTCAGCTAACCCAGAAATAGTACCTCGGGCTAAGAACTTTGCTTCAGGATGAGAACAGAAATTGCACGGTGGCAGCAGCGGAAGGCCCTGTTAGCTAAAGTGGTACCTCAGGTTAAGAACAGTTTCATGTTAAGAACGGACCTCCAGAACAAATTAAGTTCTTAAGCCAAGGTGCCACTGTAAAGCACTCTTCTAACACTTTAACAGTCATGGGAAGAAAGTTTGCTAAGGGTGTTGGGCATTTCTGAGAGGGAATTTCCTAACAACGTTCAACAGCTTTAACTTCTGTTCCCAGAATTCTTCCCAGAGGGAAGCCACAGCCTTTAAAGTGGTAAAAGAGTGCTTTTAAATGAATTGGTGAACCTCCTTTAGTCATCTCCTTTATTTTCAGTGGGTCTACCCTGAGTAGGACCAACATTAAATACAATCCAGTAATTCCAAGCATAACTTACTTTGTTTCTGATAGGGATAGGGAAACTTCACACACACCCCAACACAACATGACCCCAAACTGGGAAACCCTATTCGAGGTCTGCAATCCCGTGTGAGATTGTAAACCCAGAAAAAGTACTTTGGGGGGCAAAGTGCCCAAAAACACATGTTCCGGGGCACCATGTGAGATCACAGACCCGAAAAAATGCTTTTGGGGGGGCAAGGTCTTGGCCCGAAATTGCACAAGAGCATGACACCCAACATGGCCATCATACACTTCCAGGAAAAAACTAGTATCTGCAGAAGTGTGTATACACACGAAAGCTCATACCTAGAAAGCTTATACTTAGTTGGTCTTTAAGGTGCTACTGGAATTATTTTTAAAAACTTTTTTTGAAAGATTCTTTTAAAGACTGTCATAAGACAAAAAGACTAGATTCTCTTAAGGGAGTTCTTTTTGGATCATATATATAATATCTTTCATCTTGTTATTTATTATGACTACAACAGACCAACACGGCTACCTACCTGAATCAGGAAAAAACAAGGTGTTTGGTTTTTCCGGGGCAGTTGACACAGGTATGAACCTTTGGCCTTCCAGATTTTGTGGCTTATAATTCCCCGTCCCCATGCTTGCTAGGGTTGATGGGAACTGGAGTCCCCAGCTCTACCTTACAGATATTAAGAAAAACCACGCAGCCCATATTCTACCCAAATGCTCAGCAAGACTCGAGACAGCTGCTGCCTCCCAAGTTTCTGGTCTTGTGGAAAGGCACAGAAATGATTGGCAGACAAAGGTAGCAGCAATATTTTGGACTCAGCTATACAGCTGCAAATATAACATTTTAAGTGCTTTCCAAGTGCATCATACAAACGTGACACTAGATGGCAATGGTGGGCTAATGGCAAATTCAATAAATGTTTTAACACTTTTTAAAAAGCACTTTCACAGTGAGATATATATATATATATATATATATATATATATATATGTCTAGAGTCAGTCCTTGTTTCATTGTCTTGCTTTGCATTGGCTGACAGGTCGTCTACAGTACTTATAATTATTACAGATGTCTATACCGCCCATCATAAAGAATGCCAAAGCGGTATGCAGCATAATATCACAAAATGCCATAACATGCAAATCAGAATAAGTTAATTCAGATTATCTATCCAGTAGTTATGTGGTTGGGCTGCATTTCAGGGAATGCCTGAATAAACAAAACAAGAAGTTTAAGCAAGTGCTGAAAACTTTGTACTTTTGACACATGACCTTTTGTTCTAGAAGCAATGGAGACTTGCTAAATTGTCCACATGCTATCTAAATAAACTGCATTTTTTATTTTTTGCCCCTGAAAAGCACTTCTTGAGAAACTGGTTTCATTCATCAAATAGACGCCCGTTGCAGACAGATTCTGCATTGCCTCAGTGTGTGTCTGTTTGAAAACAGGAAAACACAAATGTGCTTGTGTGTGTATCCATCGCACCTGTCAAATAACACTGTGGGTGGATACATATGCAAAGACTTCAACCACCACTTCCTTCTTCCTTCACCTGGGAGAACGTGCAGGTAGGAAAAGGTGTGGATTACCTCATCAAGGAGAGCCCATCACGTAACCACATTCCCTACTGCATACAACAGGAGCTAAAATCTATCTAGATCAAAAGCATCATCTTCTTGAGGATGAGCACATACAATTTCAGGTTGAGAAAAGACGTTGTGCTACCAATGCCCTACACAACAAGAATGGCAGGGCAGGACCGGCTTTTTTCAAATATTTGTCAGGATGCAATATAAACAGCAGTCAGATCGTTATCAGGGCCAGATCCAGAGCTCATTGGATTCCCATCCTGCCAGACCATAGCAGACTGTTGTTAAACTTTCGCTTTAGCCTCGTCTCAAATGTCTTTATTCCTACATAACTTCTTGCTTTTCCTGTGAACTGTTTCCTACTTCACTAAAGAGTAGGATTCAGTTTGCTGCTACTGATACTTTTCTAGTCCCCTCACAACCCCCAGCTACTAATCGGCATTTTGGCCTGGCATCCGGAGGTGAAAGTCGAGTCACCTGTCAATCATTAACTGGCTTTTTTCTTTTATTTGAGAGAGAGAACATACACAGGCGAAACTTAAGTGCTATGAGAACACTTATATGGGACAGCCTCTCCCCTTCATTCACACAGACATTTCCTCGTGCTGAAGATTGTGGTGGGTGAGCAGCTAATGGCTAGGATGGTGAAAGAATTGGAACAAACCATATATGGCTGCATACAAACCATGCATAGCTTCTTCCAAAGAATCCTGGGAACGGTAGTTTGTTATGGAAGCCGGGAATTGTAGCTGTGTCAAGGATAAACTACAGTTCCCAGGATTCTTTGGGCAGAAACAACGTGCTTTAAATGTACAACGTGTGTGCAGCCGACTTTAATTCTATGCAGACTTACTTGGGGCGGAAAGCTGTGTACACACTCACAGCAGAGTCGGTAGAGCATGAGACTCCTAATCTCAGGGTTGGGGGTTTGAGCCCCACGTTGGGCAAAAGATTCCTGCATTGCAGGGGGCTGGGCAAAATGAGCCTCATGGCCCCTTCCAACTCTATGATTTACTCTGCACCCAGCGTGCTCCCACTGCTTGCTGGGGGAGCACTGTGCACACAATCTTGGCCACAATCCGTATTTCCTCTGTAGTTTTTTATGAAAGGTTGCATTTTGATTTGCCCCTCAAACCAGTTTTGATCTGGATTGGGAAACATGTACCTAGCCGCGTAATGTTTACACAGCCTACATGGGATCTAATTCAGATGAACTTACTTCTGAGTAAACACATGTGGGCCTGTGCTACATTTGACTATTTTATTGGGGTGAAAAGGGGGCAGATTAAAAAATCAAAGGTTCCTCTGTGCCCTCCTGGCTAGCGTGTAGGATGGGTTGCTGGAAGAAGTGGATAGCGAAGCCTTGCATAGATGGTGTCTTAGGTTCATGGCGTGGACAAGAAAGAGGTCAAGTGGAATGCTAAAATAGTCTGATAAATCAAATCTTTCAGCCAGGAAAAAAGGAGGGTGGATTTCCCCTTTCCCATCTAAGAAAGGTGAAATCTGGGTCTCTCTCTCTCTCTCTCTCTCTCTCTCTCTCTCTCTCTCTCTCTGTGTGTGTATGTGTGTAAGTGAGAGAGGGAGAGAGGGAGAGGGGGAGAGAGAGAGATCAGCTGTAAGCTCTGGAGACATTTTGGGATGTGTTATGTACTGAGTTGAATAGGATCCAAAATGCAGCAGTCTGATTGGTCCTAGAACAATAGGATCCAAAATGCAGCAGCCTGATTGGTCCTAGAACAATAGGATTCAGAATGCAGCAGTCTGATTGGTCCTAGAACAATGCAGCAGTATGATTGGTCCGCAGGAGCCACTCAATCCAGCTCCAGATGGAAGTGAATCCACAACCTGATTGGCCTACAGGAGAATCCCGGAATTAGCCAATCACGTACAGCCCATTGTGTAAGTAATGTATATAAAGCAGATACTTTGGGGGAACATTCATTCCTCCTCACCACTATGAGCTGAATAAAGGGCATGAAATCCACGCTCAACTCCGAGTATATTTCAGGATGCTGGCTGCTTTTCTAGAGATCTGGCATGGGGCACATTACCTGCATTGCTGGAAGAGGAATGCTTCTGAATAGCCATTGATGGCAACAACACCAAGGCAACAATAAGATGCTTTCGGTTCCTTGCAGTCAGCAGCCACCCGCCTGTGTGACAAACTGAAACCACCACCTCAGGCGGCGGAATCCAAGGAGGGGGGGGGTGCACCCATTGATGCCCTTCCCCAACAGAGAAGTGAGAAGCGGCTGCGGCTTCCAGCGAGCTCTCTCAGGGCTTTCACTGGGTCTAGCCAAAAGCCACTTCTGCTTCTCCTCGCTTCTCCGCAGCCATCACGGGAACTCCACCCACTGTCACAAGAGAAGTGGCTTCAGTGGCAGCTTCTAGGGTTCCAACCGCCGGCGAGATTTCGCAGCAAGTGCGGCTGCAGCAGCGGCACCTTCCTGTTTTGCCTCAGGCGGCCAAATGGGATGTGCTGCGCCAGAAGGCAGTTGTTTCATGGAGCACTGAGCTCCACCTGTTCACTACACTTCCATCCCACCCACCCTTTGAAGAGCTCATGGTGGGATGCCAAGGGCTTTCCCCAATTTTATCGTCACAATAACCCTGCAAGGCAAGTGTGGGGCTAGAGACACGACGTATCAAGGAGACACAGCATATTGAGCTGCCTTACAGACCATCGGTCCATTTGCATTTGGTATAGTCTTAGTGAAGGGGTCAGCAAACTTTTTCAGGAGGGGGCTGGTCCACTGTCCCTCAGACCTTGTGGGGGGCCGGACCCACCCTCTCCTGAAAGCACCCCCCAAAGGACCCCCATCCCAAAAAGACCCCCCCACCGCTGCCACTCATGCCGCAGCCACCGCCTCGTCTTCGACAGCGTCGTCATTGTCCTCTGCCTTGGCTCTGTGCCCCGCAGACCCCATGCCGCTGGCCTGGGTGGCAGAGACAGCCTCCCCACTGCCGCCGCTTCCTCCCGCTCGGCTCTTGGCCATAAGCGGCCATCTCGGCGGGAAGGAAGGGGCATCGCCCAGAGGCGTCCACGGCTTCGGATCGGCTGCAGGAGCTTCTTGCAGCCAATCCGAAGCCATGCCAGCGTTGCGGAAGTCAGACCCCGCATGGCGCGGCCTCCACGCCACACTGGTTCAGCGTGGGGACTGACCGAGTGGGCGGCATGAGCCCGGTGGGCCACATCCGGCCCCCGGGCCTTAGTTTGCTGACCCCTGTCTTAGTGTCTGCCTGGCAGTGGCTCTCTCTCCAAGGTCTTAAAGAGCGAAATATGCTGCTGCCTTCTGCCTAATCCTTTTAACTGGGGTTGCCAGGGATTGAGCCAGGGCCCGTGGCTCCACCACGGAGCGAGCTTGAGGTCTGTACCTGTAGATGGAAGAGGTTGGGCAGCGCAGGTGGGCGACGGTCTTGAGCTGGGGGTGGTAGGTGGTGAAGACGAGGAGCGGAACGGCGCTGGCCTGATCCTGGGACAGCAGGTAAGACGCATCACAGGGCACCTGGCAGCTTTCCACTCGCAGCTCCGGGCCCCTTTGCGGCAACGCCGGGTGCTTCCTCCTGACTATCCCACAGGGCAGCGGCTCTTCTTCGTGCCGGTCCTCCTGGGTCACCTGGGCATAACAGAAACCCACTCGCTTCCTTTCTCCGGGGTTGCCACAGCGGTCGCAAGACTGCCAAGGGCTCCAGGAGGTGAACAGCTTGGCCCGCGCTCCGTCTTCTAGCTCGGCGGTGGAATTGCCCAGGGTCGTCTCCCCGAGGCCCGCGTGCGAGACATGGATGCTCCCGGCATCCTGGAAATCCACGTCGTAGTAGGCGATCGTGGCATCGCCTGCCCGGCAGGTGTACAAGCCAGAGTCCTCCACGCTGGGGTTTGGGATATACAGGTTGCCAGCGACTAGCTGGGATTTGAAGCGCAACCTCCTCAACTTGGCATGGCTGAGCAAGGGCCAGATGGGGCCCCCTGAGCGCAGGAAGGTGATGGGCTGCTCCTTCGCCCAGGCTGGGTCCAGGTATTGCCAACTGACGAAAATCTTGAAGTAGACATGGGGGCAGCGCAGGATCACTGGGTTGTCAGAGATGAAGGCTACTGTGCAAGGCTGGCCTGGGACACATGGCGGCCCCAGGGAGTGGCCCTCGTACAGGCTACCATCAGTGAAAGCCAAGGCCAAACCCAGGAGCAGAGCCACAGTAGATGCCCAAGAGGACATGACCAGCTGGGCACTGTCGCACTAAGGGCAACTGGAAAGGAACGTTCTAGCTGACCTCACTGTGACATCGTAACTGAGGTGGGCAAGAGGATGATGTCATAATGGAGTGTGGGGCTTAGCCAGAGTAATTCTAATTGCTGATGTTCAGCATGACTTTGGTTGTCTGGAGACCCAGACATGCCTCTCTCCACAACTGCTGCCAGGGGGTGGCGAGTCATTACTCATTCTTCTTCTTATTATTTTTTAAATAATATTTATTAAAGTTTCACAGGAAAAAAACACCACATTAGTAGAGAAAAAGTTAACAATGAAAAGAAAAAATACAAAGTAAAAAGAAAAAACAATTAAAAACAATTTCATCTTTTCCTCACTTCTTTTACGTTTACTTGTTTCCCGGACCTCCTCTTACCTCCCTCTTCTGTATTCTAATTAAATGTGTTAATCCAACAATTCATTTCCCTCCTTTTTAATCCTAATCTTTAATCTTGATATAATATAACTTTAAATTTTACATTTTACATATTAAAAACCAATTTTTCCATATTCTTTTGTGCCTGTACAGCTAGAAACCACTTAACTTCAATCCAACATCATTCTAACATTCATTAATTTTGCAATATTTCTGTAAATAGTCTTTGAATAGTCCATCATTTTCATCTGCCATTCCTCCAGTGTGGGTAGATCTTGTGTCTTCCAATACTTTGCAATGAGTATTCTTGCTGCTGTTGTAGCATACATAAAGAAAGTTCTGTCCCCAATGGGAACTTATTTAAAGATAATTACGAAAAATGTTGGACGGAAGTGAAAAAAGACTTAGAAATTTGGTCAAATTTGAAACTCTCGTTGCTGGGCCGTATTGCTGTGATAAAGATGAATGTATTGCCTAGAATGTTGTTTTTGTTTCAGACATTACAAATTGTAGATAAGATGGACTGTTTCAAGAAGTGGCAGAGAGATATTTCTAGATTTGTCTGGCAGGGCAAGAAGCCCAGAATAAAATTTAAGATATTAACTGACGCCAAGGAAAGAGGTGGATTTGCCCTGCCAGACCTTAAACTTTATTATGAATCAGCAGCTTTTGCTGGCTGAAAGAATGGCTACTTCTTGAAAACACAGACATTTTGGATTTAGAAGGTTTTAACAATGTATTTGGATGGCATGCATACTTATGGTATGATAAGGTCAAAGCACACAAAGCATTTAAAAATCATATTGTTAGGAAAGCATTGTTTAATGTCTGGATAAGATACAAAGACTTATTGGAAAATAAAACCCCAAGGTGGCTGTCACCAATGGAAGCAAAAGCTCTGAAAAGGCTCAATATGGAGGCCAAATGGCCGACATATTGGGAAATTTTGGAGCAAGAAGGAGATAAATTGAGACTGCAGAGTTTTGAAAAACTAAAAATAAAGTGAGAGATTGGCTCCACTACTATCAGATAATGGAGGCATATAATTTGGATAAGAAAATAGGCTTCCAAGTGGAAAAGTCAAAATTAGAAACAGAATTGTTAGAACCCAAAACTAAAAATTTGTCAAGAATGTAAAACTTGCTGTTGAAATGGAATACTCAGGATGAAACGGTGAAATCTGCTATGATTAAATGGGCACAAGATGTTGGACATAATATTATGTTCGCTGACTGGGAACAGTTATGGACCACAGGTATGAAGTTTACGGCATGTAATGCCTTAAGAGAGAATATTATGAAAATGATATACAGGTGGTACATGACCCCAGTCAAGCTTGCAAAAATTTATCATTTGCCCGATAATAAATGTTGGAAATGTAAAGAAACTGAAGGTACATTCTTTCACCTTTGGTGGACGTGCCCAAAGATTAAGGCTTTCTGGGAAATGATATATAATGAACTGAAAAAGGTATTTAAATATACCTTTCTGAAGAAACCAGAGGCCTTTCTCTTGGGCATTGTCGGCCAACTGGTGCCAAAGAAGGACAGAACCTTTTTCATGTATGCTACAACAGCAGCAAGAATACTTATCGCAAAGTATTGGAAGACACAAGATCTACCCACTTTGGAAGAATGGCAGATGAAGGTGATTGACTACATGGAATTGGCGGAAATGACTGGCAGAATCCGAGACCAGGGAGAAGAGTCGGTGAAAGAAGACTGGAAAAAATTTAAGGACTATTTACAGAAATATTGTAAAATTAAGGAACTTTAGAAGGATGCTGGATAGAAATTAAGAGGTTTTTAGCTGTAATGCTTTAAGAGACATGGGAAAAAAAGGTTAACAACTGGGTAAAAGATTAATGGTAAGGATTTGCTGAACCAACAAACTGAATTGGAATACAAAGAAGGGAGGTATGAGGAGGTCTGGGGAAATAAGAGTAAGGAAGATAGGTTATGGAACATTATTGTGTTTTTAACTGTTTTATTTTGTATGTTTTTTCTTACTTTTTGCTTTTTTGCTGTAATTTACACTTTTTTCTTTGTTTTCTGTATTTTTGTGAAACTTTAATAAATATCATTAAAAAAAAAAAAAAAGAAAGTTCTGTCATTCTTATTTTTGTTTTATCCCTGATCTGATCTTGCTCAGCTGAAAAGCTGGGCAATATTATTTTTTACACGAATAAAATTATTAGACGTTTCTTTCTCCAAGGAGTTTAGTGTAACACACATGGTTTATCCCTTCCCACGGCCCATTTTATTTTTTGTTAAAGATAATAAACATTCTTAACAGCAACCTACTAAAAGGAGGGAAAGATGCAGCCATTGCCTTTACAAATGTATGTAACAACAGAAAATGGTAATGAGGGCAGTACAGATAAGTGAAGAATTATGGTTTATGAAGGTGCTAAAACTTCTTTCCCTTACTGTGTATATATATATTTTTTAAAAATATTTTTCATCTTATTTTACAAATGTTTTAACGAAAAGACAAAATTTTTACATAATCTTTCCTGTACTGTAAATGCACTTGTTAGACCTAAAATAAAAATAGAAATAAAAAAGGGGAAAGAACATTAGAAAAGAGACAATATTGTTATGCACCACCTCAATCTTTGAATGCTGAGAGATTCTGGGAGTTCCCATGCTTACTAGGTTTGGTTAAGAATTGATGCTTTTGAATTATGGTGCTGAAGGAGACTCTTGAGAGTCCCATGGACTGCAAGAAGATCAAACCTCTCCATTCTGAAGGAAATCAGCCCTGAGTGCTCACTGGAAGGACAGATCCTGAAGCTGAGACTCCAATACTTTGACCACCTCATGAGAAGAGAAGACTCCCTGGAAAAGACCCTGATGTTGGGAAAAATGGAGGGCACAAGGAAAAGGGGACGACAGAGGACGAGATGGTTGGATAGTGTTCTCGAAGCTACCAGCATGAGTTTGACTAAACTGCGGGAGGCAGTGGAAGACAGAAGTGCCTGGTGTGCTCTGGTCCACGGGGTCACGAAGAGTTGGACACGACTAAACAACTAAACAACAACAACAGGTTTGGTTTCCTTGGAATGAAGGTCAGAGGAGACTGTGGTGTCTTTGGGATATATTTACACTTACCGACACATATGAGCATAGGATGGAGGGGCTCACAGCACTAACACCCCAAAAGGACTTGCTTCCCTTTTAAGTTTTGAGGGGAGCCCCCAAGTTCAGCTCAGAGCAACACAGCGAGCAAGCGATGTCTCTCTGTCTCCAGCTTCCAGCTCCTTCACAATCCAACTGCGGCTATTGTTCTCCTACATACCAGTCAGGTGAAGGGGTTGAGGGGAAAGGCCCACCCTGGTGTTTTAAGATGCAGAGCAACCTCTTTGGTATGCTAAATTGTGGTACTTAACTAGCGACTCAAAGGAACTGGTTTGGCAAGCCCTCTTTTATACGTTCTGCTCTCAGAGACACAGGATCAAAAGTTTGGAAGGGTTTTCATCCAAACTGAACCCCCCCCCCAACTCATAACAATATAAAGGGAAAGAATACAGAAGAGGGAGAGAAGCAAGAAGGGACATTACCAACAATCTGCTATGAGATTTTGATTCCATTTAAGGGAGTTGGGCCTTAGTGGAGGGGCCAATGTGTTTGCCACTTAAATTGGGGAAGGAGGGGGAAGAAATGTCAAGGGAAGAGAGGCTGCAGACAAAGGGTCAGGAAAAAAGTGGGGCTTAAAACTGCGGGATCTACATGCACACCATAAAATGGTAGAGAACTTCCTTATAACAGGATTTTGCATTTGTTTACACTAGCCTTCACCAGCATGGTGCTCTCTCTCACTCGCATTGTTCAGGACTACAACTCCCATCAGCTGGCTGGGGCTGATGGGAGTTGTAGTCCAAAACATGAGGGCAGGGCTCAGGTTGGTGGCTGGCCTGCACTCTGACTGGCAGCAGCTCTCAGGGTGTTAGGCAGGGGCTCTACGTACCCTGATCCTCCTAAGTATGGCCTCATATTTCCATTCACCAGTATTTTTTAAACACACACACACACAAATAAAAGACCGGTTACACGAAAGATCTCTCTAACCATAAAAGGTCTCTCTTGCGAACAGAAAACATACACCGCTCATTCAGCAAACAGTGATGAAAAAGAAAATAAATAATGACTAATTCTTCTTTTTACTAAAGGAAACAAAGAGTGTTTTAAACAAAGTATGATGTGGTACAACAGGAATGCAACTGTAAGTTCAAAGTCTTTTTTTTTTAAAGCTCTTATTAATCTTCTGGAATAATAATCAAATTGAGGTTTCCGACCCAGGGATGGGCTGCCTGTGTTGGGGTTGGCTCATCTGTGATAATGGGAGCTGGAGCTGAACAACAGGTTCCCCATTCTGGCTATGTATATTTATTCAGACATAAGTAGCATTGAATTCAGTCGGGTTTGCACCCAGAGTTCCCTGTGAAGAGGGACTGATGGTTAAACCACTCTGCTTATAGCAGTTTCCCAAACTGTAGATCAGTGCCAGCATGAAACTCTGCAATCATAAGATTGTAGGAATGACCCCTGTGCCATTTGCTATATGTACAGGAAAACATCTGCCTCTGACTTTTATCTTTCGGCTTATGTTTTCCTTCCTTTCCCTTTCTCCTTTTATCCCAAGTGGCAGAATTTTAAAACAACAAGAACAGAAGTTATTTCTGGCAAGTAGCAAGCAAAGCCTTTCTTCATCTTTGCTTGCTTATGTTGGAAAGGGCCACATATATTGATGGTGCTGTAAAAAAAATAAATCAAAATACTCCTTTTGTTTATTCGCTTTTAGCATTTCTCCTCCACCTTTCAGACAACTTATTTATCACAAGTTGCACCGGCTAGTTCCTGAAGTGGAAACAATTCAGTATATAGGAAGACTGTGATTGAAAGATTGTGCCACCATACAACAGCAGAAGGGAAAAGATACGTAGGTCTCCTGCCCAAAAGAATTTGCAATCAAAACTTCAACAGAATCAGAGAAGGGACCACAATGTTCATCTAGGAAAACCCTCTGCAATGCAGGAATCTCAACTAACACACACCTGACAGATGGTCATCCAGCCTCTGTTTAAATACCTCCAGGGGAGTCCACAACCTCCCAAGGGAGTCTGTTCCACTGTTGAATAACTCTTACTGTCGGAAAATCATTCCTGATGTTTAGTCAGAACCACCTTTCTTGTAATTTGAATCTGTAGGTTTGGGCCCTAGCCTCCAGAGCAGGAGAAAACAAACTTGCTCCATCTTCCGTATGACAGCCCCAGAGATATTTGAAGATGGCTATCATATCTCCTCTCAGTCTCCTCTTTTCCAGGCTAAACATACACATCCCCTTCAAGCACTCTTCATAAGGCTTGCTTTCCAGACCCCTGGTCATCTTGGTTGCCTTCCTCTGCACATGTTCCAGCTTGTCAATATCTTTCTTAAATTGTGGCACCCAGAGGGAGGATTCTGAACATTTTTTCACCTTTGCAAAAGCAAAAAACACCCCCCCCCATTTTTATCCTTCCCTTTCTCCAAGAGCCTCATACATGACTCTTCCCTTACACACTGTAACTTCACAAAAACCCTGCAAGGTATGCCAGGCTGAGAGATGGCAATATACCAAAGTAAGCTTCATGGATGAGTGGGGATTTAAACCCTAGTCTTCCTTGCCCTTGTCTGATACTCTAACCACTTTCCCATGCTGCCACACATTAACATACACTAGTCCTATTTTCTAAACAGCTCAAAACTGGGAATGTTGGAAAGAAAAGGGTGTTGACAGTAAGATGCCAAACCACTAATGTTTTAAAAATTCACTGGGGGTTTAAAACACCCAACCCAGCTCTGGAGGGCTTGCCTCATAGCCCTAGCATAGTTCCTGGACTCAGGACCAGCTTAAGGTTTCATGGAGACCTGAATATGGTAGCCACTGTAATTGACTGCACAAATCTAACAAATCACATTTGCTGTTCTAACCACTTCTTACAACTGGGCCCACCCACTGCTAGCAAGTTCCTTCCAGAAGGTAGTCTACTCTTGCCTTAAAAGCAGGATAGGCTGAGAGATAATGAATTGCTGAAAGGCACCTAGTGGGCTTTGTGCCTAACTGGGCATTTTTATTTATTTATCTACATATTTACAGCTCACACGTAAATAAAAATACATCAAGGTGGCATACAGCACATAAGAATAAAATCATCAAAAGGCATCCATAAAAATATCGTTGAATACTTGTTATGTCGTGGGTGGACATAGCAGACGACACAGTGATTTCTTCAAAGCAGCTCTTTATTTGTAAGCTGGAACAGAACTGAACAGCAAACAGCTCAGCCGGCCTGCTTTTATAGGCAGCCAGCTGTCAACACTGTAGCAACAACAACCCAGGGTTTCCCACCTAAAGTAACTGACGTGGACCTGAGTGAAAACTATATACACGATACTCCTGGTGGCCAGGGTGAGAACTTCAATACATAACAATACTGACTTGAACTCTGTTCTCCCAGGTCCTGGTCCAGCAATTTAACCACTAGGTAAAAGGTACAAAAGGTAAAGGACCCCTGGACAGTTAAGTCCAGTCAAAGGCGACTATGGGGTTGCGGTGCTCATCTTGCTTTCAGGCTGAAGGAGCCGGAGTTTGTCCACAGACAGCTTTCTGGGTCATGTGGCCAGCATAATTAAACCACTTCTGGCACAACAGGACACCGTCACAGAAACCACTATACCACACTCGCAGGAAAAGGAAATTATCTCTCAATTTAATTCACAGGGTTATTTATTATGAGGATAAAATGGTATGAGAGGAGAAGCACATAGACTGCCTTGAGTTCTCCTTGGAGAGGAGGTGGGATAAAAATATTTAAAAATGGCAATAATAGTAGGCGTAACAGGCTGGTGAAATATCTCTCACAAACCTAGTGCGCAGAGATCGTATCAAGCAGTCCTTCAGCTCTTGCTCAGCAAAAGGCACTCACAACTTATGCACATTTAACTTGTGTGCATTCAGCTGAGCTTCAGATGCTTGACCAAAAATTAAGTAATTAATTAATAAAAGAGGGTGGAAATCTAGGGGGGCGGGATTATTTGGCCATTGCACCCTATATCTTTTGACTATACTGTACACAATTTTGGCTTTCTGCACTTATCCCTGCAATATAAGCCTGTGTAAGTTGAGTCTCAGCTGTACCTGTAAAGCACTTTCCCTCAAAGAACTCTGGACACTGTAGTTTGTTAAGGGTTGCTGGAAACTGTACTTCTGCGATGGGGGAACTACAGCGCCCAGGACTCTTTGAGGGAATAACGCGCTTCGAATGCGCTTTACAGGTACAGTAAAGTGGCTGAAACCCGCTCCCTACCCTCTTGGACCAACCCGTCCTCCACCAATCACGTTCCCTGCGCTTTTTAAAATCTGCCCTCTGTATCCCTCCGCCTGCCAAGGCAGCACCTGGGCAAGTTCACTTCCATATAAGGGGGGGGGGAAGGTGGATGCAGCAAAGTTTAATAGCTGGACCCATCCTCCCCCACCCTTTTAAGTTGGCCGGCTCGTCCTCAATACGGCCTCGGGGGGGCTGAACCACCTACATAAAAGGGATGGGGGGGTCGTGAAGGTACAGGTGAGCTTTACTTTTTGCCTTGCAGTAAAAGAGACTCCCAAAGGCGGCAAACGGACGGGCTTCCACACCACACCGAAAGCCTTTCTGTGGCCGGAAAGCGCCTCAGCAGGTTCGCGTCTCTCCTCCACGCCACCCCCCTTTCTCCTCCTTTATGGGAGTTGGTAGTTTCCGTCGTTTGGGCGAGGCACCCACAGCGAGCGCTGCACCTGAGGCGCGCGGAGAGAGCGAGAGCCCAGAGAGGGGCTCGGCAGTCGGACGCAACTCGGAGAGCTTTGTGCGGGGCGCGGCTGTTCCTGAAGGATTCGGCTGAAGTGTCCGCGGAGGGAAGAAGGGGCCGAAGCAGTGAAGGATCCGACGGAGTTCTCGCTTCCCCCTCCTTTGCCTGCGGACCACCCCTCCCCTCCCCGCGTCTCTCAAGCCAGCGGGGTGGGAAATGCAGACTCGGCCGGCCATGCTGCCCTTGCTGTGGCTCTTGGGGAGCGCCTGGATCTTAGGTAAAAAGAACTTTTAAAAGTTTTTTTTGTTTGTTTGTTTTATAGCGCGAGCGGCGGGACCCCCTTCTACCTTGCCCCTCCACCCTCCTCTGGAGGAAACTCGTCCGGGGTCTTCTGTTTTTTTGGCGGGGGGGGGAGACAACTCGAGAGCTGATTGGGCGAAGGGCTCGCGCTCCTTTCTCCTTCGCGCTGACCTTTTTTGTTTTGTTTTGTTTGGAGAGCTCAAAGGGGGTTTCTGTCTTCCAAAGGTTATGGGGATATTTCGCAACTTGGGAAACCCACCTGTTCCAAGGTGTGGGCTTCCTGGTGAGGAAAGGGTATATGACTGCTATTTTCTCTGCACCCACCCCCCTTTCACAAAAAAGAAAATAGGGTTTCCGACAGGCAGAAATTAACAGAGTGAAGCCTTTTTCTTATTATGGAAGTGATGAGGGAAATCGGCACCTGTTAGGTTTCTAGCTGTTTCGTAGTTGTCGAAAGATAAGGAAGTTGGCAACTGAGATGATTTATCTATTGTATTTGGCTCCCATCTTTTTCTCCAAAGGGTTGCAGGTGGTGTACAGAGTTTTCTCTCTTTCTCTCCCTTCCCCACATTTAATTGCCACAACAACCCTGTGCGGTACGTTAGGCTTAGGGGCGGTGACCAGCCCAGGGTCTCCCAGTGATTTGAAATTTGGTCCTGTAGGGAGGCCAAGCAGCTTCAGTTTTCCCTAATCTGCTTCCTGTACCTCTGGGATGTAAAATACATGCCTTTTCTCTTCAGTTCCTGGGCCAACCTTCTTGGATTGAAAAACAAAGTTGTCTTGTTGGCTCTCTTCCCGCAAGACAACAACCTTTCTCAACTTGAGGGATTGTCTGTGTCTTTATTTGCATATAGGTTTGTCTGGTTACAGCCCAATGATCTGCCTTGTTGACTTTGACTCCCTCAGTTTGTTGGGAGAGGAGGCTCATTGGGAGATTTAAAGGAACAGGGGCCAAAATAGGACCTAGTAACCCCATCTACGTGTTGTAGAAAGTGTCTGTGTTTTCAAGGACAGAAGGAAAGGTAATAATGTCCAGCATCAGGGAATCTTATTGGAATTTCAACAGTGTTTAATAGTTGGTGGAACATAAGAAATCCTTGCTTGCTGAGAAAAGTACCTTAACAAGTTTCCAGCCCCATGGGAGATAAAAACATTTGCTCCAGGGGAAAAGATCAACCCATTGGTGGCTTAAATTTAGGCATGCTTTTATACCCCTTCCCCCACTATTTGCTGGGATTAGGTCTACCACATGGCAGGGTGTGTGCTTTGCATTTAATGGCCTTCCTCCAAAGTAAACACCCAGGAAGGGACTGATAATTGTTTTTGCTCAAACCTTAACCCTTTTCTGTAATCCTGGTTTCATGACCTAGAGAGAGGGATAGTTCTTCTGCTGCAGGTGATGTCACTTTTGTGGTGGGTGTCTTGCTTAGAAGTCTGGACTCTACGCAGGACCAGCTTGTGGGAAATGTGGTCATCTCCGTTCCTCTCTTTTTCTCGGGTGATGTCTCATCTTGGCTGCTGTGGCAGCCATGACACGCCTGCCGAAACTGATCTCTGTACCAACCCACCCCCCTTCAGGCGAAACCACAGGAGCAAATAAAAGGAAGAAAGTTGATGCAAGCAGTGGACAGGGGTTTGCTTTTTTCGGTGAAAAGGAAATTTGGATTGAAAATACTAGTGCAGTGGACAACGTAAATATCCTTCAGGCACCTAATAAAAACAACCTTGATCTGTCAGGGGTTTTTTGTGTGGCTATTGCTGGTTTGCGGGAACTCTGTGCTTTTCTAGACTGTTTGCTACCTGAGAAGCTAAACGGAAAGCAAATGACTAAGCGGATAGGAGTGAAAGGGGAGCCACCTGGGAGGAGGAAAAGAGAATGGCTAGGGTAGGGGGGGAGTTGAGAGAAATTTGAGTGCTAGGAAAGAAGGTTGGAGTGACACAGAATTGTGTGTGCCTTCCTCTCCCCCCCCCCCAAAAAAACCCCCTCACAAGTTGAATTCAGTAAATAAAGTGGTCCCTCTTGCAATTGTATAATTGTTTCATGAGTCTTCCCCCCCCCCCCCAAATATGGTGCTTTTGGAGCTACCATGGCACAGACACATAACTCTGAGGTACATTTCCTGATGGATCCTCAAATTTTTTTATAACTACCATCACATCAGAGGTCACCTCTTTTTACACAGATATACTTGTTCTGTGATTTTCAACTGATTAGATGTAAAAATCATGAGGATCCGTGACTTGAGCCAATGTTCTTTGGTACTGACAGGCACCAGAACCCCTAGTTTATTATGACAGGACCAGGCGTGGCCTCCCCTATCCTTCCATGGTTGGGCCCTGAAGAAGAGGTCAAAAAATTATGCTCCTGTTTTTGGTTTATATCTGAACCGAACAAAATGTGTTTAACTTACTAGGATTTGTTTACAGTAAACTAATTTTACTTTACTACACAACCAAACTGGCTTCTTTTAACAAACCATAGTTAACATTAAGCGTATTTCAGAGTTCAGATACAACCATAATGGATTATCATGGTGTCTGAGCACAGCCAGTACATGAAGTATTTATGCATGCCAGCTTGGCTGCATATGTGGAAAGGTGAAATACTTGGGGCGGGAGACTCCTATTGGAGTTTTGAGTTTCAGGGTTGATTATGAACAGTGGTTGTTGCATGACTTGGTAATCAGATCAGAAGAATTTTATTTGCATCAGCCACTAGCCATAGCAATAAAATAAAATAAAATGTACTGAAGATAGAGAAATGTACAGAATACATTTTAGAGGTTTACATCAATAAATAATAGGTAGCAATTGGTGTTGACAAGTGTTATGAATAAATTAAGAAGTAGCTGTGGCCCATCACTTCATTTAAGTGCTAGAATGTTGACTGGTTTGATTGGAAGAAAATGGAAGGTATGTTTATGTAGTATTGCAAATAGCTGCTCCCCTAAATTAGCTGCAAGTATGAATGCTCTGCTGAACTGGAAAAACTGTTGTGTGGCTAATGTACTGCAAGTATGTCTTTGTGGATTTGCAAGTTCCATGTAGGCTTATTTACAAGGCTTGGCTAATAAGTCAGTTGGATTACTGGGGAAGATGAGAATAACATATGCTGGGGTTAGCAGCCCATCGATAGGAAGTCATTTGTTCCTTTCAGAATGGGAAACGATTTTCTGTAACCCAGAAGCTGCTGCAAGTTTCCCCTTCTTCAGGCTGTTTTTCAGTTACTGATTAACCCTCCTGGTTTAGCATGTGTAGCTCTAGTTCTGTGTTTAGAACAGAGTGAGGAACTGGCTGGTGGTGGACTAAATTGCCTCCACCCCTTGCAGGCTGACTGCTGGGAAAGACCTCCGCTATCTTAATGATGCAGTTGTGATCGACACATGTCAAAGTTCAATGGAGGTTGCCAGGACTGCTGATCAGTAGTGACTGCAACCTCCTTTGAAGAGGCACTTTCAGCACCATTCAGCTGATTGGTGCTGGGAGTGCATCTTCAAAGAGGCTTGGTGTAGCCACCAATCAGCTGATTTAAAAATGGAGCATTTCCCGCTCTCTGCAGAGGAAGCAGTTTGGATTCAGAGTGCTTCCTCCAGTGTTTTGAATCCAAAGCGTTTCCTTTGGAGGAGAAAAATTGCTCCCGACATCAGGTGTAGAGCAGGTGGGGATGATTTGTGGGAAATGTTTTTGCAAGTCCAATTGAGTCCTGTGGCTGGCCATATTAGTGCTGGAGGTCTCCCACCTCTGGTTTAGAGAAAGTAAGCAGCTGGGTTGTGGAAGTGTCTAAAATGCAGAGCTGGAGAAAATGTTACTCTCAAACCTTTGTGCTTGTTTTTCGTGAAATGTGGTACAGTATATAAATACTGGAGATAAAATAAAGCCTGGTGAGTCAAGGAAAGAGATCGTCTTGAGAAAGATTCCTTGAAGACAGACTAGAAACAAAGGCTCGGGGTTAATTTTTCTCTCTCTTTCACCCCACAATCCTGCATTTCTTTTTGTTTGAAAGATGCCGATAACAACTCTCCGGCTTTCTTTTCTAGCTGTTAGCTGGAAACAGGTTAAGGGTATGAATGAAGTTAAATGCATAATGGTTCTCTTGCCTGTGAGAGTGCATTTCCTCACTCTGTGCTAATGCCAGTTCTTGTTCCCTGTTGAAGTAGTGATAAAAACCCTTGGCTTAATAAATTTGCTTCTGTATTTGTGACAGCAAAGCTTTTTAGCTCACCTCACGTGTAGAAAGATATATCAGATTCCCAGGAGGCTAGGCTGTGGGATATTTCCTGCCTTGTCCATCAACATTTGACATGTTTAGATGGCCAGCACTTAGTTACAGAAAATGCTGTGTTTTCACTGAGCTTGCAAACACCATGTCTGATTTCCACACTTGAGACTTAAATGTTTGTTTCCTCTTGAAAGATGAAGCAGAGAAGCCAAACTGGCTTAACTAGGTGGTAGGGCTGACTGCATCCCCTGAAATGAATTTGTTAAAAAGCATAAGGGGCGTTTGCTAAGAGGATAAGGCAGGAGTATTCACAGTCCTGGATTCTAGTGTGCAATGGTCGTAGTAATTGACTGTGGTGGAGAAATATTCCAGGAGGGAACTCTGTGGCATTTTCCACTACTTTCCTGCTCATTACGATGTCGTCCTGTCTGACTGTCTGCTCTTATCTCCAGATCCTGCCTCTGCGATGCAAGTCACAGTGCAGAACCCATTCAACGTGGTCATCCTATTTCAACCTGTCACTCTCCAGTGCAACTACCAGACTTCGGCCACCCAACCACCTATTGTCACGTGGAAGTACAAGTCTTACTGCCGGAGCCGCCTGGCAGATGCCTTTAACCCCAGCGGCCAGGACAGCCAGATCACCAACCAGCTGCAGCAGAACAACCCCGGGTACAACCCATATGTGGAGTGTCAGGACAACTCCAGGACGGTGCGGGTTGTAGCTACCAAGCAAGGCAATGCAGTGACTCTTGGGGACTTCTACCAGGGCCGGCGCATCACCATCACCAATAGTAAGTAAATAGCAACAGGAGTGGTGGCAAGAACCCTAATAGCAGCTGCTCTGTGAGGTAGGTTAGGTTGGGAATGTTGGGGCCAAAGTCACCCAGAGAGCTTCTTGTTTGGGTGGCGATCTGATCCTAGATCAAAGTCCCATAGGCTAACTGTGGCATCAGATTGGCTTTCTCAAAGAAGGTATGTATGTATGAAGAGAAAGCAGTGTTCTAGGTGGGCACAGGATGATATAAGTTAAGAATGTAGACAGGTCAGGATTATGGAATAGAAGCCAAGATCTGGAAGCTGGACAAATGGAAGATGGTTTTTTTGGAAGTGTATTTCAGTCAGATCTGGCTTATCTTGGAGACAAAGGCCGTGATCCTAAAACACTGTCGCTTATTTGTGGCTACAGATTCACAGCTTGGTACAGCTTCCCAGTGGCTTTATTCTGCTGTTTGTCTTGATTTTTTTGGTACCCAGTTCCTGCTGTCCTGTGATTCTGTCAGTTTCACTGGTGCAGGCTGTTGTATTTGCGGTCTTCTTGCTGTGGCTCAGATTGCTAGGTGCCATAGGTTCCTTTGGTGAGAACAGCAGCATATGCATTCTAAAGACAAAATAACTGTTGGGCCAGAGAGGAACATGGCCTGAGGGTTGAAGGACTGCATTTGGCCTGAGGTTCGCCACCCCTGGTCAAATGTTTAGCTGTCTTCAGTGGTGCATAAGCACTAGAAGGATGGGGTGTAAATTTTTATATAAAATAAAAATATCACAGGGCTCTTGTAATGATTACTGGGTAACATTATGTGAAGTGCTTTGAACACATAAAGCACTGTCTCACTTCTAAAGTATTCTTTCCCCAGGCTTTCTGTTTTGAGTTTCATGGGGCTTTTTAAAACCTACGTCTTATCTGTAGCACAAGGAAGAAGAAAGGCAAAGTGCCAGGATTACAACTGGGTGCGACCAGATTCCACACCTTCCTGTGCCCCAGTTTCTCTGTTGGCTGGAGCTAGAGAACAATAAGTTTACAAGTGCTGGAATGATTAGCTGTGCTTCCTGGCTAGGCAACTCCTCCCCTAGCCTAACATACAACCGCTTAATGTGCAGAGAGAATTTCGGTTCTGTGAGAAAACTTAATCCTAAAAGCCTTTGGAAAATTGAATTTTTGATTATTTGGCCTCAAGCTACAAAAGCTGAATTTGCAGGCAGTGCAGTCCCCAGAGTTCTGTGTAGCAGCACTCTACAGGCCACACTTGATAGAGACTGATTTTGTCATGTAAACTCAGTGCACGAGTTCCCAGTAATCCATGTTAAAGCCAAAACCAATAGCCTAGATAGTTGAGTTTTTGTCAACTCTTGTTGGTAACAGCCTCCCCTTCCTGGGTCTTTCTCAGCCCAGATACTTGAGATTAAATGGAGGTGCCAAGAATTCAGTGTGAGAGCATAGAGGCAAAGAATGCTATGCCTCTAAGCTTCTAAAGAGAAATTGTGGTGTTGCAACAGTATTCACATTATTGTATGTATTAGGAGTCTTCTGTGGTGGAGAGAGAGACTGAGTGATAGGTGCTTGAGTCACTTAACAGTTTGACAAATCACAGGCTTCAGTGAAAAATGTTTTGCCTGGGCTGGTAGATTTGAACCACAAACTGCAAGCAGCAGGTACTTGATATGGCAGGATTGGGGAGGGTCAGAAATCTGATTGTAATTCAGGGGTCGGCAAACTAAGGTCCGCAGGCCAGATCAGGCCCAATCAGGATCCGGCCTGCAGACTGTCTGTGGATCGGCTTGGGGATTCTGTTTGTTCAGGCTGTGCCATTTCTCCCTGTGCCATTCTTTTCCCCCCTCCACACACACTGTGGTGGCGCCTCCTCCCTCCCTCCTCCTGGCTTCTCCCTGCCCTACCTAGAGGAGGAAGGGGGCTGGGCTGAGCTGGCTGAGCGCCATTTTAAGCAGCCCCTCCGGAGTCAGCCCTTTCGTGCCGCTCATCTTCCCTCCGCCGCCACCCTGGTGCTCCTGTGGACCAGGGAGTGGAGTGGATGAGCTCGCTCTGCCTACCCACGGGAAAAAGCAGTGGTGGTGGTTGTGGCAGCCCCAGGGAAGGTAAGCGTAGCGGCTGGGGCTGGGGTGGTGGGGAGGAGGACTACTTGCCCCCCTCGCCTCTTCGTCCAGCTCCTCCTCCCTGGTGCTGCTTCTCTGGCCCGCCACAAGGTCTGAGGGACAGTGGACCAGCCTGCGGCTAAAAAAAATTGCCGATCCCTGTTGTAATTGATGGAGCATGGCACTGAGATGTGTAGGGCCAAATCTTCTAAAGTTTTTAAAAGGTCAAACCCACCACCCTTGGTTGTACAAACCCTGGAGTACGTAAGCAATGTACTTTCTTTGTTTCGCTTGCATTCACTCTATGTAGGTTTTGTTCTGTATGGATTGAATGTTGTTTTTTTTTTAACACCCTAAAGTATTCTTGCAACCAGCAAATGAACTGCTTGGGGCTCACTACGAACTACATCTTATCAATCGTAAAACAAATCTTATCAACCCTGAAAGGGCTTTGAATCCGGTTCTACTTCTAAACCCCAACAATCCTGTTAACTGCTTTTTGATGATATTGGTAGGTATTGCACAACTGGAGAACAGCGCAGTTCACTGGTTGATAGCATGACTTCTGAAAGCAGCAAAACACTATTCCAGGGGCAGGGAACATGCTGGACTGCCAGCTTGCATCCTCCCTGAGCATTGCCCACGTTCGCTGAGGCTGCCAGGAGTTGGAATCCTGCAGCATCTGGAGGGGCCAGGTTCCCACATTTCTGCTCTAAGGAGATAGAGTGGAAGAGAGAATGGAAGATAGTTTTCGAAGGGGAAAAGAATCATACTTGATTTTATACCTGTCTTTTCCAGCAAGTAAAATCTTAGAGGCATTTTCCCTTTCTCTCTTGCAGAGAGGAGAATGCCTTCTGTTGTTGTTTTTTTAATTGTCTCAAAATGACTTCCAACAGATTAATCAGACACCTTTTTAGTCTGATTTAATACTTAGTCGAGAGTGAACCCTATTGGCTGTGGTGAGGCTTGGTTCACGCATAACACCAAGCCAGACTATGACTCTGCAAGAGAGTCCATGTTTGTGGGTAACTGGAATGAAAATGGCAGCTGCTTTGCTCCAGCGCCATTCCTGCTGTTGCCACGCTGGCCAGAACTAAGCCAGCTTAATGGTTTGTCTCCTAGCAAATTGAGAGCTGTAACCAAGGTTTGCACTTTGTATACTGCTTATGGTTTGCCTGAGGTTTACAGACCATAAGCCTGGGATTGCACGTTATTCTAAAGCAAACCATGAACTAGCTCTGGGAAGAAGAAGGAGGAGGAGGAGTTTGGATTTAATATTCCGCTTTATCACTACCCTAAGGAGTCTCAAAGCGGCTAACATTCTCCTTTCCCTTCCTCCCCCACAACAAACACTCTGTGAGGTGAGCAAGGTTGAGAGACTTCAGAGAAGTGCGACTTGCCCAAGGTCACCCGGCAGCTGCATGTGGAAGAGCGGGACGCGAACCCGATTCACCAGATTACGAGTCCACCACTCTTAACCACTACACCACACTGGCTCCGGAGCAGGGAAGAAGCAAAGTTTCTGCTCTGGGTACCTGCACCTTTGCTCTTCCCCTCTAAGCCAAAGATTGTCTTATTATTGGGACTGTTTTCCCAGTAAGCATGCATAGGATTAAGCTGTATATATTGCAGCCCTAGTTCGTTTAAAATAAAATAAACCAAATAAAAATAATTACAAATTGGGACCAAGAACAGCAACCATTTTGCAATCTTTTCACTATCTCGTTCCTGCTGTTGTGCATCACAAAATCAACCCCTGCTAAATTCTGGCAAGTACTGCTGCTTTCTTTTTCTCTCTTATGAACTCTGACATCAGCAAAGACTTGAGAGGAGAGGCAAAACAGGAATAAACAGCATTTACTGTTCCAGCTGGTCAAAAGTCCATGGCAAAAACCTACGGCTTGTGATAACATGTTTCAAAACAAGTGTCGATCGCCAGATTTGGAGTCATCACAGGCATGTTCTCTTTCTTGCCTCCCTGCAAACCCATGGAAAAGATTGCAGTGTGATAACAGGGGTTTTTTCTCTCCTGCTACACTAAGGTCTGACTCACATTGCAGAAAACCAAAACAACCCTTTTGGACACCTGTGCTGTTTTCCCCCTGCTGCTTAAGCTCTGCATAGTTCTCGTCTTAGTAATGGGCAGAGTGAATTTAGTTGTGAAACCTTCAGCAGCACCATAACCAGCAGTTAAAAAAAATAATTGCAATGCACTTTCCAACCTCGCAGCACTTTCTAAGCACCTAATTGCAGTTATTTCAGGAAGCACAGAAGGTCTACTTAAAAACTTGGTGCAGCTTAGGCTGATGTTCAGGTTCTGGAAACAATTGGTTTGTAGAATATGCTGATATTCTGCTGATTTGCAAGTGTTGGTGCACTCGAAACAGGGATGGTGAAGTGGTGGCTCAAGACCTTGGTGTGGTCCTGGCCTTTGTACAGAATTTTAATCTTAAGAGTGATGCAACATTTGCTCAGTAAGGAACAGGAGAGGGTGGGGAAAGAATACACATGTGTATTTGCAAAACCCATCTATATAGGTTTTTAATGGTCCCATCCAACTCTACAATTCTATGATTCTATGTTGCTGTGCTTGAGCATGTCCCTAGTATCTCCTGGGCTTATGCAGGTGGCGCTGTGGTCTAAACCGCTGAGCCTCTTGGGCTTGCCGATCAGAAGGTCGGCGGTTCGAATCCCCATGATGCAGTGATCTCCCGTTGCTCTGTCCCAGCTCCTGTCAACCTAGCAGTTGAAAAGCACGCCAGTGCAAGTACCACTGCAGCAGGAAGGTAAATGGCTTTTCTGTGCACTCTGGCACTCTTCACAGTGTCCTGTTGCATCAGAAGCAGTTTAGTCATGACCTGGAAAGCAGTTCTGTAAAAGTGAGGCCAACCCCATCAACTCTTGTATTGCCACTGCCGGTGTATCTGATATTTGCACATATATCGGTTTGCTATGGGGAAACATTCCTGAGTGCTGTTGCGGAACAAACCCTATTTTATTTATGCAGCTGTGAACCCCTATAGCAAGGCTGCGGGTTCCCTGCCTGAAAAGACCCAGTTTCTCATTCCTGCAAAACAGCAGAGATGCTGTTTGTACCAGGGGTAGTTGACATGGTGCCCTCAGGATGTTCTTGGACTACAGCTCCCATCATCCCTGACTGACAGGCATTCTCACTGTGGCTGATGGGAGAGAACATCTAGAGGGCACCATGTTGGCTATCCCTGGTTTTTACAATCAGAGATAGGGAGCCGTACTTGTTGCTTCAGCAACTGCGCTAGAATGTGTATATGACCAATTTCCTTCTCCCTCACCCAATGCTGCTTCTGTGGACTTGTTAAAGTGGAAGAAGTTGAAGGCATAAATTGCCACCAGGTGAGTTAGCACGTGGGGAATAATTGCATGTTATTTTGGGCTGTATAAGGAAGTGAGGAAGTGGTTTCCCTGTGATCTTAGGTGTTGATGGCTTGATCTACCCAACTAATTGTTGTTAACCTGGCCCAGCCAGAAGCCTTGGAGCAAATGAGAAGTACCAGAATCCAAACCAGCTGAGAGAAAACCCTTTTCCCTGCACTTCCTTGTCTCTTTCCCTATTTCACGCCTCCTATATTTTCCAGGATTGAGTCATTCATTCTCCACACTGACTTTCCCTTGGAGAGCCTTGATGGGCCAAAGCTGTCTACTTTCCAGAGAAGGGAGAATAACTGGCCCATGAATTGCCACACAGCAGCACTGCAGAGTTGTGCAGATGAGGAAAAAATAAATACTTGGGAGATTCAATACATCCTGTGGGCTGGTCCTTGCCTGCTTGCGATTTAATTCTACTTCACGTTCAACCATTTCTGCATCCTGGTATGACTCAAAGAAGGAAAAAAAGAGCATCTGCTAATAGCCCTTACCTAACCATAGCGAGAGCATCCAATGCAATGTGTTAAAATTGTAACTTCCCTTTTAAGAAGGGAAGTATCACCGTTGATGGTTGGAATTTTGTACAGGGAATATTTTTCCTTGAGACTTTGGGCAGAGAATCCAGCAAAAGTCTCAAAACAACCTTTCCCCCCTCCTGCTGCTGGTGAGTGGTCCCAGCGTGAACTACCGCTGCATTGGATACTCCCTTCTTGTACCCTTCTACTAAATAGAAGTGCTTACCTGCAGAACTCTTCATCTTTGCAGACCTCCATCCTCAGCCAGGCACAGAGATTGGGCAGTAGTGTAGCATATTCAGAAGTGTAGGGTCCCTTCATCATGGTCACAAGCCACACCCCTTCTAAGATTATACAAGTTCACCATAATAATAATAATCATCATCATCATCCTCAGAGGTACATTGCAACAATCAATGCCGATCTCCATGTGCTCCCTTCCTGTTAGATTTATTTTCTATGCACACACATGGGCAAATGATTTGGTGTGCTCCAATATAGTGGCTTGTGCTCTACATGAAGTTCAGTTGTGTGTAGAAGAACTTGCACACCATTTTTTTAAAAAAACTGAATAGCCTTGTGTTTTCGGTTTTCATAAATGTTTGGCTTTCGAGCATACAGTGGCTAAGAAGCTTCCTTTTTGTGCTGATTGGGCTGTTCTTGGATGCTGGAGACAGGGACACTGCTGCAGAAATAATATGGGTGTTCGACCCTTTATGACCTTGGACTGCTGCTTCACTGAGTGCAAGGAGGAGAGCCGCCTTATATTGTGTCTCTTGTCTGTAAAAAAAGGTGTAGCAGGGACAACCCCGCCCCCCCGCCCAGTCAAGCCCTCTTGCAAGATGTTGCTGGGCAATTTAATGGTGAATTTGGAATGTGTTTCCTAGAGAAGCCCCTCTGTCAGTTTCTGGCTTAATCCCAGGACTTTTTCCCCTGGCAAGGTGGGGTGGCTCGCCTCTGCAAGAGATTTCCTTTTTTACTTTTCACGTTCCTCTTGAACAATGAGTCTTCCACCAATTGAGAGAGGCCCAGTATGGTTGCCTATTTCTGATCTCCTTGCAGCACAAAAGCTAGGATAAGCTTTTGAAAATAATTCAGGCTGAAATTGGGGCACAGCTTCTCTCTAGGGCCCAGAGCTCGCTTTCAGAGACAGGTGCTATTCATCACTTGTGCACAAAATACCCCCACCTTGCTGCAGTTTCCAGTTCTTACATATAGGTAAATTTCCTTAAATGAATGGTTGGAAAGGTAGGTATCCGTATGGTTTCTCTTCATGAGCAATGGTTTGCAGCTTCCCTACGATGCTCATAGATTCCCAAGACAAAAACCAAACTGATGGTACAGTTTATAACCAGCGGAAGAATATTATTTTTCTTTAGAACAATATTATGGTTTTGTATGTAGGAATATACCTTGAGAGAAGATGCTGTGACTCTGCTTAACATTCATCTATCCAAGGAGCTGACATTTAGCATCTGGGTTGATACCCTTTTCTTCTTCTCTGCCTTCTTTTTCATCCTTCTCCTCTAGATGCTGACCTCAGCATTGACCAGACAGCTTGGGGAGACAGTGGGGTGTACTACTGCACAGTGACTTCCAATCAAGACTTGCAAGGCAACAACGAGGCCTACGCTGAGCTCATTGTTTTGGGTAAGTGACAAGGCTGCTGTTGAGCACACAGGAATCTCTCAGGACAGATCAGGGCAGCTTAATTGCATGCTGTGGGAGGCTTCGTAGGGGAGGATGCTCTCGCACAAGACTAGCTGGCCTATTGGGTAAATCCCCAGGAGGAAAGGAAGACCTGGATGGTTGTCAAGCTTAGTTTGTCCTGCAAAACTGGTGCATGTACCTTTGCTTTCCAAGTCCCACCCACTCAGAGGAAGATAAGGTGTTTGGGTTCATCCACAGAAGAATGAGGTGATGTAGTTCATATTGCAGGCGGTAGCTTTTATTTTGTTGCTGCTAGCCCAGATTTGTTGGGTTACAAAAATACACCAAGGAGAAAAACAACACAGGAGAGAAGAGAGGTGCTGTGCTAGTTTTCACTCAGACTTTTTAAATGTAAGGAAGCATCCAAAATGTTTATCTCCCCACCTCAATAACTCAGGGTCTGAACTGGTGCAGTCCATTCTGTTGCCCAGGCTCTACTGCGGGGGTCGGCAACCTAAGGTCCATGGGCCACAAGCGGCCCATGGGGGTTGTTTAACTGGCCCATGGACCCCCGCCGCCCACTCGGTCAGCTCCCATGGGACCGCCTTCTGCAACACTGGCTGGCTTCCTGAAGCTCCTGCAGCCAGTGGGAAGCTGTGCAATGCCTCCTCCATGCCGGAAGGCGTGCCGGAAATAGCGTTTGTGCGTGCATGCACACACACTCTGGCCCATGGTGGCATCTGTGGGACTGTGAACCGGCCCAAGCCACAAAAACTTTGCTGACCTTCTCTACTGCCTTAGCCTGATTTGTGCGCTGCACTAGCAGCCTGAGAAACCGCTTCTGGGACCCCAGCACTGTGCTTCCTGTCCTAGCACCGGCTGTATCCAGACAGGCATATAATTCCTTCTGTTTGATTGCCTGCCATATCAGCCGAACTGCTTTATGCCCAGCTTTGTTATAGCACTGGATCCCTCACACTCCCAACCTATTCCACACCCTATCTGGGACACTCATGCGTAGACACACAAAAATTTGCTACTCGGGTGTCCTCTTGTAGTCAGTTGTAAATACTCTCCAATGTGTGTGTGTGTGTTCTGGGAACAAAGCAGGGTCTCTGGACTGGAGCCAGGGTGCAGGTTGATCTTTGTTTGCTATGCACACAGGACTCTTTCTTTGCAAAATCTCTGTGTGTGCGTGTGCACGTCTGTGATACTGTACTGGAGGAACCAGTTCTAAGTGCGGGTGGAAACTGGCATTCTGAAGTGTCCCTTTATCGTGGGCAGTGCCGCGTCACCCTGCCCTGTAACATTGGCCCCTGTCATGAGGAATTTTGTGTCCTTTGTGGAGCTTAAAAAAATACTATTCTTGTATATTGTTACTTAAGCAAAATGCATGGAATTTTGCTTATTCTACATGTTTCTGCCTTTCTCAATGATTGTGTGCTACGAAGGGCACACAAGCCTTAATGCTACCTGCTGGAAATATTATTGCTTGAGTTGCCAGGGATTGATTTTGGGACCTTGTGTATATGCAGTAGTAGTTGCAGTTAAGACTGTCTTGGGTAGCAGGGCTGGGAACAACCCTTTTGTTTTGTCTGTGGACTTGGGGAATTGTTGACGGTCGGAAATGGATCAGTGGTCTAACTGGGTGAAAGGCAACTTAATATGTTGCTTGGCCTAATCCCACTCACCCTTTTCCTTCCAGGTCCGTTGTAGTTGGATTTATTTCATAAGGCTTTGCCTGTGTACTTTTCAGGCTCCTTGTTACATACATTAGGACTAGAAGTTTGTTTTGTTCTTAAAAAAACAAAACCAAACACAGATCCTTAGTGTTGAATTTTGTGCACCAACACGCTGCTTGTGGTTGTGTGCTGTGAGCAGATCTTCGAAGCAGAGAGGAAATGAACATGAATGGACTTTCCTGCAGTGGCAGGGATTAAAAGTGTGGCACACCATATCTTATCTGTTTTGTTTATTAACATCTTTTGTATACCAAGGGGGCAACGTGCCCTTGGGACCCAGTGTGAGTTTGTTTTCAAACTGCTGCTGTTCTTTTTCGTATGTCTGCGTTCTTTAATTTGTATTTTGCAATTTGTGCTGTGATTTTTACTTAACTTTTGCACTCATGGCTCTTGGCTAAATGGAACCTCAATGTCCAGAGCAAGTACCGTATTTTTCGCTCTGTAAGACGAACCAGACCACAAGATGCAGCTAGTTTTTGGAGGAGGAAAATATTCTGAATCTCAGAAGCCAGAACAGCAAGAGGGACCGCTGCGCAGTGAAAGCAGTGATCCCTCTTGCTATTCTGGCTTCTGGGATAGCTGCGCAGCCTGCATTCGCTCCATAAGACGCACACACATTTCCCTTTACTTTTTAGAAGGGAAAAAGTGAGTCTTATAGAGCAAAAAATACAGTATATCTCTGTGTACTGTACATCGAGGGCAAAAAAACAACAACATGGGAGGGCTACTGGCTTTATGCCCTGGTGAGCTTCTCAAAGTCTTCTGTGTGGCCAGTATTAGAATCAAGATTTCAACTAGGCAGATCGTTGGTCCTATCCTGCAGGCTCCTGAACAACTTTCTGGCATTGCCTGACTGCCAAGTTAACTAATGTTCAGATCTGTGACCTGGTTCTCGTCCCACGCAATTATGTTGTTTACATCAATCCATTCCTCTGGGGGGCTCTAGGAGTTGTCCCACCAGAGGGAGCAGAGCAGGCAGGGAATATATCGGGACGCCTCTGTGCAGGCAGCTATTTCATACTGTGTGTAGTATTGTCTTGAGGTTTTCTACTCCCAAGTTGGCTAAAACTGGGAGACCTGCTTTCTTCCAGATAGTACCCTCTCTGTGGAATGTGTCTGCTTCCTGTCAGTTCCTGTACTCTTCTTTTTCCTCTATTTTTTTTATGTCAGAAACCATATTCCGCCCCCATTCTCAGGAACTGCAGCAGGGTGATGTGCCTGGCTGTGCCAGGGTTGCATGTTCTGAAAAAATGCCGGTTGCTTACAGCAGGGCCTGGGAAAGGAAATATTTTCCCAAACATTCCACTCTGTAGGTGAGAGTGCGTGCCTGGCTTGCAGTTGCTCCATCAGGGGGACGGATGGGGACACACACACAAACACCTACCCACCCAGGAATGTTAGTCCTTACCTCTCTGCCTTCTCCATTTCCTTAAGACAAAAGCAGTGGGCTTATCTTAGGACAAGGTAACAATTGCAGGCTCATCACTTCTTGACTGCAGCATTTAAATAAGGACTTCTCTGCATCACAGATAAATCACTCCAGATGGAATTTCTGATATTACCATTTGCCCCTCTAGGGTTCCTTTTCAGTCTGAGGGCCGCATTTTCTCATAAACAGCCTTCCAGGGGCCACATACCAGCACGGCATGCCGGATGGGTTAGCCTTTGTACAATGGGCTTCCTTCCAGTTGTGCAGAAGTCTCTTGTTTTCCACACACACACCTCTCCCATCATTCGTGCAAGTTCAGGGCATTATGATAGTCGGAGGAGACATTCTAGCCAACCAAAGCTGTTGAGGAAAGCGCAGAGCAGGGACGGCGTGGGTCTGGGGTGAGTCCCAAGGACAGAGGCCTGGAAGGGGCTGCATTTGGCCCTAGGTTCCAAACCAGTGCTTTAGCTGGCCCAGAAGTGCCTGCCTCCAGGAGCAGCCAGCTGTATTTAGTAACTTTCTTTTCCCTGTGTTTTTGTTTGTTCTGTAGGCAAATCCTCCGGTGTCTCAGAGCTTTTGCCAGGCTTTCAGATAGGGCATATGGAAGGTACTGGCTTTGCTTCTTTTTCCATGCTGTCTTTCCTGGGGTTGTGAGGGGTGGGTGGATAATACTCCTTTGTTCTTTAATATGTCCTATCCTTGAATCTGTCGGGGTAGCAGTAGGCGTGCCTGGGTTTGGAAAGGAGGCCAAAATGTCTGTCTCTTAGGGTACTTCTTTTGTTAACTTGCTAATGCTGCAAAACTCTGTAGGCTTCTTTTACGTTTCTTCCAACCTCCCCCACCCACCCACCACCTACCTCTAACTGTGATGTACAAGAGAACCTGTCTTTTCATGTCCCTGCTGTAGAGATGCAGGCTTAAGTGCAGTGTGCAATTCAGGGTCCCTTGAGCCTGTAACTGAATTAGGAGTGGTTCACACATACATTGGGGGTGTGCACCTAAAAAAAAAGTCAAGTGTGAAGATATCTGAAGGCAGCCCTATTTAGAGAAGTTATTAATGACTGATGTTTTAATGTATTTTTAATCTTTTGTTGGATACCTCCCAGAGTGCTGGGGAAACCCAGCCAGATGGGCCGAGTATAAATAATGTATTATTATTATTATTATTATTATTATTATTAATGTTACCAGCATCTGGATTGTGCAGAAAACACATTTGGGCAAGCTGGAACTGGCTGCAGTTTACCTGCTGAGTGTAACTTCATAGTAAACCTTGGTGTTCATTTGCACATGATATTGTTATGATGATGGTATGCACAGGGGTTGCTGTTGTGTCTTAACACTAGCACCCTTGATAAACTTTGTATTGGAGTTCCCCATTGTCCCTGATCACTGGCCATACTGGCTGGGGTGCTGGGAATTGTAGTTCAAAACATTGGGAGGGTGCCAGGTTGGTGAAGACTTGGTTATGCATTGTTCTGATATTCTTTGGCTGGAGGGCATAAGCAAAGGGTCCCCAGCTTTGGTTTGTCAGGACTTGCTATGGGGCTGCTGCTATGCAAGTCCTTTCATCCCCAGCAGCTAGTGAGAGGGAAGGGTAAACCACACTGGTATACTACACAGAACGCAACTGCTTGCGAAGCAGAAAGGCAGTCCCCTAACACTCCATTAGAAGTTGGTGGGAGAGCTATACTTAAAACCATGCTCTAGCCAGCTGAACACAACCAACTCATCCTGGAAAACTATCGTTAGATGATGAGGACTGCTGAGGCTGGCTTCAAAGCATGAATGATGGACACCAGCACTTAAGAGCTTGCTGCATTTGACAGACTTAGGTGGAGAGATCTGTGCCATGAGGCCTTGTCCCTCTTTGAGTTGTGGTGTGTATGAGTTTGAAAGAGAACACGCTCCATACTGCAAGTTCTGCGGTCTTCATCTGTTGGGCTAATCCCAGATCCTGTGTTGGTAATATATGGAAATTGGTCTGCCAGTCTAGGATCATATTTCATTTTGCAGCTGTAGGGCCCTTGAGTTTAAAGAACCATGTATAAAAGCAGTGGATAAAGCGCCCAATAGAAAGAGAACGAACGAGAGGAGCAAAAAATATGGCACACTGAAGGCTTTCCTTCCCTGGGTGACTTGTTAGGTGTAGGTTCAGCATTGACACTGGACTTCGGCATCACTGACACATGGGAGGGATTTTGCCTCTGCAAAGCAATCTTGGTGCAGCAGTTCTTTTGCTTAGGAATAGCAAGAGGGGGCTGAGGGCCTGATCCTGATCCTTTAGGAGACAGAACGGTGCAATGAATGGGATAGATGTAGAATGAATGGCTAGATTTTTAGCAGCCCTTTGGGATCCAGGATTCAAGAGGACCTGTTGGCATGCACTCAGCATTCAACAGGATCAGTTAGGGTCTGAGAGGAGGGACTTCTGGACCTGGGCGATGCAGGAGCTGGTGTGAGGAGGGGGCTGGAATTGTCAGTTTGCTAAGGCTGTCGCACTGTGAGAGCTGTATATTAGGGCAAGGAGTGCCTGGTATCACAACTGGCATTCTCTTCCTTAACGGAAGCTTGTTGACTCAGTGTAGAAGCTGCCAAGATGGCTTAGCCCTTCTCTCTAGATGGAACTTGATTCATAGGCTCTGTCTCAAAAGGACTTTTCCCTCCCCACCCCCCTTTCTTCCCAGACTGGCTCTTTGTCGTCCTGGTGGTGTTAGGGTTCTTTCTGGTCTTAATGCTCTTTGGGATCTGCTGGTGTCAGTGCTGCCCTCACACCTGCTGCTGCTACGTCCGATGCCCCTGCTGCTCTGAGAAGTGCTGCTGCCCTGAAGCACGTAAGTCTTGTTCTCCTCTTCCCCTGAACTGCGAGAGCAGGCAGAGCAGCTTCTGTTCTCAGATCTGCCATGAACCTTCTGCCTGACCCTAGGACAAGTTCTCCCATCTTTGTGTGACTGCCCACAGGCTTATTATAAAACACCCTTGGATCTGTGTCGGAGCAGTCCCTAACTTTTCCCAAGCTACCTAATGCTGCATTATATCAGCATATTTCTACAAGGGAAACATGGGCAATATGGTAGCCATCCTGCCTACATTTGCCCTGATGAAAAGCAGAGCAGGGCAAATGTTATCGCTGAGCCTGAATTTGTGATTCCCCTGAATGTTGCTGGAGGGATGCCCTGAACATTTGGCTTAGAATTCCTCTTTTCCATCATTAATATATTGTAATCCCTAACACAAGCATGTCTTCAGTCTACCTTGCAGGGAAAGCTGCAACTTCAGGGGCCCCCAGTGTTTATGCACCCACCCTCTATGCATCCAGTAACCATCTGAAGCAGGGGCCCCCAGCCACTGTGATCCCCATGGGTCCAATGCCTGCCATGTACAATGGTTATGGGGTGGATTACGACAGAGCCAGTTCAGGTAAGTGGCTTCTACTACCCAAATCCTTGCTGTCTCAGAGCTAGTTCCCTGCTGGACTGAATTGACAGTTCTAAAAGGCTTTGTGCTAGCCAAGGGCCTGACTTTTGTGAGCTCTCATTTGGGCTTAACCCTGGTCTGCTGGGTGATAGAGCTGGTTCCTCACTTCCTGTAACTATTTGGGCAGCTGCTGTCTTGCTCAACAAAGTGATAAGCACATTCGGCTTTGGAAACAATCATTTAGAGGGGGATGGTGGGCTCTCCTTCGCTGGAGTTCTTCAGGCAGAGCAGGTGGTGAGGATCCTCTGGCTTGCGGGTCAGATGTGGCCTTTGAGGCTGTTTCCCCCATATCACACCCACCTACCCACGCCTGGTGTGTGATGTCAGGGGTCAGGCAAGTAGAGAAGTGGCTGCCAGTACACAACCAGCGGCCTTAAAGTGATTTACTCCAGCTACAAAATATGAGGCTAATGAAGAGGCCCGAGACCATCTGGGCTGTGAGTCCTCATACGTGCCTTGCAGGCCTTCCCCCGCCCCCTGGCCTGGGAGGGCACAGCCCGGACTGACTCCAGGTACAGAAGCTGAGGCTGCTGAATAGACAGCTGAGTAGGGTTTATTGAGGGGTGTTGTTGCTATCTTTATTTTATAACTTACTATGATTTATGTGGAAATTGTCCAATTAGTGTACTTCTTGATGTTTTATTTATTGCTTATGCCTCCTTTTGCCATGTTTGTAATTATCTGATTCTTATTTTTTATAAGCTGCCTTGCACATTGTTTGAACCTATGGAAAGGCAGCATACAAATAAAATTATGAATGAATTAATGATTGTGCATTGGCAAAAGAAGGCAGGCTTCACCTTTGCCACCCAGTGACTAATAGGAAGTAGAGCTGAAGCCTCCAGAATTGGCTGTGTATAGTGCTTTGAAGGCCCAGCTTTTGAGACTTCAAAGTGCCGAATCACCTGGCATCAGGTGCTTGACAGGCAACGCTAAGTAAAAGGGGTCTTGTTTACAGGGTACAACAATGAGCCCCAGAACTGCAAGAATGACCTGATAGTGCTTGTATAAGTTTGCAGGATTGAGGAGTGTAGGCTTGAGCAGTCATTCTCATGGCTGAATACCAAAGTTCTTTGACAATCCTTGCTGTCTATTTCATTGCAGTTGGTGGGAACAGCTCCCAGGTGCCCCTCCTGAGGGATACAGATAGTATTGCAAATGCTGGTAAGAAACATGTGTATTGGGGATAGAAGCAGAACTGTCTGCTTGGACCTTCATTGAGGGGCATATAAAAATGAAGTAGTGACAGCAGGCAACCTTTTGGGTGGGCAAGTGCTTCACCATTGGCTGAACTAACCTGCTTCATTGTGGGGGAGCTGCTTATGAGCTCACATGGGGAATTATGCTTTTGTGTGATCCATCTGTTTGTATTTGCAAGCAACTGAGGTTGAAAGCTTATAGGGTGTGGGGAGAGGGATATTGAGGGCTAATGCTTCCCTCTGCTGCACAGAAGCAGAATTGCTTGCTAATTAATAAAGATAGAGCAGGAAATTGTTCATGTAGTGAGTTTGCTTAGGATTTCCTTCTCACCTTCCAGATGCACACTTCTCAGGATAGTATGAGAGGATACCGCATAGGCTTCTGAGATATTGTCCTGTTTAGTGCCCAGGAAGGGCACTTGCAAGATCCTGGGCAGCTCCTTGCTACCTCTTCTGTGCTGAGCAGGGCCAGCAATGGTGCTACTTGGAGGAATAGCACCTCACCCCCCACCAAAGTATCTTAACTGGGAAGAGTTCAATTCCCCCAGTGGGCCATTGCTGACCATATTGGGTGGACAAGTTCCTATATAGAATCTTCAAGTTCCCGAAATGCAAATATGTGGCCAGAAAAGAAAGCTAAAAATGCAGCAGCAGCAAAAACAAGCCAGAAAATGGAAAGACCGGCAGAAAGTGGACAGGTTTTTAAAACTCCTGCTTGGAACAGAGGTGGCAAAAGAACATAGGCAGGGTGCTGTTGCCCTCTTTGTACTGATACTCAGTTCTGTAGCACACCTAGTTTGAGCTGTTGCTCGGACTGTGTGTTCCAAACATAGCTGTGCTGAATACTTGCTGCTGCATGGTTTAGGGTCACAGTGCCACAGATTAATAATAATAATAATAATAATAATAATAAATTTTATTTATATCCCGCCCTCCCCAGCCGAAGCCGGGCTCAGGGCGGCCAACAACAATAAAACAGTACAAAAGTACAGCATAAACAACACTCTAAAATCATTCATTATAAAATTAATTAATTCAAGCCACTGGCAACCATTGGGCCAGAGCTCCGCGAAGATTGCCGAGGGAGGGAGTCAGGCTATCCTGCCATTTGCACTTAGAAAGCCTTGGAAAGGGATTCATGGAGACAACGACTGCCTCTTGGGGAGAAACGTCATGCTCAGCAGAGGCGAGAATTTTCCAGGCTGTGTTGGGAGGACCTTTCCCATCATGCAGAGAAATGTGCCCTTGTTCACAGAGTGCCTGTTGCATCCTGGAGGTTCCTCCTTTATTTTTAAATCTGCTGAAGCAGGTGATGAGGTTGTCGTTTATTCTCCCACTTTCCTGCCCCCTGCCCCTTCATCTACTGTAGGCTGTGCAGGCAGGTTGGGGGACAGCTACAGATCAAAAGACTGGGAGAGGCAGGGTGCAGGAGAAGGGACACCTATTGCCTCTTTCCAATTCAGAGCTGCATTTTCTTAGTGGTGGGCAAATCCCTTGGTTGTAGCCCTGTTTGCTGCGTTTTGTCCCATGGAAGATATTTGGCTCCCTGCAAATGGGGAAATGGGCCTCTGTCCTAAAGCCTGCTCCTGATGTCTCTTCCCCAGCTGTGCGCAGCGGCTACCGCATCCAAGCCAACCAGCAGGATGACTCCATGCGGGTGCTCTACTATATGGAGAAGGAGCTGGCCAACTTTGACCCCACCCGCCCAGGCCAGCCTAATGGGAGGCTTGAGAAAGGTACTTTGGTTGGGTCCTTCTTTATGTGTGGAAGCACACCACGGGGCTCCCCAAGAGCAGCTCTCAGGGACAGCTGTTTTTTAGGAGAGCATGATAACTAGCTGATGACTCATTTGCAGCCTAGAAGCTTTTGACCCTCTCTTGCACTTACTTTCCAGCCTCTGTGATGAGCGAACTGAGCTCTCTGCATGAGGACGATCGGCGCTACGAACTGCGGCAGGGGCTGGGGCGGCTGCGCGGCCAGGCCATGTCTCCCATCAGTGATGTAGAAGAGGAGAGCATGCGGAGCAGCGAGACCAGGCGCTTGCTACCCCCCTTGCGGCGCGGCCACTACGAGGACCCTCCGTCGCGAGGCCATGGCCGGCGGCCCCGATCCCGCTCGGTGGATGCTCTGGATGATCTGGACCGGGACCCTTATCCAGACCGGCCCAGGAGCCGCGGCCGACGTGGCTCCGATGATGACGAGTGGCACCGCCGCGACTATTCCCCAGACTCCCGCGACGACTATGACCGCTACGGCGGACGGCGCAGCCGGAGCAGGGATGACCTGAGGGACCTGGACCGATCGCACTACGATGACCGGATCTTGCAGGAAGCGCTGCGGCGGAAGCAGAAAGCGGCCGGCCGTGAGGACCGGGATCATGCCAGTACATCAAGTGGGAGGCCCGGCAACAGGAGAAACGGAGATGACGATAGCAATGGGTTCCCGCCGCCGCCACCACCTCCGTACACAGAGACAGAGTCTGTTTCTTCCCGTGGCAAGAATGACCGCAAGCTCCGGAGGGTGAGTAGGGGGGTAGGGAGAGAACACTGCCAACATGGTGCATGATAGAATTGCCTTGGAGTTTCAGGTGAAACATGGCCTTCAGTTGACTGCTGGATCCTTTTACGTTGCTAGCGAAGTGGAGGAATGAGGCCCTCAAGGTCGATTCTTTTCTTTCTCCTGAGGAGGTTGAGCTGCTGTTGGAAGAAGGGGTTCAACAGAGGAGATGTTCCAGGGTAGGAGTGGGTATCTTCAGGTGTTGCGGGACTCCCAGTTTCCATCCACACTAGCATAGCCTGTCTTCAGGTATTATGGGAATTGGAGTCTAGTAATGTCTAGGGAGGCCACAGTCTCCCCACGCTTGTTCTTGGGGCTGACCCAAATCGAAGACCCAGCGTTGTACTGATAAGAGCAACTGAAGTGATCGGGGTGGTTCAGTCAGCTTTATAAAGGTAAAGGTAAAGGGACCCCTGACCATTAGGTCCAGTTGTGGCCGACTCTGGGGTTGTAGTGCTCATCTGGCTTTATTGGCCGAGGGAGCCGGTGTACAGCTTCCGGGTCATGTGGCCAGCATGACTAAGCCGCTACTTGCAAACCAGAGCAGCACACAGAAACACTGTTTACCTTCCCGCCGGAGCGGCACCTATTTATCTACTTGCACTTTGACGTGCTTTCGAACTGCTAGGTTGGCAGGAGCAGGGACCGAGCAACAGGAGCTCACCCCGTCGAGGGGATTCGAACCCCCGACCTTCTGATCGGCAAGTCCTAGGCTCTGTGGTTTAACCCACAGCGCCACCTGTGTCCCAGTCAGCTTTATAGGGGAAGATTATCCAGCAGCTAGGGCTTTTTAGGATCTGCTATGGGAATGTTGCTTAAAGGAAGACCAAAACTAGCTTTCTGGTTAGTGGCTCCAAGATAGTAGAATTGGAGACCCACCAGTATCTGTCTTTATTACTGAGGCTCAGGAAGATGTGCAAAGGTGTTTTAGGGGGCCCGTGTTTGGATCTTGGTCAATAAAAGCGTGTGTGTCTTCTATTTGTGGTGTTTTTGTTACATCTTGTGGTGTTAACAGCCTTGGGTTGTTCTAAAGATCTGGTGAGATATAAATGTCTTAAATTGTATTACTAAAGCTTGACTTTCTTTTTGCCCTACAGAATCATGCTGTCAGCAGGGAAAGTTTGGTGGTTTAACCCTTTCCATACCTCTGCCTTGGGTGGATGAGAGAAGTCCTGTGCCTTGGACAGCTACAGCAACTGTGTCTTGGCTTGTTGATATGAGCTTTATTCACCTGGAGTCTATAAAGTGGAGCAAGTGGAGCTTTCGTGTATGCCCAGCTGACAACAGGGACTGGTCGACTGGACAAAACTTGAGAAACAGACTTCTTGGTGCCTTAGGTTTAACTTCATTGCATATCAGCTGAGAATCTTAAGGAATTTGCACTGCAGGAGAACTTTTAAGCTCCTTTTTGGGTGCTCCTTTTAAATTTCAGGCCTAGTTTTATTTTTTACGTAGTGTTCAGGAGGGCACTTGAACACGATCCTACAGTACTGTACTGGAAACGGAAACCAGTGGTCTTATTCTGCCAAAAGTAGATCTTCCTCTCCCTTTACCTTTTTGAATAATTTTGAAGACGATTCCAGAGAGAATCTACCGGAACTAAATTTTCCGCATAGGTTTTTGAAGTGCTTCAAACACATTTTTTCTTTTCATTTTATTTTTTATTCCATAAAATTTATGTACTGCTTGATTGTAAAAAACAAACAAACAACCTCAAAAGCGGTTTATGAAAGTGGTTTATACATGAGTTGTGTGATTTTGTGCGTGGAAGATTTTTTCCCTTTGTAAACAAAGTATAGACTGCCAGTGCTGTAAATATTCTAAGGCAGGCGTGGGAAACCTGTGGCCTCCCAGATGTTGTTGGACTACAAATTCCATCACCCCCGACCATTTGCTGCAGTGGCTGGGGCTGACAGGAGTCTTAACAACAGCGGCATCACTACAGGCTCCCAACCCTTGTTTCTAGAGTGCAAAGAGCTTATAATTTTGTTGAGATTGCTGTTTTATAGAAATGAAAATAAAACGAGTAGGATTGAATTCTTGACTAGGATGTGATGTTGGAAAAGGGTGGGTGAAAAACATCCCTCTTACTAGCTTTTCTGTATTATTATTTTTTAATTATTATTCTGAGGTGGGTTTCTTTTTTAAAAAAAGCACATGTAGAGCATTTTAGAGGGGAGTTAAAGCAGCTGTGAAGTTAGTTGCGTAAATGTTCATGTTTGTGCAAGTAGGCCACCACTAATTAAAGGCTGAACATAACAGCATAAATAAAGGGTCATGCAATGTTGAATACTACAGCTTTCTCCCCCTCCTCCTAACAAAATGGTGAGTTCTATGCCTGTAGTGCTGAGAATTCTATCTTTTGCCTTGACATTTTCCATTTTAGAGACCACAGTATTAAGTTGTTCTAAGGCAACTGTTTGCTGCAAACTGTGTTTCCAACGTCCTATGGAATATCCTCTGCCAGTGGTAGCAGTGACATTTAAGCCGGTTTGAGGATGGTGTAAAGTTTGTAATGGACACCCATGTTAGGAACTTGTAAAAATTTGCCATAGGAGAAGCCTTGAGAGGAGGAAAGGCTTGCAGGGGGAGGAGAGAGGTTATTAAGGCCTTCCTCCTGTGCCTTTTTCCCCACTCAAAATCTACGACAGCTGCTTTTCCACTCCTGGAGAAAATACTTTGACTAGAGCAGAAAAGGCTCCGTTTCCTTTCTTCCTCTCCCTTCCACTCATATCTGAAGCCTCTTGCAAGCACTTTTCATTTAAAAACAAAACGCCATCTTCCATGTCTAGTTTGAATCCCTTGTGATGGTTGCAGAGTGGTGGGGGAAAGAAGCGGAGGAGCTTTGATGTTCTCAAACTGTCCAGCAGGTGGCAAATGAACAGCAGCAACCACTGGGCTTACTATATTGGAAGTGATGGTTGTGCAATGAGTTCTTGCTGGGGTGGTGTTGTGAAATGCTGAAGCGTGCAGTTTTCCAGGCTGGCCATGAGAGGGACAACTTTTGGGCTGGCACATTCACATGTCGTGCTGCGTGACCAAGCGCTGCAAAGAGATGCATGCAGCCCAAAGCCTCCACTCCCAGAGACAACAGAGGCCACAGGCCACAGATGCCCTCTCAATCCAGGGATGCGTGATTTTGGTTGGGTTCCTTTTTTGAATGAAGAGTATTAAATACTGGGATGTGCATTGATAGCAGTATTGGCCTACAGAAGTGCACAGCCCTTCTGATATTTCGGTCTGTCTCTGCACACAAATGCCTGCTTCATAATAAAACCTTTACGACTAAAACCTTACGCAACTAAGCAGCAGCTGGTTGCAGCAGGGCTATCCTTGCAACGAAGACTCCCCTCAAAAAGGATATTGGAGAGTTGGAAAAGATTCAGAAACAGGTTGTAGGGATGGGGAGTCTCCCCTATGTGGAATGGTATGGAGCTTGTTTTTTTTAGAGAAAAAGAGGTAGCAGGATAAAACACATAAAATTATACACGATGCGGAGAACATGAGTAGAGGGAAGTTTACTTTCCCTTGCATAATACTAGAACATGGGGCTGCCCACTAACGAAGCTGAATATTGGGATATTCAGGACAGACAAAATTACTGATTTATATGGTGCATAGTTAAAGTATGGAATTCATTCCCACAAGAGGTATGGTCACCAACTTGGCTGGCTTTAAAAGAGGATTAGAAAAATTCAAGGAGGCTAGGGTGATGTTTTACCTGTCCTTTTGGGAGGCAGTAAGCCTCTAAATGCAAGTTGTTAGGAATCACAGGTGGGGAGAGGGCTGTTGCACCCAGGGCCTGCTTCGCGTAGGCATAGATGGACCTTTACCCTTGTATTCTTAAGCAAAGCCGTGTCCAGTATTTGGCATGTAGTAGTACTGCAATATATCAATATATCTGATTGAACGTCAGCCAGGACAGTTTTCGATTGCTTTGCATGCCATGGAACCTAATAGCTGGCAATATTTGATTGATAGCGTGCCACAAAATATGGATGTGATGAAAGGTTTGGATTTATTTATTTGGTTTTATTTTGGCTTGTGTCAGTCATACAGTGGCTACAAGTCCTAACAATATAGGAAGCCAGCAGCACTTAAGGTGGTGCAAGTTACCCCTATTCCAAACTTTGTTCAGGAGTGGGGTTACTGCTGGTTAAGCCAGCCTGAGCCTAGCGCAGGGAAAACAAGCCTTTAAAATAGAGTTTGACCAGCTTTGAGCAGCCTGAGATGTGCTTGTGCAAAGCTTGCTCTTCCCAGCAAATCTTCGTCTTGGATTGTAGAGTTAGACTGTATTCCTATACACGTTGTACCTTTCTTCATTGCACAGATGAGGAAGCTTGACACAAGCAGCTTCTTCTGACACTGGGGTGCTTTAATGAAGGGAAAATATTTTTTTGATTGTATGGTTTTGTGTGTATTTTTGAAATGGTGCAGGAATTTGACTGCTCAAAGTAAACCAGTAGCAACCCTTGCAAGGGAGCGGATGTTAAGATTACTGACCGCAGCCTTTAAACCCTTACTGGCTCCCACTGCCGCACAATGCTCAAGATGGCGGAAAAGTGCTGTGTTGTACTCTCCACTTTATATTGCAAAAAAACAACATTGCAATGCAGATCATAGGCACCAGTAGTTGTATACTTGTGGAGGCTGCTGTGGCATTTGGGTTTGGGTTGACAAATGAAATAATCAGAAATGCCAACAGCTACTCCCAGTAGAGTATTTCTATTCTTAGTCTTGCTTCTCTAGAACAAATTATCCTAAATCCCCTAGTGCACTCCGGCATCCTTCCTCTGCCTGATGCTCACCAAGCTGAATTATTTAAAATGCTGAGTCACTAAACTCCAGGTCAAGGAGGAGATGGGCAGCTGTTAGGCCCTCTGCTTGCAGGTATCAATGTGTCTTTGTTTTAAAACTTTGCAAGAGCAACCGCCAGGGAGAACATAAAAAGGCTTTCACTACTTCACCCCAAAACAGTAAAGGCCTTGGGAGGTATATTTACTGATGGTCACATTTTAAACTTTTTATATGCTGCTTTTCAGGTGTACTGTCAGTATGGTTGATGAAATTTGGAAACTCTACAAATGCAACCAACACCCCCCCCCCGAAAAGTCTCTGATCCCACTCGAAAAATGTTGTACCTGATGCTGAAAGGATAATGAAAATGGTACAACCATTAGTAGAGAGAGTGGTGTGTTGACCTCTACCACATATCACCCATTAGCAGACATATAGAAATAGAATCTTATTGAGTTGCTGCTGGGAAAAGGCCTAGCCATAACAAAGACGTTTCCACCGTTTTAAAGATTGCAGTAGAACTATGCAATGTGCATAGATGTGCCCAGGATTCGATTGTGAAGGGTCAAAGCCATGCGTGGCATGAAAGATCTTGCTGCTTTTGCCTTGGTCATTTTCAGATTCATTATTATTATTAGTTTCATTTCTATAACGCTTTATATTTTAAAGAAAAAAAATCTCAACCTTCATTTAAGTTTAAAACATCCTGCTGCAGCCTTGGGTCCTAGCCTACTTCTGCCCTAGGCTTCCATTGTCTTCTAATGCTCCATGAATGAGGGAACATATGGCTTTCCAGATGATGTTGGACTTCAACTCCCATAATGACCCCACCCAACTTTGCCGATAGTGAGGGAAGAGGAGCACTGTAGTCCAACAACATTGGCAGGTCCCTTGCCCCTGTTGTAGGCTATCGGCAGCTCAAGCCAGATCACTATCTGTTTAATAATTTTAATAATAATTTATTATTTATACCCTGCCCATCTGGCTGGGTTTACCCAGCCACTCTGGGTGACTTCCAGCAAAATATAAAAACACAATAAAACGTCAAACCTTGACTTGTCCTGTCCTTTTGTGACATCTGAGAAGCTCAGCTCATGGTTTGCCAATGGCTTCATCACCATTTCCCCACAAAAAATTGCAGTAGCTATAGAGTGAGAATTAAATCAAGAATGGCTCGTGCTACCTTTTCTGAAAAAATTATACTGAAGCCTAAAGTAGCTATGAAGTAAGCCCACTGAGCAAAAAAGCAAATTTATTTTGAGTGCATCAAACTTATTTGTTGTAAAATGTGGTTTTCACTGGATGCTTTTGATGTTGAATGCCTAGCACAATTTATAAATTTAGATGGTGCCTTTCCCCCCAATCTATATGTTTGCATTCATTTTATGCTAATGCCCCAGTTAACCCAGAATATTGCATGTGTACCCTCCACCATCAGACTGCTTTCTGCCTTCACCTCTTTCTCTCTCATGTGATTCCTTCTTTCTCCATTGCCCTTTTTCTCTCTCGCACGCTCCACTGGAGCTCCTGATGAGTTATTTTTAGTGCTGCTCTACTACTGCCCCGGGCCTCCTGACCAATCTGCAGCAAAGAAGCTGCAGAGTTGAAACACATCGAGAGACTCCAGCTGCGCCCACCCCTTCCTCGGCGGCACCGGGGTGTCTTTGAAGAGGATTGGGGTGGGCAAAAGGGCATTGCATGGCATTTCCCAAAGTGGTTAAGGCAGGGTGGGAAGGGGCATTGTGGCCTTGGCAGAGGAGTTCTTGCAAGCACAGTTATTGATTCTGACACCACAACCTCTCTTCTTCCTTTTGCACCCCATTCACTGGGGGAAGGAAGGAATGGTACTTTTAATTCAAGGAGGAGGTAGATACTTGACACCTGCTGGAGGTTCTGGTTAAAAAACAAACAAACCCCTCTTCAGCCACAAAGCATGCATACATACATAAATACATATATTTTATTTGTATGCCACGCTTCCATAGTTAAAACCATGCTCAATTAAATAATTACAAACACAACAAAAATAGTAATAAACAATTAAAAAACACATCAGAAAGTACACAAGCAAGTCAACAATTTCCACAGATCATAAGAACTAAAAATAAAGAAAAAAACAGATACAAAAAGATAAGTAACAGCAACAAGCCCTCTAAGCAATACCCTAGCCCAAGGGTCTGTTCAGCAGCTTCAGTTTTTGTAGCTGGAGTCAGTTCAGGCCCTGCCCTCCTAGGTCAGGTGGAAAAAGCCTGCAAGACAGGGAGCTGGTCTTCCAGGAGTCACAGCCAAGACTTACTCCTAGGTAAGAGGGTATAGGATGCTACTTGTCTTACTTATCAAAGTTACATAATTGCGTCTGATTTTGTCTGTCATGGGAAACAGCAAAGAGATAAGGACCTCATTCCAGCATCCCAAATTGCATAAGACAAAGATTGATTTATTGGACTATATGCTCAATATATATTCCATATATTTACTGGAATATATGTTCTGCCAAGGAACTCTATGGTGGCTTAAAATTAAAAATTACCTATGATAAAGATGCAAAAGACACAACAACAAAACAGAAGCAAACTCCATTGTCTGTTGATGCTTTGTTTTTCTAGGAGCTGATGGCATGAGGACACAAGCCTAGCCAACTCTCTCGCTTTCCCCTTGGGAAATATGTTGGTTAGGGCCTGGAAAGAGACTATCCCAACCAATTGAAACCTGAGCTTTCGAAAAGGACAAATGGGGTAGTTTTCTGTGTATAGTAAAATCTCCTTCCCTACAGGCCCTCTCATGAGTGGTTCCACAGTTCTCAGAAGCTTGGGTGGTGGAGACCTGGGAGAGGGCATTATATGTGGCGTTGTGGAACCCCCTTTCCACAGAGGTGTGCCTGGTACAGTTTTTGTATGCTGTTGTATGCTGAAGATGCTCTCCTTTAAATAAATCACATTCTTCACCATTGCCATTGGTTGTATCTCCATACTGGTTGCGTGGAGGCAGACGTCTCCTTGAGGCCTTTTCAAAGACATCAAGGCAGGCAGCTGCTTCTGCGGTCCTCCCCCCTCCCACCCTGTTGCTCCCGTCTTCTCAATTATTAATGGCTCAATAGTGCTGGCTCATCCTGCCGAAGGAGACGTCAGCACGGATGCGGTGCCCCGCCTCTGTTGCTCCCTTGTGGCCGACTGAATGGAGGAAAGCAACTTAAAACAGGGAGGCAATAGCAGCCTGAAAGAACTCCTGCAGCTTTCATCTGCTTTTGTGGCTTCCACCACCACCCCTGTGGGTCTGCATCCTGCTGTTGCTGTTTTCATCCTTTTTTACCTAGTATATGTCTTGGTTCCATTTAATCAAACTCAGCGTCTGCATTTATTTGTCCCTTCCCTCTTTCGAGTGTGACAGTAATCTTTTAGGTAAAATACTTACCTAATTTGCCATTAATATTTCTGCCTCTTCCTCCATCTTCCTGGTTTTTTTAAAAAAATATTATTATTCTGCAATTGCAGTACAGTGGTACCTCAGGTTAGACGCTTCAGGTTACGGACTCCGCTAACCCAGAAATAGTACCTTCAGGATGAGAACAGAAATTGTGCGGTGGCGGCACAGCAGCAGCGGGAGGCTCCATTAGCTAAAGTGGTACCTCAGGTTAAGAACAGTTTCAGGTTAAGAACGAACCTCCAGAATGAATTAAGTTCTTAACCCGAGGTACCACTGTATAATCATAGAACTACAAGGGTTGCCTAGTCCAACCCCCTGCAATGAAGGACTCTCAGCTAAAGCATCCATGACAGATGGCCATCTGACCTCTGCTTAAAAACCTCAAAGGAAGGAGTGTCCACAACCTCCTGAGGGAGACTGTTCCACTGTCAAACAGCTCTTCATTTATAGCAATCTATTTATTATTATTTTACTATTTCTTAAATTTGTGTACTGAAGACAGCAGGGCAGTTCACAACATAAATATTCAAAATGAGAACACAAAATACGTATTGGAGCAAAAACAAAGCAATAAGCCCCCTCCCACTACACATTTAAAAGGCCATAGAATGTTAATCAGCCAAAGGCCTGGTAACAGAGAAATGTTTTCACCTGGCACCTGAAGAAATGTAATGAAGGTGCCAGGTGAGCTTCCCTGGGGAGAGCATTCTACAAATGGGAATCCGCTGCAGAAAAGGCCCGTTTTCATGTTGCCACTGTATGGACTTCTCGTGGAGGAGACACATAAAGAAGGCCTCAGAGTCTGGGTCAGTTCATATGGAGAGAGGCAGTCCTTGAGGTATTGCAAACCTGAGCCATTTAAGGCTTTATAGGTCTAATCCAGCACTTTGAATTGGGCCTGGAAGTTAATTGGCAGTCAGTGCAGTTGGGCCAGGATTAATGTAATATTCTCAAATCGTCTTGCCCCAGTGAGCAACCTGGCCGCTGAACTCTGCACTAGTTGAAGTTGCTGAACCATGTTCAGAGGTACCCTACGTATAACATATTGCAGCAATGTAACCTAGAGGTTACATAGATGACAGAACTTAAGCTATCTCTGCCCAAGTAGGGATGCAGCTGGACCACTAACCAAAGCTGATGGAATGCAGTCCGCACCACCTGAGCCTCAATGAAGCAAAGGATCCAGAAATACCCTGAAGCTATGTACCTGCTCCTTCGAAGGAGTGTAACCCCAGCAACAGCAGGCCACACACCCAGCCATCTGGTCAAGGGAACTGTCCACTAACAATGTCTCAGTCTTGCTTGGACTGAGCTTCAGTTTATTGGCTCTAATCCAGTCCATTACCAAGACAACGGTCCAAACACATCCATTGCCACACCTGCAGATGTAAAGGAGAAGGAGAGCTGTATGTCATCAGCATATATATGACAATGTACTCCAAAACTCAATAACCCCACTCAGAGGTTTCATGTAGATGTTAAACTGCATAGGGGATAAAACTGAACCCCACAATGAAGGCTCTATGGGGCTGAGGAACACTCCCCAAGCAACACCCTCTGCGAACAACCATCCATGTAGGACAGGAACCACTGCAAAGCAATGCCACCTACCCCTAACTTGGATAGTTGCTCCAGAAGGAAACCATGGTTAGTGTTCTCAAAAGCAGCTGAGAAATTAGCCCACAAAAGCTACCAGCCTTCCATTTTTAAATGTTTTTTTTCCAGTAAGCTGCTGGGAGCTGGCAGAGGGTTTCTGTCCCTCCTCCGGCAACCTGCTGCATCTGCCTCTGCATGGTGCAGAAGAGGGAGTTTTCGTCATCTGGCAGGCTGTATGGTTTCAGCACTGTTGGCAGAGGATGATGAATCACTTCATTTTTCCTCTGCCAGTCCACTTACTCACCTTTCTGGCATTCCATGCATTTGCCTACATGCAATTTCTGGTTGACTATAGCTATCAGACTACTGCTTAAACATCAGAATGGTTTTCTATGTTTATTCTGCATGACTGCTGTTAATAATGCAATCAGGTAGTGGAGCAGGCGGGCCAGGTTCTAAGCATTTGATTTATTTCACAACAGGGGTGATGTCATCTCTTGGGATACTTTTTGCCAATCCTCTGCATGCCAATAAGCTTTTCTCAGAGAAAAACCCACCAATTAAGCTAAGCAGAGGGAGGTTACATTAGCACACATACCTAAGGGTTAAACTGCTACTTTTATTATGAAATAGCTCCCAAGTTCCTTTATTATGACCGAAGTGTTGCAAAGCAAGCTTTTGAGTTCATCAGAACTTTTCTTGAGGCTAGGTGTTAAGCAAAGGGTTAATAATGAAAGTGTAGATGAGGAACACCTGCACCTCAGAATGCATCAGTGCAATAATTATCACCACCTGTGCTTTCTGCATTGCCTTTCCTTCGGACCTCATTGTCTGCTGCTTTCTTCTCCTTTCTTCTTTGGCAATCACTCGTAGCTGAGTAAGATTGTCTTCTATAAACACGGTTTTAACAATGCACACACAGGGCATCTGTGTACAGTATACTATAATCCAGGCCAACACTTTAACACAGGCTATAGGCCACAAAAGCCCATGCCATAATAATTTGCAATCAAGCCACATATAACTGCTGCTAAAGCATCTTCCTTGAGGATTTGGCAAGCAAATATTTCAAACTGCTATGATTGTGAGGCTCATGACTTTTTAACATTCTCAGAAACTTCTGCCCTGAGGTACGTTTTGAAAGAAGACATGAACACAATGCTTCCAGATGCCAGCCAGTTCCACCCCACCCTTTCCAACATCATTCATTGACTACACCCTTTGCTTTTCTTATCCCCACCCCACAAAAAAGTTTGGAACTGCATAGGAATTGTTCTTGGACGTTTTAATTCCTTTATCATTTGCGTGTTTGCTGCCCTGCTCTCCTCTGGCTGGAAAGGCGGGGTTATAAATTTAATAATGTGCAATATACTCGTTGCTAAGCTTTCGAGGTGCCCCCATATCTTTCTTCCACGCGACAGAGCACACCTGCTGCATTCCTACAGGTAAAGGGTAGCTTTTCTTTTTCTTTTTAAAAAAGGAAACCCGTCACGTGTGAAGGCGCCTCGACGATGCACAAGGGGAGGAGGCCACAGAAAACAAAGAATGCCCAGCGGCCCTGGTTTCCTTCCTCCCTGCTCTCTCTTCCCCTCACCTGGGCAGCAGGTGCACACACAAAAAAACCCCGAGCCGCGAAAGATGCCCAAGAGGGCAGAACTACGCATGCGGGAAGGAGGGAAGCGCGCGCCGCGGCCGTTGTGCGCGGATGGGGCCGGGTACCAATGGGCTTCGAGCGAGAGGGCGCGCGAGCGCACGCGCCGCCTCGGGCTGACTTGCTAAGTAGAACAAGCGCAGGCGCGCGTGCGCGCAGGTGCCGCAAGAGCGCGTTCGGGGAGGGGGGAGGAGGAGGCGGGGGCGGGAGCTTAGGCGTTGCCTGGCAGCAGAGGGTATATAAGCTGCAGCCCGGCCGTTGCTTTCGCTTGTTCGACGCCATCTGGTCTGTCGCTTGGATAGACTTGTGAGTGGGGCGGGGTGGGGGGGATGCTGCGGCTGGAGAGGGAGCTTTAGGGTGGGCCTAGAGGGTCTGGGGGGTGGTCTGGGTTGTCCAGTCGACCATGGTGGGGTGGGTGGTGTCGTATAGAGGATGCTGGGAGGGGGGAAGGGGCGCCCTATAGAGGATGCTAGCTGGGTGGGTGGGGGCTGCAAGCCTGGGCGAATGGGGATTATTGTTTAATTTAAAAGTCGATGGTCTTGACATTTATTTGCCTGTTAATGCATTTATATCCTCCGTTTTCAGTGCTTTTAAATTGCTCGTTGCCTTCTGATGACTTTTATTCCTTCTTTACTTACATGTGTGGGTTTTTTGCACTCCCATTTCTTCCTCAAGGTGCACATGGTTCTTCTTCCGCACCTCACAAACAACCTTGTGAGGTAGGTTGCTGGGGGGGGGGAGAGCCCCCCCCCTAAAGTGAGCACCTGAACCGCCACTGGGACACCTGCTCTCTTAGGTCCCTAATCTGGTGCTCTAACCCCTGAAAACCACACTAGTGGGCTGAGGTATTGAAAAGGTGGCTTAGGCATCTTTCCAGTTAAGAAACAGACTGTGGCTGGGTAACTAAAATGGAGGCGGAAGGAGAGATGATGTCTGAGAGGACTGCGCTGTGTTGGGGGTTGACCCCAGAAGACCACCGTGAGCTTGGCTCTGTACAGTTTTGAGAAGGGCTGCATGAAGGGGCAAGAGAGGCATGGGGCAAAGTGGATGTGTGTCGTCTTCAGAGAAGGGGTGATGTTTTGGGGTGGGGTGGATTGTACGTGTGGTTGTCGCGGGGAGTAGCCTTCAAGAGCTAGAGCATTAGGAGAGCTCAGAAGCATGAGTCAACCACATAGCAACATGGTGCTTCTTTCTGCAGTGCTATGAAGCAGATAGCAGGAGGCTTGTGGTCGGGCGGGGGGGGGGCAGGCCTGTGGACAGGAACAGTCCCTAAATGGCTTTAGGGCATAGATGGAGGAGGGTGCTGTTGTAGTGGACTGGTTTGGGGACTTGGAGGACAGGAGGTGTGGGGCAAGGGGAAGCTCAGCTAGCATGCTGTAGCGGTGAGAGTGTTTCACTAAGACATGGCAGGAACCAGGTTCAAACCTGCACTCAGTCCACTGTATTGGGTGACCTTGGGCCAGTCACCACTTCTCAGCCTAAGCCTCCCTCACAGGGTTGTTGTGAGGATGAAATGGGGAAGGAGGACCATGCACACCACCTTGAGCTCCTTGGAAGAAACAGTAGTATATAAACATAATAAACACAAACACACCTACCCCACAAGGTGGTTTCAGGGCTTAAATTTGGACGGAGTGGGAGGAGAAGGGGAGCCATGTGTGCCACTTCGGTCTCCTTGGAGGAAAGGTTGGGGTGTAAAGGGGAATAAATTACGGGATTGCAGGTTTGCTTGATGCTACAATGCAGCAGTTTGGAGAGAGAATGTTGCCCTTGATGGGTGCATGGTAAGGGGGTTGTAAGGAAGCTTTAGGGCTTGCGTTGAAAATATTTGCAGTGACACAAATGCTGGATACCAAGGAAGCTTCCCCCATAGTGAGGTGCCAGGAGGGAAGCTTCAGCTACTGCTAGAGAAGGCACTAAACAACTGAGAGTAGGAGACGATGATGCAGGTTCATCTGGTAGTGCTCTGCCTCTGTACCATGGATCTCTCTAGAAATGCAACTGCGTCAGAAAAACCACTGAAGAGTCAAGCCTGGACCATTCCATTTTGAGGACTGTTAGATGAGCAGTTCCTGCCTTTTTACTTCATCAATGGAAGGAGCGTCTCCCTTACTTTTTTTTTTTTTAAAAAAAACCAGGAATTTAATGAAAGATACTCTCCCACCTACTCCCTCCTGTAGATATAAGCCCAGGTTTCTATCTTTTTTTTTAACTGCTCATCCCCTTTGAGGAATAATATTACATCATTTTTATTGTATATATTTTGCATAAACCAAAATATAAGAAGTTGTAGAGATTTGTTCTGCTGTATCAGTGCCAGGTGAGAAGGAACTGGTTGATGTTTATATACATTGCCTTTACCCTGGCTGGGTAGTTTTCAATACTTACGGATTTTTGCAGAGGTAGGAAAGCAAAGACCCCTTGTTACCTAGCGAGCGAGTTGGTTTCTTCCAGATCAACTGCTAATTGTATGGATCCGTCCTGTTCATGTGACTGTCGCATCACATCGGTGAGATTAGGAAGCAGTGATGTCTGCGTGCAGCCAGGCACGCTCCAAAGAGCAGCAGTTGAAAGATGGCCAGGATTTTCCCTCAGGGATTTCAGAAACTGAAAAGCTACTTCCTCGCAAATAATGCCATTGTTAGAAGGGAAATTAATCTGACTCTTATTTTTGGTAGAAACTAGGCTGCAGAACCGTGTGCTCATTGCAAGAATGAGACTCTGCAAATATGCTGCACCACTATAAATTCATCCAGTGCCCTGCTGGCAGAATATAAAGCATTTTTTTTAATTCTACACTTTTTATACGTTGATAGCCTGTTCGAAAAAATCTACTTTCTTGGAGCTGTAGCTCAAAATTTAAGTGCACACAATGTCTACTTAAAACTGCAATCATAATGAAATATTGAGACATTGAATATGTTGCAAGCCTGCATTATTGACTACAGCAGGCGAATAGATGGACCTTCGGTAGAGGTGATCCACAGATCAAGTATATAATCTTTCTGTGAAGGAGGTTGTAAGTCTCAATTGCTAATATGAGCAGACAGCTAACTGTTATCTTGCTCCAGGCTCCCCACAAACAACAAGAAGGGAAACATGCCTAGGCTTAGACTAAAGGCTAAAAAAACAGACTTCCTATCTTTGGTCAGTGGAGGTCAAATGCAAACTGTTTGTTCCAGGAATGCAGGAAGAAGATAAGAGCCCATTTTCTAACTGAAAATCTGGATCCCGGTTGTTAGCAAGGGTACACTGCAATGGGTGCCATAGGTTTATACTGAGAAATGTTTAGCATGATTAGAACTGTGCAACTAGCTCTAGGTCTGACTAAGACCACTGGCATCTATGAGCTTTGGCACATCTAACTGCATAGGAGTAGGGTGTGGGCAGACTTTTCTGCTGCACCAATACAGTCTCAAGGTCACAGCATCTGCAGCCAGGACGTGATGGTTGTAAAATGCTCTGGGGCTGTGAGTATGCGCCTGCCGACGCTGCTCTGGGCTGTGGTTGCTGCTTAATGTACTCTTGGATGGGTTTGGGACTCTGCTGTTGGCCACAGAGCGTCACTGCAGCATTTAGATGCCTGCAGAAGGATGGGAATGTACTCCTGTGATGGACTGTTGCTTCTGTCGTGATGTACTAGGTACACGTATGGAAGGCCAAAATGGTAATGAAGCAATAGAAGAAAATATATCTGATTAATACTCATTTTGTCAAACTTCTGTGGCAGTCATACAGTTCCAAGCTGTTGCATTCATGGAAGCTGTGTAAACCGGAAGATCCAAGAACACCAAATAACAGTGGCAAAATTATTTATGTTTAGGCCAATGTCGTTTTCACAGCAATGCTGCAAAATTGCTATTGCTAAGTTCCCCTTTTTACCGTACACCGTTGTGAAAATGCGTTGGCAAATCTGCAGTGGGTTGCAAAATTCCATGGGGCTGTCTGCCAAGGAATCGAAAGGTGTTTCTGTACCGAGCAATTTAGAAATAATACGCTTGAGAGGCTGCAGACCTGAGCTGTTCTGAAACAAAATGGCTTCTGTTCTTCCAGTTGCGGTTGCCAAGATATTTATTGTTTGGCATGCAACATTTTAACAAAATCAGGGAAAATGCAGGATTTCTAAATAAAAGATCATTTGACTAAGACCTTTGCTTCTTTCTTTCCTTGGTTTGCTTCATTTTAATATCTCCTTGTATGGGAAGCACTTGGTTGGCAAAAGAGGTACCATTTCCAAAGCATGGCTCCATTAGTATCACTAGTGGGGCTGAAAGTCTGGCAAGCAGTGTTGCTAGAAATAATTGATGGTTGATGGTGGCTGTAGCAGGGAAGGTTGGAAAACCCCCACCTTAACGTGTTACTGGCATCATCTGCATTTTTGAAAAGTCATCTAGTATCCATCTTTATACAAATAAGAGATAATATGACTAAGGTGATCCTGCTCAAGGTTGAAGTGGTGAGATACACAAATGTGATACTGGTTTTGTATTGCAAAGCCGCTATAACTCAGCGGGAGAAATTAATACTGGAACCTCAGGATGGTAAGACACTGTATTTATTCTTTTCTCTGCCTTTTTGTATTTTATGAGTATTTTCCTACTTGCCGTTGGCAGAAGCCTAGGTTAAAATGACCAGGGGAAGCAACTTGTTCTACTTGTAACAAACCATATAATCATGGTTATATAAACCTGTAGCTTAGACTCAATACAAATGGGGCCAACAGGACATAAAGCAAACTTGCAGAGTCATCCTGCTGAATGCAAACAAAGGGGCTCAGGAACACAAATGTAGATAGTCATGCTTATGTAACTGTCTTCAAATGCGAAGCTGTGCTCTCTTGATTCATATATAACCTTGGCTATCATCTGCTTTCTGGTCTGGGCAGGAGCACTGTGCAAATAGCTGTCCTTGTTTGTCTAGCATTCTGCTATGCCCCCAGGGCAAAAGTTTCTCCACTTATTCTTGGGTTCTGCACAGGATGCTGAAGCAAAAAAGTAGATTGAAAGCTGAAAAGACCTTGATAGGCAACTGATACAGTCACCTCTGTGCCGTATTGCTATTGCCATTTTGGCATACAAGCAGTATATATATAAAAATATGGTATATGTTGCATTGTTGAAGTTATAACCAAAAGAGCCATTTCACAATTTTCGGAACTATCAATGAGCTGCTGTAATAAGGCATTTTTCTGTTGCTACTCTTCATCTTCAGGGATATGTTTACAATGTTTTCCTAGTATCTGCTCAGTAGGGTAGAACTGGACTGTGGTTCTTCTGAAGATGGCTCCAAAAATCTATTGTTTCAATCTGAATTTTGGTAATCCCTCTAAATAACATTTTTTTTGCTACCAGCGTAGGAACTAGTCTTTCAGACTAACATTTCCAGGAAAGCAAGTTACTTGGAGAACATTTGGAGGTGCACTTCTAAAAATTGCCAGACCTTCTTATCTCCCCACTACCCCGATGCTCTTTGTTCTTATAACCACTTTTGGGCCAGCAGTCCCTGATTCTTATTAAGAACACAGTTTTGAATGGGTGGTGAAAAACAGAAATGCTGGGGAGCAAAGGAATCTTTGATAATAGCTGCAGCAAGTTTAGCCGAGCAGAAGTTAACCAGCCTCCTGAAATCCTCTTTCAGTATTTCTAGGTAGAGAAACGGTAGATAGGTCAGCCAGCAGAATGAATCGCAGTTGCTCACCGCCACCGGATTGTGGCGGCACATCAGTTAGTGTCAAAGTTTTCAGGTAAGCAAATTTCTTGAGGGGGTTCTGATGAACGTTTAAATACCGGCAGCCTTCTCCATGAGTTGGTAAAGCCAATGTAACTAGAGGTAAGCTATATAGTGGTAAAAATAACAGTAAAGCCTGCAGGTTCACAATATATGGTTTGAAAGCCACCCTGTTCTAGGTCTGTTAAACTTCATTTGTAAATGAGGTTCAACAATGGGTAAGGCAAACTCCAGAACCTCAGTGAAACCCATTTAAGAGAACTTTTCTCCAAGTGAGATTCTCCCAAACAGATGTAAGTTATTTAGGAACTTCCTTTAGCATGTAGTGTGTGCTTACTGAAATTTGGTTAAGCAAGCATGTTCTATCTGGGTATGAAAATCTTTTTTATTAAACCTTTTCACTGTTCTCCATATTGAAGGCTTGTTTACATGTTCAGAAGCACCCAAAGTTGTCGTTTGGGTTAGTGATCCTAGGCGACCAGCCCCCTTTAGCGTGGCCAGGAATGCTGGAATGTTTTGGAATTGCCATCTATCCTTGCTTGCCTCAGTGTATTGTGTGATGGAATCTTCAACTCTTGGATGAAACTACAGAAAACTATGCTCTCATGTATCCTGGCTTTTGCTATGGCAGGGATTCAGCTACTTTACATAGAAGCATAGCAAAATGAATCTCACTCTGGAGAAAACTGTGTGTTATGGTTAACCTTGACTTGGAGGCTCCCTTCAGTCTTAAAATATTTGGCCTCCCTCCAGGTTTTCAGTCTACAAGGCTATTTTGCCTTGTGATGGTATGTATTGTTACTTTCTGGGGTTCCCCACTTGGCTGTCCTGTGCAATGTGGTCTTACAGGAGCTGCATCATGACACAATTAGTGAAGCTGTTTGTCATTTCCAAGCCTTTGGGGCATGTGGCCTGTCAGAAGTAGCCTGGCAGGCAGCAATTTTAAGATCTTATTCCGGGACGCTTGGTTTAATCCAAGAACAAAACAAAGCTACTGGCAAATTAAGGAGTGGACAGTCTCTCAGAGATATGTACAGGCATACATTGGATCTTGAACGCCTTGCAACTCGAACATTTTGGCTCCCAAATGCCGCAAACCGAAAGTGAGTGTTCCTGTTTGCAAACGTTTTTTGGAAGCCAAATGTCTGAGACAACTTCCGCGGCTTCTGATTGAGTGCAGGAATCTTCTGCAGCCAATCAGAAGCCGCACCTTGGTTGTCGAACATTTTCGTAAATCAAACGGACTTCCACAATGGATTCTGTTCGACAACGAAGGTACGACTGTATACTAAATCGGAAGTTTACATTGATTTCGTTGTTCTTGCCCTGGAATGAGCAAACAAGCTTCCTAATTACACAGTAAATCCCGTTTTGAAACTCAAGTTGCCTGGCCCAATGCAAACCATGTAATATGCATCGCTCACCAGAAATAATTCCTGTAATGTGTGTTGTAGCTGTGCATTTTATCCAGAGTTAGACCCATTGAAAGTAATGAACCCAGTCAAGTGAAGGGATTGGATCAGCAAAGTTAGGGTCTGAATAAATATAATCGAAGTGATAGGAGCTCATTTTTCCTGCATGGTAAGCCAAGCTTTCTCCTATCTTTGTAATAAAGGAATACTAGTAGTGTGAATGTTGCTTAGTCATGAGTCTTCCCCCTGTGCTTTAGGTGGCTATCTTTTTGAAGCATCACATGTAGGGCTTAAAAAATATCAATATGAGCAACTGCTAAGCTGACTCTGGAATTAATGGAAGTGAAGGGGGTTCATGATGTCACAGGAGCCATCAAAGCATTGCTGTGTACAGCCAGCCTCTGGTCCAAAGTTGAAGCTCAAGTTCCTGAATTCAACCCTGGAGCAGAAATTACCATAGAACAAAATGCTTGTGGCATACTCCGTTTGCCCCACTGCCTTTCCCCTTGGGAAACCCAGTCTTTAGTGGTGAATTGAAACAATCGGCAATTGAGTTTCTGCAGATTGCCATTTGTTCCACTGTATTGCTAAAGAGCGAATTTTCTGGGGGAAACTGGTGGGGCAAGGCAAAACCACTCAGACCCATGTCTGAAAAGTGTGGGACAAGTGGAAGACCACTCAGACCCCGCCCCCGGCACAGGACGAGCAGAAGTGTGCACAAGCCTAGAGTTTGTATGTAGACCAGTACAGTATCTGGAAATTCTCTTTGAGTAAGTAGCGGGTCTCTTCCTCCTCTTGTTGCAACACTGTGCAGTGGATTTGAGTCACATGTCACAGTGTAGATCATTGTAAACCAAGGTTGCTGGGAAGAAGAGAGATACATAGGTCAATATGAAGTCCATCCTTGTTAGAAAAGTCCTGAAGTTAAATCTTCATGGCTTGCATAAATGATCTAACCGTTGAATAAAGAATGTTGGGGGGGGGGGGAGCAGGAATAATGAATATCCTTGGGTTAACCCACATGGGAGTGTGATGGCCCCTTAAAGAATCTTGGAAGTGGTAGTCTAGGGAGGGGGCTGATTATTACTGGCATCTCCTACCGTAGACTTCTAGTTGTGGGGAGTGAGAATGACTTAAACCAATTAAAATCTGTTTAGCCAATATGATCTTTAGTTGTCTCTGTCCAAGCCAGCATGCTTACTCCTTTCTGATGCTTCCAGGCTCGAGATAAGTGAAGGGTCTCCTCCAAAAATCTCTCCAGAGCCGGCACCTACCCCCGAGGCAGAACCACCTACCCCAGAGGCAGAACCGCCTACCCCAGAGCCAGAACCAGAAGCTCCACCACCTCCTCCTCCTCCACCTCCACCACCTCCGAAACGTATGGCGGAATTTCATGTTGGGATCAATGGGTAAGGATTTTTCAAAAGGAGCATTTGCTTGCTGGTTTGTTTGTTGTAACACAGTATACCGTATTTTTTGCTCTATAAGACTCACTTTTTCCCTCCTAAAAAGTAAGGGGAAATGTGTGTGCGTCTTATGGAGCGAGTGCAGGCTGCGCAGCTATCCCAGAAGCCAGAACAGCAAGAGGGATCGCTGCTTTCACTGTGCAGCGATCCCTCTTGCTGTTCTGGCTTCTGAGATTCAGAATATTTTTTTTCTTTTCCTCCTCCAAAAACTAGCTGCGTCTTGTGGTCTGGTGCGTCTTATAGAGTGAAAAATACAGTAATACAGTGGGCAGATAGCTCAGTGAAGAAACTGGCAGGAGTTCCTTACCAGGGATTGTTAGGAAAGGGGTTGAAGATAAAACTGCCAACATCCTAGTGGTGTTACAATAATCTGTGATGAGGCTGCACTTGGAATACCGTACTGTGTACAGTTCTGGTTGCTGTACCTCAAAAAGGATATTGTAGAGATGGAAAAGGGTCACCAAAATAATATAGGCTGGAACAACTCCCTTGTGAGGAAAGCTTACAAAATCTGGAGGGGTTTTTCAGTGTAGGAAAAAAGGCAAGCAGAGGGACATGATGGAAATTATAAAATTATGCCTGGTGTGGGGAAAGTGGATAGAGAGAAGGTTTTTTTTTAAAACCCTCCCTCATAATAACCAAACCCAGGAACATTTAATGACCCTGAATGTTTGATAATTCAGGACAGACCAAAGGAAGTCCTTCACACAGTACAATATGTGTCAATGCATAGTTATAAATTATGAACCTTGCTGCCACAAAAATGTAATAATGGCCACCAATTTCAATGGGGGTTTAGACTTAATTCATGGGATAGAAAGCTATCGGTGGCTATTAGTCACAGTGGCGCAGTGCATTACCTCCAATATTAAAGGTGATAGGTCTATGAATACCATTTTCAGGGAGTTGGAAGGACTGGATCATAATTATGATTTCCAAACTTTGTGCTTTTAAGGAATCTTTTTTCTACACTAGTTGTCTGCTTGAGGAGCTTTGTACATGTCCACCACAAAACCCTTGCATGTTGCAGAGGATTTTTGGGCGGGCCTGCTCTTGGACAAGTGTGATCAGACATTAGGCTTGTTGGACCCACTACAATGATGAGGTTCACTGTGCAGAACCATGTGCAAAATGGTGGCTTTAAAGTAAGCCAGCTCCCCATGAGCAATACTCTAGGATGACTAGCACATAAAAGTACTAGTCTGTATTTGAGTTACTACAGATTAGGGTTTCTTAACGTCTTAATTTGTGTGGGTGTTCATTGTTGTAGTGAAACAACTGGGGCATCTGGAATTCTCACCAGTCTATTGTAAATCTTCCAGTAATCTGCCAGTAGATCCAGATCTACCGCCTGACGACCCTTGTTCCAGGCAACATGCTTGACTCATGTCTTTTGAGCCTCACAGTCACTCAGAATGTATAGAGCATGCATTCATGCTACAACAGACCCAATGTTCTCCTGTGCTGAATCTTGCAGAGAAATAGAGCTATTGATGAGCAACATTTTGCAGCAAACTTCGGATCATCTTTACTGATCATTGTCATTGGAGAGCTTTCTGATAAGGTTCCAAGCAACCCTCTGGAACACAGTTTCTAGATTGGTTAACCAAAAGGTGGCTTCTTGTGCAAGAAAGCAAAATGCAGAGCAGTAATATCTAGTCTCTGAATGCTCATTTCAGTGATAGCCAACATGGTGCCCTCTTGATATTGTGGAGTTCAACTCTCCTCAGCCGATTATTGCCAGTAATCTGGGATGATGGGAGTTGCAAATCACAATATCTGGAAGGTACCAGGTTGGCTACTCCTAAGCACCCATGGGCTTCTAGCAAGGTTTTGAGCTTAATTGCTCATACTCTGCATCCTGATGTCAACTATGGGTCTCAGTGGAAAAAGGCTTTTTAATGTTGTGGAAGCCTTAATTGCTGCCTAGAAGAAGGCCTATTCAAGTAACATATTCTGCTTGCTTTAGTTATGTAGAAAGGGCTGAGGGACATTTGCAACTCTAATGGATTGGCTTTTGTCTTTTTGCAGATTCGGGCGTATCGGGCGCTTGGTCCTCCGAGCCTGTGTGGAGAAGGGGGTCAAAGTTGTGGCTATCAATGATCCTTTCATTGACGTCAAATACATGGTAATGGCTTAATGGTGTCTGACTGAACTCCAAATGTACAATGGCCCTTAGTCTGTTTCCTTGGTAGACTGAAAAGGAAGGTTTTAGGGAGTGGTGGTGGTGGTGAATGGTCACGATTATGCTGGTTAGTCCTTGGCATCCTGGCACCATCTCAAGTGAAACGTACACAGACACATTTATACCCCATTTGCATGTTAGTTTACATAAGTAAATCCCAGCGCACATAGAGGTGAAGTGTGTGAAACCGCAATCAGAAAATTGGAAATGTACAGATTTCTGCACTTACTGTATGTAAGGCCCTGTTCAAGCGTCATATTAACATATGGATACAATAAGGGGGTATTGGGTTGGGGTGATCTGTACCATCCTCATGCTTTCTGCATAAGCTTTTATTTCTAGCCAAGAAAGCAAAAATAAGTAAATCCAGTGCCCTCTGCCTGGCACAATATGGTTGCGGTTGACGCTTCTCTTCCTCCTTTAGGTCTACATGTTCAAGTATGATTCTACACATGGGCGCTTCAAGGGAGAAGTGAAGGCTGAGGACGGCAAGCTGGTAGTGAATGGCTCAAAAATCTCTGTATTCCAGAGGTAAGTGGGGATAAAAGTCAGGGTCTTGACTAGAGGCGTACCCATTCTTGGCAATAATCTGCAGCAGGCTTCTGAGATTTTTGTCCGAGGTTTGTGTAACTGATGACTGGCCCAAAGACTGCACCAAAAATGTGACAGATGCAAGGATTGTGCGTGTACCTGTGCACCATCCCTATCCCCACAGAAGACTACATCTCTTTCTCACGGGCACGATAAAATGCATATCATCCTGCAGCAGGCTGTGATAGAGTTGAATGCAGAGAGCCAGAGTGCTGTAACGGACTGGAGAAAACCAGATTCAAATCAACCTTGTGGCTACATGACACTGAACTAGTCACTATTTTTGAAACCTAACCCACCTCACGGGGTTGTTAGAAGAACTTGGGGGTGGAAAACCTCTTTGGAGAAGGCCAGGATAAAATGTTACAAATAGCCTGTTTTGCTTCCCACCTCTCTTGGGTCCTCCTACGTACATAGATGTGAACCTGTCTGGGACTGACTTTGCCATTAGCCCATTGATCGTATCAGGGATTGTAAAAAGCAACACTCTACTATTTAGTCCTCACTGGAATATTTAAAAGCATCCATTCATTACACTTTACAGTTATATATGGACTCTAAAAGCATTTCGTCAGTGCAGAGAGTATCAGTTTATTCATACCTCAATTTTACTAAACTCTTGATGAATAGTTTTAAAGACGGTTAATTAGCAGCCAAGTCCCGCAGGTACATGACTGCTAACCTGCCCGTGTCCTCTGGCAGCTAATACCTTTGTGAGAGATTTCTTCGCACCTCCACATACCAAAACAGCTACTGACAAAAGGCCTTGCAATCTTGTATTTTGCAGCATGAAACCAAATGAAATCCCATGGGGCGAGGCAGGAGCTTTGTATGTAGTAGAATCCACCGGAGTCTTCCTCTCCGTTGAGAAAGCTTCGGTAAGTACCTGTGTAGCTTGCTTGGAAAAGGGAAGCAATTCTTGGGTATTTCCGTGACTCTATGCTGGACTCCCTCCACGAATGCTTGGTTTCTAAATGCACAGGGGCAGATCTCTCTGCTGGAGCATGCTCCCCTTTGAGTGCTGTGTTTCCATCCTACTTACAATGCTTTCTGCATGGCCTGAGTTTGATCTTCAGTGACTGACCAAAAAAAAACCCTGCCGCCTTCCACAGGCTCATCTCCATGGTGGAGCCAAGCGAGTAGTGGTGAGTGCGCCGTCTCCTGATGCGCCAATGTTTGTTATGGGAGTCAACCATGAGAAGTACGATCCCTCCAGCATGAAGATTGTGAGGTAAGGCTCCTCTCCACCCCAGCGTTTCGTCTTCTGAGAAGTAGTTTGCTGCATGGCCATTCTAGAGATGGGTCTCTGTGGATGCTTTCCAGTGAAAGAACAATCATGTAGGCAGGGGGCTCAGGTCCTCCCTGGGGGTAGAGGAGTTTGGGTTGGCAGGGTGGTGACAAGAAGGCCTTGCTTTCTCTTTTTCTGCAGAATAGCTGAGCTTGTGTTGCAAAGCAAGGTGCTAATGGGAGAGGTGTAGTAATTCATAGCATATCCCCTGATGGTTGTGGGAGCTTCTGGCCTACCTGGAAAGCTGATGATTTACACAAACTTGTTCAAGATACCCAGAGAAAAGCCTGGAAAATGGAACACTACAATCAAAGCTTGGGGCATCAACTTTACCTAGCTTTGGAGACAACCCATAGGTCTTTGCTTGCAATGCAGGCTCCTGGGTGTGTTACACACAAAGAGGTTGTGCTTTTTCCCTTGGCCGGTTGTTCAGTCAGCTTAATGTATCCCTCTTGCTTTTCAGCAATGCTTCCTGCACCACCAACTGCCTGGCACCTTTGGCCAAGGTCATTAACGACAACTTTGGCATTTTGGAGGGCCTTATGGTAAGAGCAACACAGGATTGCCTTTGAGAATGGAGCTTGCATTCAAGAGCCGGACTTCTGACAAAACCTTTTATCACCCTGGTGTCTTCATATAGACAGTGTGGTCTAGAAGAAACTGAAATTCCTACACAATGCACAACTATAGCTTTCAGTTACCGACTATAAAAAAGCATTTATCCAAATTGGTGGCTGTTTGAGGATTCAAAACAATATTCTAACAGTGCCATCCAGTCCTTAGAGGCCAGGCTTCTAGATAAAATGATTGGGAAGTTGAATCCTGTCTGCAGCTGTTGTGTGATCATGTATTGATTCTTTGTGGCTTATAGAAGTGTTGACGCTCTTGTGAATAACTTTTGCTTTCACAAACTGCCTGCTGAGGGGCAAAAAGGGCATTTTTACTACAAGTGTGCAGCTTAGTTTTTAGGTCTCTGAATCCTGTCACCAGTCAAGATTAGAGTTGCTCTCCCATAAAGTTAACACATGTGCATCTCGTGTGAGTCAATCCCATGTTTTTACATGTAAAGCAAAAGTTTAGGTTTCCAAGAAAACCTCAGATATTGCTTGTTAGACCAGAATCTACTCTAAAATGTCTTGCATGTCTCCTTAACTGGCTTCTTCTGTTTGCAGACCACAGTTCATGCTTATACTGCCACTCAGAAGACTGTGGATGGTCCCTCAGCCAAGGCTTGGCGTGATGGCAGGGGTGCCCACCAAAATATCATTCCAGCTTCTACCGGTGCTGCAAAAGCTGTGGGCAAGGTCATTCCAGAGCTTAATGGGTATGGAATATATCTTATTCTCAGAGGCCTCTGTAGAAACTAGTTCCTGTGTCTTTGTAGTTATTGCAGCTGTTTGTTAACTACAAAACAGGTTAAGCAGTATTGGCAAGGTATGTTAATTGTGCTCATGCAGAAGAGAGAAACATGACATTGCCCAGCATTATTTTCTTAGGGTAGTTTCTTGAGGTCTCTCAACATTTCTTCCCCAGACCTTCTGCCCTGGCTTTCTGATGAGAGCCCAAACACTTGGCCCATACATTAGATTGCCATGAAATGGATTAGCAATCTTTAGCAGAACAATTGTGGCACTTTTTTCATGACTTACAACAACAGTAATAACAACAACAAAAAATTATTATTACTATTATTATTATTATTATTATTATTACCCTGCCAATCTGGCTTGCTTTCCCCAGCCACTCTGGGCACCTCCCAACAGAATATTAAAAACATGATAAAAGATCAAACATTAAAAACTTCCCTAAACAGGGCTGCTTTCAGATGTCTTCTAAAAGTCAGATAGTTATTTCCTTAACATCTGATGGGAGGGTGTTCCACAGGGCGGGCACCACTTCCAAGAAGGCCCTCTGCCATGTTTTCCCAAGAGCAGTGCATAGAATACAGGTGGTGCTAAGAATTTAATGTGCAGAACCACTCTCCTAAAGTGTATATAATTTTGGCTCCTATTTAGTAGTAATCCTCCAGGATAATCCCCCCCCCCCCCTGTTAATGACTAACCACCTCTTTTAACAGGAAGCTCACTGGCATGGCGTTCCGTGTGCCAGTATGTGATGTCTCAGTTGTTGACCTGACCTGCCGCCTTTCCAAGCCAGCCTCCTATGCTCAGATCAAAGAAGCTGTCAAGAAGGCAGCTAAAGGGCCAATGGCAGGAATCCTGGGGTATACAGAAGATGAGGTGAGTATGGATAGTTTTCTCAGTTGAACAAGCTGTAGAGGGAGAGAAATCCCAAGGCACACCATTGAGCCACTTATAGGCAAGACAGTTCATCAGAACAATAATAATGCTTTGATTTACGCTGCTGGGGGATGCGGTTACATTCTAAGTTTGTTTTTAGCCAAAAGCTGTTTTATTCTACACCAGGTGTGGCATTTAAAGCTGTAGTATATTTTTGACTGTGGAATCCAACATCCAAACTTTTAATCACAAAGTCGCTGCCATTCATTCACTAGTAAAATAAAATGTGGGATGCTCTGCTTAAAGTATAAGTATAGCATAACCTGAGGGACTGGGCAAACAGTCTTTACCTGCTGGAGCATCTTACCAACATCTCACAAGGCTGGAATCCCAGGGTACCAGGTTGACATCTGTGATGAACCAGTCTTTTTTGTTTTTCTTTTGTATATAATTTAATTCTCATGCTTCTTTTGCAGGTTGTTTCTACTGATTTCATTGGTGATAATCGTTCCTCTATCTTTGATGCTGGAGCAGGGATCTCCCTCAATGATAACTTTGTGAAGCTCATCTCCTGGTAAGAATGAGCAGGTGTTTTTCCACACTGGAGCATAGTTGGTGTGTCGCCTGATAATCCCTTTTCAGAAGGAGAATTTGCCACCCTGACTTAGGCTTTCTCAGGTAGCAATGCTGCTTCCTTCGAAAGCTAGCAAGGAACACCCAATTTTGACCAAGCAGGGATGACTTCAGGCAATTAGAACATTTTGGTTTTGTCATCTGCTGTGAACAACTTACCAACTAGGCTCCATATTTGTATATCCAGAGTTCTATTGTGTCTACATGAGAGAGGGAGTTGTATATGTCGTAGGCATTAGGGCTGGTTTTCAACATCGGAATATACTGATATGCCACAATGTCTGAAATAAGGATAGAGCTATGTAGAGGCTGACTTCAAAGTTTTGCCCACAATGTGATTTTTGCAAAGCAAACCCTCCCACCCACATATCATGATTCGTGATATATTACCAGATCAAAAACTATGAAACCAATATCACAATATGGGCTTCAAACCGGTTTGGGACACTATATTGCCCAGCCCTAGTAGGTGCTTCTATAATTGAAAACTGGGGTACTGATTATCTCCTGGCTCACTGTCAGAGGCACCTGGGAACTGTGGATTTGTGTGATTGAGTCATTTGGGCTATGAGCATTACTTAGACACAGTTTTCTTTCCGTTCTGTAGGTATGATAACGAATATGGCTACAGCTGCCGTGTAGTAGATCTCCTGAAGCACATGTACAGCAAGGAGCACGAATGAGCACTGCCCACACTCTGCATTCCAGGCTATCCGACAGAGTGGCCTCTCACCCTTTTAGTCAATAGGTTTGATCTCCTGGCCAGTTCTTCGCTTCGACCACAGAACCCTGAACACTGCACCTTTTGTCACTGTGTAAAGCTTTGTGTGTATGTGTGTACATGTGAGTGTGAATCCTGCTTTCCACAGCAGCTTGTATGAGCTTTAAAAACGTAGTGAAGACAAATGCACCGAATTTCCCCCTGGAGAAAGAGTCTAGCTTTTGGGGTTACACATTGGTTTGTGTGGCTGTAGTGTCCTTGAGATCTCGTAAGCATTGAAATAAAACCACTGAAGTTATGTGAACCTGGAAATGTTTTCATGGGCTTTTATTTTAGCTCCCTGTGGGTCTGCTGAAATGCGCATTTTGACCACACCTGTGTATCAACTGGACATCTTTTGAGCATTCCTAAATGTATCTATTGAAGGAGCATTCTAATTAAAATGCTCATTTTTGCGAAGATCAGAATCCTGGTTTGCCATTAATCTGGAGCTATGTGCAGGACGTGTAAAATCTGTCTCCTCAGCTATAATTTGCTGAGAAACTTAGGGAAAACAGGAAGCTGCTTTTTATATTGAGCTTTTATATTAGTCCCTCTAGCTCAAGCATGGGCAGACTTAAAGCTTGTGGGATCTACTTGGTCTCTATTCAAATCCTGAGGTCCACTAGTCAGAGCCAAGTGCAAAATAGTGGCTGGATGGTTGGAGGACAGCCCAAGTGCAAATGATGGTGGCGGCGGAACCAGTGACTGCTGGAAAGAGCTGTGAGATGATCTAAATATATATACACACACACCCATCTGAATTGCTACCAATTGGGAGGAAAAAAATGTTTCTCTTACTGTGGTTGAACAGGAGCTGATCTGCAAATCATCCAGCAATCTTTTAAGCAGGGCCAGGTCTACCTGCTGCCTGCCTCTGCTGTAGCCTGGTGCATTCTGTTTCGTGGCAGTGGCGCTCTGGTGATGCTGCAAACTGATCGTGGGACCTTTCTGCATGCAAGCACAAGCTCTACCACTGAGCTTTTTAACTTTTTGCACTACCACCATGAGAATGTAAAAAGTACTGCTGTTCAGAGTATTTGCCGAAAGTCCAGACACCTCCCTCAAGGAGGCTGTCAAACTCCTAACCTGGGCTTTTCTATAAACCTTTGTAGCCATAACTTATGATCTTTTCCTAGTATAAGAATCACAAGCCTTTCAGAATGCTATAACACTTTTGATAGTTCATACCATTTTGCAATACGCCCATCAGTCCTTATAACCCCACAATGTAGATATTGCAGGAGAGCAGCTAAGACCAAAAGAGTGCACCCAGGCTAGCCCTAGTGAGATGGAATTTGAACTTAGCTCATAGCTGCACCAGATTTCAAAGTATGCCAAGTTTATTTGAAAGGCTGCATGGCTTATGGAAGTAGTCACTCCCTGGCTCTACATAAGGTGGATTCCACTCTTCCATATTGTAAAAACTGCTGCCATTGTTTCTGCAGGGGGGCGGGGAGAAGTCTTTGGTGTGGGGCCTACCGATAGCATTGAGTTGTCTTCCCTCAACATCTAAAGAGCCAAGATGGATTCACAATATAACATGGCACCAGCAAAAAAAGGGAAGAGTGACCAGGGACAGTTGCCACTTCAGACAGGTCGCTCAGGGACAATTTCAGCATTTCCTGGGCGCATATATTGCCTGCAACAGATGTCATGAGATTTGGGTGCTGATGTTGGGAAAGATGGAGGGCAGAAGGAGAAGGGGACGACAGAGGACGAGATGGTTGGACAGTGTTCTCGAAGCTACCAGGATGAGTTTGACCAAACTGCGGGAGGCAGTGGAAGACAGGAGTGCCTGGCGTGCTCTGGTCCATGGGGTCACGAAGAGTCGGACATGACTAAACGACTAAACAACAACAACGACCAGGCAACAGATGCATGAATGTCCACAGGATGTAGAGCTGTGGAACAGGAATAGCCGGCAATATGATCCTCCAGATGTTGGACTCTAGTCCAACAACATCCAGAGGGCACTCTGGCCAGCCACAAAGTAGGGGAGCAGGCAAGTGCAGAGCTGACCTTCCACATGCCCTGCTTATAATCTTCCAAAGGCAGCTGGCTGGTCACTGTTGCTGCGTTTCACTCTAGCAAAAAGTGCTTCCTCTTGCGCAAGGGAGGACCCTGACCCTCTGCTAATCCATATTGCGCATTGTAGCCTTCTGAAAAGTTCCTCAAGAGGACTGGGATCTTGTGTTAGCAGGAACAACCCTTGGATTCCACCCAGTGTTGGGTGCCCTACCCCTCACTGGTTCTACTTTGCATTTTCCAAGTGTTTTTGCCTTGCTGAGATGAGTTCTTGAGCTGCGACGAAGCTTCTTGCCTGCCTGGATGGAGAGTTAGGGATGTGTATGTGAGCTAGTGAGGGGTGCGGCCTGGCTTTTGCAGAACTGTAATGTAGCCTGTGGTACAAAGGGAAAAGTCTTGTATGTGACCCATGGAAGGTTTCCCACAAAGGAATGCTGAAAAAGATACCTGACACCTGGACTAGAGGAGCACTTTCAAATATGTTGAGCAGCTGCCTTCAGGTATTTTCCGCATGGCAGGCAAAGACTCATGCTGCACTTATTGTGTATATGAATGGACATACATCTAGTTCTAGTTCTGCAGTTTTGTAACCTTTTAAAGGTTGCTAACTGGCTATGCAAGCATTGGCGTCCTAAACAACCTTGTCAGTGGTTTCAGATGAAGTCCTGCCTGCTGCAGGTCAGTTTTCTGAACAGAGCTATCCAGTGTCTGCGGAGAGCTTGCTTCCAAACGCAAAGTCATGTCAGTGACAGAGGCTCTCAGTTCTTGGCTTGGCAAGGAGCACATTCCCAAGTCAAATGCCTCAACGCAGCCCATTGTTACAGCTCTGTCTTTGTGAGCTGGCAGTTCTGGCAAATATTTCCTGCCTCCAGCATGGGATGGAATTCTCTGAAAACTGTAGCCTTATTAACACATTGTGTGCTGCTTGCACAATGCGAAAGCGAGAGCACACAGTTTTCTCTGTTGTGCATCTTGTGTGAACTCGCTTGCATTTAAGTTTCAGCATCCAAACCAAAATAGGTGGGAAGGGTAAGAAGGATAAGATCACGTCTGGGCTTTTTGGGGGGTTGATGCTCTTGTGCTCCTGGAAGATTTTGCATGGATGGCCCTCCATATGTTGTTGGACTACAGCACCCATAATCCCTGACCAAAGGTCATGCTGGCTGGGGCTGATGGCAGATGGAGTCCAACATCATCAGCAAGGCCACAAGTTCCCTATCCCTGCAGTAAAAATAAGACTAGAATGGAATAAACTGATAGCAGGAGAAGCACTTAGAGCTTAGGGCATGAGGGCCATGGTCTCCCCTCAATGTATGTCAGGCATGTCCAAAGTCCATTTTGGGGGGCCATGTGGCAGTTTATCTCCACTTCATCAAATTTGGCCCTCTGAAAAAAAAGTTTGGGCACCCCCTGTCATCAGCATCTCTTATTCTCAGGTGATGCTTCCTCCCAAAGCTGACAGGAGATATTGCCCTCCAGATATTTTGCACTACAACAGGAATAGGTATCTGCCTTCCAGCCTGAGGGCCTCATACTCCTCTCAGCAACCTTCTGAGGGACACAATCTATCAGTGAGTGGGGCCAGAGGCAGCAATGGGCAGAGCAGCAGCTGTAGATTTTACTTTGTACTGTGGGTTTGTTTCTACATGCACACACACTACTCTACCACCCAGGGAAGCAAGAGGCATTGCCAGAATTCAAGGACACCTTCCAACTAGGCAAAAACACTTGGGGCAGAGCGTAAAGCAAATCCCATGAGGGCAAACTCCCTAAGCCGGAGGATCCCCACAGGTTGTGGGAGACTGATAACAGATAACATTAAGGCAGATGGACCAGTAGTCTGATTTAAATGTAAGGTCACTGCTTATGTCCCTATCCAGATGGGAGACAAAATCTGTCCTAGTCTCTTTGGCTTTTAATAGTATTTGGCTGTTTGTATGCTATCTGACCCCACCTCCTACCCAGTTTGGGAAGCATACCTGTTGTATGATTTCTAGTTGCTGCCTTGTTTTCACAATTTTGTCTGCTGCTTGTTTGCTTTTATTATCTTCATTTTTGTGATTTTGTTGGGCACCTTTCAGCTTACACAAAGGATAACTAGCTGTGAACCAAGTAGGACAGTTCCGTTTCCCCTTGATATTCTTCAAGTAGGGAGTCAGAGATTTGCCACAACCTAAGGAATACGCTTTTATATCCTAGTCCAGTGGCTTCTAGTTTTCACTTTGGTCAGAGGGGCAAACCTGTATGCTGCGTTGATCGACCAAGGGCAGAAGATGATGCTTGTACCATCTTGTTCCGATCTTATCCTGCTTGAGCACTTCTCATTAGGCTTCACGATTCATTTGAACTTGTGTGGAATGCTCTCAGATCTGATACTCCCTGTTGAGTTGTTTGCTTTGCTCAGTCAATGGTGGCTGAAAACTGCTGTGACAGATCAAAGGCAGGATTCTATGGCTACCTTGTTGTGATTGAGGGAATTGCTGGAGGATGAAGCCAGAGACCTGTCCAGAATGCCTGCAAAGCCAGGTCTCCCCAACTGCACAATCCCCGCTCTTGCAAGCATTTCATGCAAATGTGTTTGGATTAAGCCACAGGCAACTAACGTCCTTGCAAGGAACATGCTTCCCTGTGTCTTTTTCTAGAGAAACCCACAGACCTGTTGCAACTCCTCCTCCTCCCCATAATGCAAGATCTCTTAATGTACAGGTGAATGCCTGTGTTTTCATGTGATCCATTCTTGAATTTTCAGAACAAATGCAAAACAGCAGGCTGGAAGAAATCCCAGCACTGTATCTTTCCCCCGACAGGGTTTGTGGTCTTCCAGGCTCCCGGTGAAAACTGGCGATCAAGGTTGAAATCCCTGTCCAGGTGCCCTCTTTGCAGTTGGAAAATATGGGCTCCTCAGTATGATTTAGTATACAGTCTAATATTTGTGATGGAATCATACCGCCCAAATGTGGATGCCGAAACTCTTCATCCATAGTGCCACCTGGAGGCATCTCTTCTCATTGCACCCAAGCCAACCCTTTCTGTTCTGTTCAAGGTCATCCTGTCTCATTGGGTGCTGCTGTTCCCGAGGAGTGGGAGGAGGAGGGCGGTGCCTCATCCACTTACGAGATCACGTCAGCAGGAGGATGATGATGAGGTCCTTTAGCAGAGAGATAAAATCACTAAAGTGGAGCAGCTGATTTAGGAGCTGAACGTGCTCCTGATCCACGATCACAACAGCAAATCTCTTGCTACATCCCCATTGACCAAAACCGCCTCCAGTTGGGCTCATGGAGCAGATTAGAGGATTAACAACCTAATTAAACTGCATTCTCCTACCCTGTTGGTAACCAGAGGCCTGTTGTGCTTGAGATCACATACCTGCCAACATTTCACAAATGATAACGGGGAGATGCTCGCAGTGCCCTTAATTCTTGTCCTTCTTCAAGCATGTCCTACTGCTACCACTATCACAAATTGGTGAAGCCTGTAAGTTTGCTCTGTGCAAATTTTAGGAGCAAAGAAGGTATTTGTTCTTTGAGGATACAGTGGTACCTCGGGTTACATACGCTTCAGGTTACATACGCTTCAGGTTACAGACTCTGCTAACCCAGAAATAGTACCTCGGGTTAAGAACTTTGCTTCAGGATGAGAACAGAAATCGTGCAGTGGCAGCAGGAGGCCCCATTAGCTAAAGTGGTGCTTCAGGTTAAGAACAGTTTCAGGTTAAGAACGGACCTCCAGAACAAATTAAGTACTTAACCCGAGGTACCACTGTAGTTTTAATGTCAGGCCCCTGACCTTTAAAAAAAAGAAAGAAAACGCTTTCCCAGTGAATCAGAATCACATTTTATATTCAGGAATGCTCAGTCCCTGCCTCTAATTTAATTATTTATTTAATGATAGTTTGTTTTATTATGTTTATATCCCACCTTTCTGTATACTGGGAGATTTTATTAACCAACAGGGTTGCCAGCCGTTTGAAATGCACCACGTTTTGGGAAGGGCTGTAGCTCTGTGGCAGAGCATCTGCTTTGCATGCAGAAGGCCCCAGGTTCAATCCCCAGCATCGCCAGGTGGGACTGGGAAAAGACATCTTTGAAATCCTGGAGATCTGCTGCCAGTCAGCATAACTGCTGCTGAGCTGGATAGAGCAATGGGCTAACTTTAAGGAAGTGTCCTACGTTTCTAACTTCCAGGTGCTGTTGGAGCCTGACTCCTATCTGCCCCAGCCAGCATGGCCATTGGTCACAGGTGAAGGGAATTTTAGCTCAGTTAAAAGCACCAACAGGTAATGGAAATAACTCTGCCTGAAACTCTAGCAGAAACCTAACCTCTTGAGAGCCAGTGTGGTGTAGCAGTTAAAGTGTGGGTTATTACGACCTGAGAGACCAGGGTTCAAAGCCTCACTCAGCCATGAAGCTCACTGGGCGACTTTGGGCCATTCACTGCCTCTTAGCCTAACCTACCTCACAGGGTTGCTGTGAGGAAGGGGAGGACCATGTTACGCTATCTTGAACTCCTTGGTGCAAAAGGTAAATGCAGTAAATAAATAAAGTGTCTGCCTGAATTACAGCAATTATATTTAAACCCGCATCAGCCCAGATTAGATTAGAATTTGCAATTTGGACACACTTTTGTGTGTGTGATACATTTCCTCTCGTTTGGCCATCCCTCAGCAGCAACTTTCGAAACAGCTACAGGCCCAGCCCTTCATCAACTAATGTTTGCTCTACAACTAATCCAGAATGCGGCAGCTAGACTGGTGACTGGGGGCGGCCGCCGAGACCACATAACACTGGTTTTGAAAGACCTACATTGGCTCCCAGTATGTTTCCGAGCACAATTCAAAGTGTTGGTGTTGATCTTTAAAGCCCTAAACGGCCTTGGCCCAGTATACCCGAAGGAGCGTCTCCACCCCCATCGTTCTGCCCGGACACTGAAGTCCAGTGCCGAGGGCCTTCTGGCAGTTCCCTTCCTGCAAGAAGCAAAGCTACAGGGAACCAGGCAGAGGGCCTTTTTGGTAGTGGCGTCCGCCCTGCTATCAGATGTCAAAGAGACAAACAACTACCCGACATTTATAAGACATCTGAAGGCAGCCCTGTTTAGGGAAGTTTTTAATGTGTGACATTTTAATGTATTTTTAATCTTTGTTGGAAGCCGCCCAGAGTGGCTGGGGAAACCCAGCCAGATGGGCGGGGTACAAATAATAAATTATTATTATTATTATTATTATTATTTATTATTATTAATCAATCAGCTGATTTGCAGTTTAGGAGGGTTGAATTGAATCTCCTTTCCGGATGTTTTGCAAACAAAGCAGCAACTTGCCCTCAAGGGACACTTTTGTTGGTGTTGGGTGGCTGGTGGTTTAGTTCAACAGGAAATCAAGCAATCTGTTCCAAGGGGGTGAAGGGATCCCAGCATGGACACAGCAAAACTGTCTAGTAAAAGCAGAAAGAGAAGGGTCCGTCTTTGCGCCAGTCTATTTTCTGACCCCACTCTTCCGATCCTTCCATCTCCGCCTTAATAAAAGGGTCAGAGATAATCTCTGTTTATGCAAGGGGATTAGGCATAAGGAAGAGAGAGAATCCCACACAGCTCCTGCGGCATCAGCAGAGAACATCTGGCCACGCAGGGATGGATTTAGTTGTCTTTGGTTTTGGAAGGGCTGAGGGCAAGAGGAAATGGGCAATGCAACAGTCACAGACCTGGCAAGTTTCATTCCTTGCCATCATAAATTCGTAGGCTTGACTTGAAAAGCTTTCCACTTTTTAAACTGGCTGGCCCTCACTCTGCGGCTGTTCTCATGCACCATTTATCACCCCCATGGTAAACTGCCTCAAAAACTTAGAAACCACTTCTATCATTAATTGCATTTATATCTCACCTTTTCATCCAAAGAGCTCAAGGTGTGATGTACTGTACATGGTTCTTTCCCTCCTCATTTAATCCCCACAGCAACCCCAAGAGGTAGGTTAGGCTGAGGGAGGCTGGCCGGCCCAAGGTCACCCAGTGACCTTCATGGCCCAGTGGATATTTATTGCAGCAAATTATTATTATTATTATTATTATTATTATTATTATTATTATTATTTATTGATTGATTGATTGAATTTATATACCACCCTATACCCGGTCTCAGGGCGGTTCACAAATGCTTTTATGAACAAAGAAGAGGTCATTGATATGTGTGATGTGCAGAAGAGAGGGGAGGAAAATGTAAGCATTTGATCACTGGGGCCGAAATGCAAGAAGTATAATATGTGGCGTTTTTGCACAAAGGACACGCGTGCAACAGGCGCAGTCTGTGTAGCAGCAGGAACTCTTTGGTTTTGCCAAGTGAATTGCGCCCGTAGTTCCAGAAAGGGCGGCGGAGAACTACGATTCCCAGCACGCAACTGTCGCCGCAATGAATCTATCGAGCCTTTCTGTTGATTCCAGCGACAGTTCACGGATATCGCCGGAAGGCGCCGCTCGCCACCCAACAACTTTGCGCCACAACACGCTCTTAAAGGCGTGCGATCGCCTTGCGAATGAAGAACTACGACGCCCGCCATGCCCTTGGGGCGCCGCTCGCGTGGTGCACCTTGGGAGTTGTATTGCGCCCGTTCCGAACGCATGGTAGACAGGGACTCGACAGAACTACAAACCCCATGATGCAAAGATAGTTCAAGGAAGGGAGGGAGAGGGGCGCGAAGCTGCACGCATGCGCAGGTGCAGAGGGGGAAAGAAGGGAAGACGTGAGATCAGTGAGTACCGGGCGGGTTAACGGGAGTGGAGGGCGGTTCAAGCCTCTAGACCCGTCTACTCAGGAGTAAGTCCCGCTCAGTTCCATGGGGCTTGCTCCCGGGTAAATGCTCGCTTTCCCGCAGCCGAAGCAGAAGCTTCCTTGTAGGTTTTGAAGCAGAGGCTGAATGGCCACCTGTCATGGGTGATCTCGCTGGGATCCCTGGACTAGATCACCGTCAGGGTCCCTTCCAACCCGACAATTCTGTGACAGGTCCCCCTTTCCCCGACCCCGAGGTTACTTACAATCCTGGCAGGGGAACCTGCGGCTTTCCGGGGGTCGCTGGACTCGCCACTCCCATCATTATCCCTGGGCAGGAGGTGGGTGGGCGCGAGTTGGAGCCCAGCAACCCCCAGATGGGTTTCGCGAGCGGGGGAGTCGGGACCCCTTGCCTCCGTGTTGTAGGTCAGGATGTGGGGGAGGCTGCGCCTGGTTCTTTGCTGTGCTTCTCATCCTCCCCTTTCCTTCCTTCCGGAGGCGGCAGGTGGGACGACCTCGAGTCTCGACCCGCCAGGCTGGCTGCGAGATGACCCTCTTCCACTTTGGGAATTGCTTTGCCCTCGCCTATTTCCCCTATTTCATCACCTACAAGTGCAGCGGCCTGTAAGTGTTGGGTGTGTGTGTTTGAGGGGTGGTGGGAATGTGAGGTGCATTGTTGGGGGTGATGTAGGGAGGTTCTGGCCGAGCTGGGACAGATTTGCTTCACCCTTTATGAGCAGTGTGGGACGCGGGTGGCACTGTGGGTTAAACCACAGAGCTTAGGGCTTGCTGACCTTTCAGAAGGTCGGCGGTTCGAATTCCTGCGACGGGGTGAGCTCCAGTTGCTCGGTCCCTGCTCCTGCCAACCTAGCAGTTCGAAAGCAGGTCAAAGTGCAAGTAGATAAATAGGTACCACTCTGGCGGGAAGGTAAGCGGCGTTTCCATGCGTTGCTCTGGTTCGCCAGAAGCGGCTTAGTCATGCTGGCCACATGATCCGGAAGCTGTACGCCGGCTCCCTCGGCCAATAAAGCGAGGTGAGCGCCGCAACCCCAGAGTCGGTCACGACTGGACCTTTATGAGCAGTGCATTTTGAGGGGCACATAATGGATGGAAAGCTAGAATGGGAGCAGGCTTTGCATGGGATGGTGTGGCCTCATTTGTTTAGTAGGGCTTGTGGGGTATACAAAACAGAGACTGGTGCCTTTTAATGTGTAGGAACACAGGAAGCTGCCTTATATGTCCATCCATTTCAGTATTGCCCACACTGACTGGCAGCAGCTCTCCAGTGTTTCGGGAAGGGTTCTCTCTCTCTCCCCCGTTCCTACCTGGAGATTCCAGGGATTGAACTTGGGATCTTCTGCATGCGCTCCTTTTGTAAACCACTGGCAGCCTCAAGCTTGTTGTTGCTTGGGAATACTAAGAAGCAGAAATATCAGTGCCGTTCCAAAGGCTCAGCCCACTCTCTTGATTCGAGAGAGCGTCAGATTGTATCCAAACGCTGATGAGCACTCGGTGCTTGATCTCAGGCGCTGCATGCAAAATTTGGTTATGATACCTTCAGAGGTGCCCAAATGCGTAGCAAGTAAACAAACCAAATTTCCAAAATATAAAGGGTGGTAAATAAAGTGCTGGTCCTACTCAAATCACACCCACTGAAACTAATAGACATGGCTAACATTGGTTCATTAATTTTAATTCAGAGCAGGGCTTAGCTTATTATGGGCTGCATGCAGTTATGTGAACCCTCCACACTCTGATGCCCCCCAGCTGTTTCAGATTACAACCCCCCTCATCCCCAATCATTGGCCATGCTGGCCAGGACTGATGGGAACTGGAGTCCGAAACATCTGGAAACAGTACTGTCCTTTTATCTCATTCTGTGGGGCCAGAGACCAAGAAATAAAAGCTCTGGCGGGGGGAAAACAGCCATTAACAAGAGAGCTCCTTCTGCTTCAGAAATATCCCATCCCACAAAGTGCTGTCTTTTTTATTTCTGCCCCTTTCAGGTCAGAGTATAATGCCTTCTGGAGGTGTGTCCAAGCCGGAGCTACCTACCTCTTTGTCCAGCTTTGCAAGGTATTGCCCGACCCCTTCGCTCTCTTGAAGTTTTAAGGAAGTAGCACATGAGAATCTGGATGCTGAGAATGTGAAGTCCATTGCAAAGGAGGCACACAGCTCTCTCGGCAACGCCCTTGCGCTGGTGCATAGTTTGATGGGTTGTGCCATGGACTTTCTGAGTTTGATCCCATTGCGGTGTCCAGCAAGGCAGGACTGGGGAATATGGGGCCTTCTCGGTGTTGCTGGACTCTTAACTCCCGTCAGCACCAGGCAGCATAGCAAATAGTGGAGGGTGATGGGAGATGAAGTTCAGCAACATCTAGGAGGCCTGTCACTGCAGCGGTGAGAATATTTGTTCTTGTTTGGGCCATAATTCTGTATCCACTAAGCTGGGAGTAAGTGCCATTATAGTTTGTTGGACTTCACCCTAAACTGGGCAATCCTATACAGTGGTACCTCGGGTTAAGTACTTAATTCGTTCCAGAGGTCCGTTCTTAACCTGAAACTGTTCTTAACCTGAAGCACCACTTTAGCTAATGGGGCCTCCTGCTGCTGCCACGCCACCGGAGCCCAATTTCTGTTCTCATCCTGAAGCAAAGTTCTTAACCTGAAGCACTATTTCTGGGTTAGCGGAGTCTGTAACCTGAAGCGTATGTAACCTGAAGCATATGTAACCCGATGTACCACTGTATATGTGTTAAGAGACCTGATTCTCAGGATCACCTGCAGAAGCTCAGAAAGTGAACAGAGAAATTGTTACTTCCCTCTCTCAAAGCACTAGAACTCCCGAGTCTGTCAGTGAAGCTGGATGTTGGAAAATTCAGGGAAGACAGAAGAAAAACGCTTCTTCACACAGCACAGAGTTAAACTGTGGAACTCTCTTCCACAGGAGGCAGGAATGGCCACCAATTTGGATGGCTTTAAAAGAAGATTATAGACAGATCCATGGAGAACAAGGCTATCAATGGCTACTAGCCACCATCCGCTTCTGAATGCCAGTTACCGGGGAAAACAGTGGGGCAGAGTGTTTTCATTCTCAGGTCTTGCTTTGGGGGCTTGTCACAGGCTCCTGGTTTGCCACCGTGAAAACAGGATGCCAGACTCGGTGAGCCATTAGCCTGATCCAGCAGGACTCTTTGTATATTAGAATCTGGGCATATGAAGCCAGCTAACAATGGGTACTCAATGGACAGTCCTGTACCTGTGATTTCAGTAGCCTTTTCTAAAAAAAATGCTGTGCTGTGCTAACTTTTTTGCTCTTCCCCAAAGGGACAGGGCCTTTTCAGTGGTGGCCCCTGTACTTGTTGTGAAGTGCCCTCACTGGGAATAGTGCCCCCCCGACTGTTGCCTTTCACCACAATCCTCAAAATGTTAATCGTGAAATTTTGCTGCTCATTCTCATGGGCTGTAATGAAGGCTCGAATCGGAGAGTGTTCTATATTTTCAGGATTCTGGTAGAACATAACTATGTCCACTGTACATTTTCTTCCCTGTTTTTATAAATGTTTTCATTCATAAATGTTGGTTGCTGCCTTCTCTCTCTTACAGATGCTGTTCTTAGCCACCTTCTTCCCGACTTGGGAGGGCGGCGTAGGCGCTTACGACTTCATTGGAGTAAGTCTGGCACTTGGGCAAGCAGGGCAGGGTGGGAGCCTACAAGGATGGAGGTACAACTACCCGTATCACATACTACTGACCGTCCTACAACATTGGGAGCATCTGTGCTTGCATAACTTGAGGGATGTGGATTTGGGAGGACGGGGGGAATTGGGGTTTTCCTGTCTGCTGCTCTGAAACCTTTCCTCTTGTACCAGGAATTCATGAAAGCCACCGTAGACTTGGCCGACCTGGTGGGCTTGCACCTGGTCATGTCGCGGAACGCAGGGAAAGGGGAGTACAAGATCATGGTGGCTGCCATGGGATGGGCCACAGCAGAGCTCATCATGTCCCGGTGAGTTGGGCCTTAGCCCTGCCCTAGGGGGTGGAGCCAGAGCTAGTGGGGGAGGTATGTGGGCGGAGCTCAGTTGGAGCCACTTATCCCAGGTGAATGTGAGGTTCTGATGTGGGTTTTTATGTCTCTGCCTCCTCCATCAGCAATGTTGCGTGCTTTTATTTTATTTTTTTACATGCTTTTAATCCACATTCATTCATCTGGAGAAACTATTAAACCCCTCATTCAAATGAACGTAGCAGGCACTAATATTCTGACTTTACCCACAAAATGCCTCCAACAACTAAAAATGAATAGTACCTATTTGACCATCAATTGCATGGTTTGTTAAAAAAACCTATTTTTGTTTCCTTTTTCATCATCACCTTACAATTGCTTAACTCCGCCTTCCTCCTCCCTTTCAGGCCAATTCTTTGCACTTTCAATTTTCTGTAAAATTCCCCACAAGCCTGATATGTTTCTGCAACCAGCTGGAACAAATATATCTCTTTTCTTTCTCTTCCCCCAAACGATTTAAATAACTCTTTTAAGTTGTTTAAAGGGTTTCAAGGGGTGGGAGTTTATTCTCATGAAGGTGTGGTTCGTTTCTAAAATGATAGGCGCTGGGACTTGTATCTGCCTGGAGGGGCTAATCCTTACGCTGCCACATAGCTTGGATTGTTCTTGCTTCATTGCAGAGGCAGACACACTCTGCACATGCCTGTGGAAACTTTAGTGTGTTGGATGTCCCCAAGCTGAACTTTGACACAGAATAAATAAAAAAATTGTCCAGTAGCACCTTAGAGACCAACTAAGTTTGTTCTGGGTATAAGCTTTCGTGTGCATGCACACTTCTTTAGATACTTTGGTATCTGAAACTTAGTTGGTCTCCAAGGTGCTACTGGACAATTTTTTAAATTTATTTTTACACAGAATATTAGGCTCTGGTGCTACATTCTAGGGAGCCTTTGTGATGAGCAATCCTGGGTGTGCAGCCCTAGGTTTCATTTTGAATTTGGAAAGACTTTCATGGCTCATAATTACAGGCTGATCCCTGGTTGTGCAAGAGCTTTTGGAAGGTTGCTCTTTTTCCTTTTCCTTTTTGCAACCAGTGTGTGTGTCGTGTCTGTGTGTGCATGTGTAATGTCTGGTTTTCGAGATCCTTGGATGTAGCTGTACGCAATCAGCACTGCTGTGACAGACCAGCTCCGTCTCCTCCTGCCTTGCTGTCATCTTGGAAGAGACAGGAAGAGAGACAGGAAGCAGAAGGCTCATTCCATTGAAAGCCAGTGTGGTGTAGTGGTTAAGAGTGGTGGACTCATAATCTGGTGAACCAGGTTTTGCTTTTCCACATGCAGCTGCTGGGTGACCTTGGTCTAGTCACGCTTCTCTGAAGTCTCTCAGCCTCACTCACCTCACAGAGTGTTTATTGTGGGGGATGAAGGGAAAGGAGATTGTTAGCCGCTTTGAGACTCCTTCGGGTAGTGATAAAGCGGGATATCAAATCCAAACTCTTCCATTACCTTTGCCAAAAGCCCAGCTCCATCAGTCACCTCCTTACCAGCTGGTCATTGTAAGAACAGCTGTTCTTACAGCCTGAGTTTGACTTTTTCCTCTTCCCTCCTTGTCCTTTTTCTTTGCGTGCCATGCTTTTTTAGATTGCAAGCCTGAGGGTAGGGATTGTCTTGTTTAATTGATTGCCCACAGGCCACTCTGGGGGTCCTTTTGACTGAAGAGTGGGTACCAAATGCTCTGAAGAAATGAATAAATAAATGTGTGAAGTGTGCCTGACGCCGCTGTGCTTTTGACAGATGCATCCCGCTCTGGGTGGGAGCTCGTGGAATTGAGTTTGACTGGAAATACATCCAGATGAGCATCGACTCTAACATCAGTCTGGTAAGTGCTGATTCTGCTGTTGCCTGTTGCAAGCTTCTCTAAAGCAGTGCCCCTGCTGGTAGGGAGGAAGTCTTCGGATAGTCTTCCCTGCTTTTGTTTTCTTCCCCTGCTGTTCTAGTGGTGGTGTTTTTATAACAGAAGAAATACACTTTTTTGTGTGTGTCCCTGTGTGTTCTGATGAATCAATCCAATTAACTGTTTGACTAAAACTGCATAACTTTGTATATGGGTCTGAATGCATGTGAGAATAATAGTTCAAAAGAGACTATAACGCTCAGTGTTAATGTTTCTGCATTAAATCCATGTTCCCTTCTGAACTGAGCTGTTCTTAAGTGACAGTGGACTAGTTTGCAATCTAAAATTATGCATTTTAATAAAATCCAGGCTGGCTATGAGGCTTGTATAGCAGGCAGCCTGGAAATAAATTTTACAGGTGTATACTTATAACGAAGTCACTATCTGAGTGTGGATCCATAGGCAACCAAAACACCACTGTCTATATACAAAAGGGAAGTATTGCATCATCTAATTTTGGATTGCCCTCTTCTCAACACCCATCGCAGAGATCTCCTAGTGACTCCCTTACAGCTCAAAATACAGTCAAACCTTGGTTCCTGAACATAATCAGTTCCGGAAGCCCGTTCGACTTCCAAGATGTTCGACAACTGAGGTGCAGCTTCCGATTGGTTGCAGGAGCTTCCTGCACTCAAGCGGAAGCCGTGTCAGACATTCAGCTTCTGAAAAACATTTGAAAACCGGAGCATTCACTTCTGGGTTTTTGGCGTTCGGGAGCTTAAACGTTCTAAAACGGAGGTGTTTGGGAGCCAAGGTTTGACTGTATCAACTTGCAAAGGCTCTGTAATCCAATATTTGTTGAGGGATGATACTCCTGAAACTACCAATATTGTTTTGCGGTATTTAGCCGAGGTCTTTAAAGCTAAATCTAAAGTTGCCTGATTTATTAAATGGTGGGTATCTAGTCTTTTATATACTGTATTGTCTGTGTTTGGTTTATCAAAGTATTTGGGTGACTTTGTATGATTTTATGATTGTACTGTTTTAACTTATGCCAATAAAGGCTAGTTACAAGTTACAACTATGGATAACAGTGGTGTACAGGGTGTATGATGTAGCCTGTCTAGGAGAAGAAAAACTCTGGTCCTTAACCTCCGCTGCCTCGCGGGATGTGCCACAGAAAGGATTTGGAATCATTCCTCTCTCTGTTTGCTCCCTTTGCGCCCCCCCCCATTTTTCTTCTCCCAGGTCCACTATATTGCCACGGCCGCCCTGGTATGGATGTTTACACGCTACGATTTACCCAAACACTACCGACTGCCCCTCACTTTCCTGCTGGGAGTCAGTGTCTACAAGGCTTTCTTCATGGAGTGAGTCACTGGGTGCTTGTAGCTTGGAGTTGGGGCTTGGGGCTTGTGCGTTTCGGGCCGTGGCTTCCATTAGCTGATTGAATATAAGGCAGCTTTCTTCGATTCCTTCAATACCTTGCTCAGTATTGTCTACACCAGCCTCCCAGATAATGTTCGACTGCGACTCCTGTTATTTTATTCATTGCATGCACACCCCATCTTTCCTCCAAGTTGCTCAACGTGGTGGTTCTCTTTGTCCCCCTTTTATCCTCACAACAACCCTGTGAGGGAGGTCGGGCTGAGAGTTGAGGGACTGGCCCAAGCTCACTCAGTGAGCTTTCATGGCTGAGCAGGGATTTGAACCCAGGCCTCCCAGGTCCTAGTCCAACACTCTAACCACTGCGCCATATTGGCTTGCTGTTAGCCTTGGTCAATATCATCCCAGTGGTCAGGGATGCACAAGGATGGCGAAAGAGGGGTCTACGCTGACTAGAAGAGGCTCTCCAGGGTTTTAGCTGAGAATCTTTCCCATTCCTACCTCGAGAGCCTAGCGATTAAATCTGGGGACGTTCTGCATGTGGAGCATGTGCTCTGCTGCTGAGCTATGACCCTTCCCCAAATATATAAGCATTAAACATTGCAGGATGTTTTCTTTCAAGCATGGAAGTTGTAAGCACGGAACTGCGACCTCCTGCTCTCCTGCCCCACTAAATCCTTACAGCCACGGAAGGACTGTAGTTCAGTGGTAGAGCATCTGCCTTGCGTGCAGAAGGTCGCAGGTTCAATCCCTGGTGTCTCCAGGCAGGGCTGAGGAATGCTTCTGTCTCAAACCCTGGAGAGCTGCTGCCAGTCAGAGTGGGCAGCACTGCGCTAGATGAACCAGTGCTTTGATTTGGTAGAAAGCAGCTCCCGATGTTCCTCTGCTCCTTACCAACCCTCTCCCTTTTCTTTTCCTTCCCAGGTCTTTCGTCCATGTTTTCCTCCTGGGCAGCTGGACAGCCCTCCTGGTCAAGGCTGTCATCACTGGTCTCCTTTCCCTCAGCTCCCTGACTCTCTTTGTCACTCTGGTACACAGCAACTGAGGGTTCATTCCCTCCCACTCGGGAAGGAGACATTGCCTTTGCATCCCGGCGGGATTGTCCGGCCAAGTCACTTTCGCCAAGTCGAGACACGGTTTGATCCTGCCCGCGGTGAGATTGGCCTCAGCGCGGCCTCTGCTTGCAGGCGAGGGGAATAATAATAATAAACAGGTTTTGGTATTTCTGTGGTTTGCAGTGGTTAAGTTCTTTTTGACTTCATTGGAGGTTTTTAAATGGAGGTTGGGTGGCCGTTTGCCAGGGATTCCTTAGCTGCAATTCCTGCGTTGCAGGGGGGTTGGACTAAATGTCCCCTGGGGGTCCGTTCCAGTGCTACAATTTTATGATTCTGTGACTGTTGTTTGAACAGGCCTGTTACGCTGCATGGGAATGGCATCAAATGTGGGTCTTTGTTTTCTCCTTGAAGTAGGCGTGATCAGTGTCAAGTCAGTGGTGGCTTTGCAAGGAGGTGACTTGAGTTGTCACAGAGTAAGGCAGGGTAGGCATAAATGCATTGTAGCTGCTGAAAAGCATCTGCGTTAGACCCAGGAACCAAATGCCTGCTAGTGTGTCTTCCCATCTGCCTTCCCCTTGTCAATTTGAGGGCCCCACCGCCCCAAAATAGGTTTGTTTTGTGTGAAAAGTGTAAATAATTGCTTCCTGCGCATCTCTAAATTTAGGGTGGAATAATAGGAGAGTCTAGTAGCAGAAAGTGACAATTACATGGGTGTGTGCACCCAAAAGCTTCATGGGGAAGTGGGGTTCTTTCCGTCAGGTTGAAGGGAGTTAAGCAAGCTCTTAGTGATGTATGGAAGTGAGAGCTGGACCATCAAGAAGGCTGATCGCCGAAGAACTGATGCTTTTGAATTACGGTGCTGGAGGAAACTCTTGAGAGTCCCATGGACTGCAAGAAGATCAAACCAATCCATTCTTAAGGAAATCAGCCCTGAGTGGTCACTGGAAGGACAGATCATGAAGCTGAGGCTCCAGTACTTTGGCCACCTCATGAGAAGAGAAGACTCCCTGGAAAAGACCCTGATGTTGGGAAAGATGGAGGGCACAAGGAGAAGGGGACAGCAGAGGACGAGATGGTTGGACAGTGTTCTTGAAGCTACCAGCATGAGTTTGACCAAACTGCGGGAGGCAGTGGAAGACAGGAGTGCCTGGCGTGCTCTGGTCCATGGGGTCACAAAGAGTCGGACACGACTAAAAGACTAAACAACAACAAGCAAGCTCTCTCTCTACAGTGTGTTATTTTCCCTAGTGAGTTGGTTGGAGGTTCTTGAAAATGTACATACCTATAGCAAAGGGATCCTTTAACTTTCCATATAAGCTGGTGCACAGGGCAGTGGGTGACTCTGCTCCCTGTTGAGGGCGACTGCCATATTTTGATTCATTCAGACCCTGCAGTTCTGCATGTTGTTGCAAACATTTTCGATGCGCACCACCGAATTCCAGTGACGGCTTATGAATAAATAATTGTGCAGTTCATGGTTGAGATCTGCTATGGTGGGGGGTGGGGGTGGGGATTGGATCTGGCTGACGGGCCAGGTCCTGGATCTGTCCCACGGGCCAGGTTTTACAAGTGTCAGATCACTCAGTGCCATCGTGAAGCGGTGCTTTGAAGAGCCAATGATCAGCTGGTGGCTGGGGCTGCAAAGCGCTGCTCAGAGCTCTTTGCACAAGCTCTTGCAGAAAGCCCTGTCCTGTGCTTTGACGTTTGGTTGGCTGGCGTGCAGGGAGTCTGGAGTGCCCAAGGATCTGCTGGTTGGTGGTGCTTCAGAAGCCCTTTTTGGCCCGGCTCAGCCCCATTCCTGCCTACCCACTCCTATATCAGGGATTCCCAACCTGGGGTGCAGACTTACTCCAAAGGAGCAGTGAAGAAGTTATCCCACCCCCACCGCCTTGCCATCTGCTCCTTTGCTTAAAGGAGCAGGGGAGGATCCTTCAGAGGGTGCCTTTGCCAACATAGCAATTTTAGTCAATTGTACCTTAAGACGAAGAAGGAGAAAAACATCTGCAAAGGTACCTGGTCAGCTGGAGTAGACCCTGCTTCACCATGGTTGAGCAGCAGCATGGCTAGCTTCAAACCCGTTGACACTCAGTGGGCTACACAGTTGTGCAAATTTTGCTTGAATCAGAAATCCTTCGTATGATGACGGACTGCAGCACACACCATCACTGACTGTCTGCCATGCTCGTCGGGGTTGATGGGAGTTGTAGTCCAGCAAAATGTGGAAGGCCATGGGCTCCTGGCCTCTGTAAATAATGCTGACCCAAAATCACCAAAAACTTGAATGCAGCTCCCATATAAACGAAATGCCAATTTGCATTCATTGGCTTATCTTTTGTCATTTTATTTTAATTCTGTTTCTCATGCCTTGCTCGCCCTCCTCCCCTCTGCTCTGTCACATAGAGATTTTGTTGGCATGCTGCTTTTACATGTATATTTACAGCCTTCAGAGTTAGAAACTTGGTATTTATTTTTTTAAAAATGCACATGAAAACTCTCATGATCTAGAAATCCTGTGCCAATTTGTTACTCGGCTGTGATCTCAGCACCTGCAATCATACATATATAATTTCCCTCTGCACATCAGCACCCTTAAATCATTTCTTGATGAAGGACTAGCTGTCTTCCCCCAAAGTAGCTGAGTGGGAACTGTGGTAGCCTGAAGCTTAAGTTTTATCTTAAAGGTGTTGTTTGCATCAACAGAAGTATTGTGTCCAGATCAAGGGAAGTAATAGTACCACTCTATTCTGCCTTGGTCAGACCACACCTGGAATACTGTGTCCAGTTCTGGGCACCACAATCTAAGAAGAATATTGCCAAGCTGGAACGTGTGTGGAGGAGGGCAACCAAGGTGGTCAAGGGTCTGGAAACCAAGCCTTATGCTGAATGGTTGAGGGAGTTGTGTTTGTTTAGGCTGGAAAAGAGAAGGCTAAGAGGAGATACGACAGCCACTTTCAAATAACTCAAGGGCTGTCACATGGAATATGGAGCAAGATTGTTTTCTGCTGCTCTAGAAAGTAGGGCCTGAACCAATGTATTCAAATGGACAAGAAAGGAGATTGTGACTAAAAATTAGGAAAAACTTTCTACCAGTAAGAGCTGATCAACAGTGGAACAGACAACCTCGGAAGGTGGTGAGCTCTCCTTCCTTGGAGGCTTTTCAACAGAGTTTGGGTGGCCATTTGTCAGGAATTCTTTAGCTGAGATTCTTGTATTGCAGAGGGTTGGACTGGATGATGCTTGGGGTCCCTTCCAACCTTACGATTCTTTGATTCTGTGGTGTGAAATGTGGCAGGCTTGGCTCAGCAGTTGTTGATGACAGAAGCAAATCCTTGATTTCCTTGTCTCCGTTGCACAAGCAGGGAAAATGGGAAAAAGCTCCACCCAAAAGAAGCTTTGCCTTTAGTAGTAGAGCTCTTTGTCCCACCAACCTGGAGGAAGGGAAATTTTTATGATTAATTTGCAGAATTTGTATCCCATCCTTTGGCCCCCAAAGGCTCTCACAGCTGCATACAAAAATAAGTTTCAAAGATGTCCCCTGCCCATAGGCTCATAATTTAAGAAAACAAGACAAATGAGGGGAAAAGTAACAAGATGGAGGAGAGAGAAAGCAAGCTGAGGAACAAGTCCTTAAAAATTACAGCCAATGTCAGTGTCGGTTCTGGCTGTCTTGCCCTTAGTTCAGATAAAAGATGAATAAGAAGGGTAGATTAGTATATGAAATCACATATGCCATGCAGAAGGTGGATAAGAAAAGCCGAATGTTGGAAGATTTGGGACAGATAAAAGAAAATTCTTCATGGAGCACATAGTTAAACTATGGAACTCACTCCCACAAGAGGCAGTGATGGCTGCCAACTTGGATGGCTTTAAAAGAGGATTGGGCAAATTCTTGGAGGACAAGGCTACCAATGGCTTCTGTGTCCTACAACAGGAATTCAGAAGCAGGCTGCCTCTGACCATGGAGAGACACCATTGCAGGCTTCCCTCACAAAGCCCAGGGAGCATTCCTGCCTGCTGTTCTGAGTGCTGCTTTGGCTGCTAGATGCAGGACCAAGACCAGAAGGTTGACCCAAAGGTCAGTAGCCACCACAACAGGGCAGGAGAGTGTGCCTGAAGACCCACATGTCATTTCTGCATTGGCAGATGCAACAGGTGAATTCTCTTCCCCCAGTTACTTACTTCCAGGGTGTCTCCGGACTCCCAACTTTCGGATTTCATCATAGACGAAGATGAGAAGACCATAGGGTAGCGGCACCAGCCACCACTGGAATCTAAGCAGGAAAAAGGGTGTTCAGTGCTACATTGCTAAGCCAGCCAGCTGAGCTCAGTTATCGTTATGTTGGGTTGGCCCAAGGCAGACAGGAAACCAACCTCAAAAATGAGGTAGCATCAGTAGCAGGACAAACAAAGGGAGGGGAGTCCAGGAGCTACATATAAGTGTTTATCGCAATACGTTTCAGAAAAAAATTCTTAAGGATTCTGCAAATATGCAAATAACCTTGGAAAAAGGGTAACTGTTGCAAAATAAAAACAGAGTGAAATCTCTTTTGTAATCTAAAAATTAACCAGAGATTTACCAGTACATCTCAATTTGCCCGTTGCTGGCCTAGGAGATGCTTCCACTAACAGAACAAAGCTGCTGGGCTGCTGTCCATGGTGCTGGGTGAAAGAGAGCCCTATCTACTGTATACAGTAATCTGCTTTCCCCCTTTCAGGCTAGCATGGAGAATTAGGAAGGTGAGCTGGATGGGTGAGTTAAGTGGTGGTGTCACAACTCTGTACCAGGTGATGTCCTAAGTCATACCAAGTCAGGCTGCCTTGCTCCATCTATCTGGAGGTGCCATTCGTATGCTGCCAGACATCCACTCCAGTTGGTATAGCAAAATGGTCAGGGGTGATGCTGACCAACAACATCTGGATGGCCCTCCATTGACTACCTTTCGAGATACATCAGTTCAAAGAAGCTTTATTAGATCCAGCTGCCCTGCTCTCTTCTACAGAGTATCTTCCATTGGTTGTTTTTGTTTTTGGAGTGGAGTGGAGGGCTAAATCTGCCCCATGGAGGCATTTGAGGTCTTACCTTATAGGCATAAAGTTGAAGATGTTGGGCATCCCAGGGCAGTAGCAGAGGAAGCAGCCCAGGCAGAGCTGGAACACGATGGCTATCACCAAGACTTTGTTCCTGAAAAGGGAAGGGGGTGTTTCAGGGTGGGTGACGAATAGGAAGACCTATGGCTGCTCTTGGTTTCAGCGAAGTAGGTAGCATGATTGAGGGGAGATGGGGCGGGGTGCTTCTATCACAATAACTTCTGTTGCAAGAACAGAAAATGCAGCATATTGTATAGCACAGAACTATGTTTGGCTTGGAGATTCGTTCGGCTCCCACATACCGGAAGAATCCCTGCTGGAAGACAGAAAGGCGTCGTGTTTTGCGGATGAGCACGTCGGCGATCTGGCACATCTCAATGCTGATGAAGAAGACGGTGTAGCAGGTGTACTCCTGGTACAGGCGCTGCCCAAAAGTCTGCAAGGGGGAAGAATCTATCAGTGAGGACAGAGTGATGCTTGGCTATCTTCTGTCCTCTCTCCCTGCACCAGCTGCACCCACCAGCTTAGGGGGCCCAGTGTCGCCTCCTGCAAGGGAAAGGCTGGGCTTCCCATTCCCTACACAGGATCTGGGCTCTGATGGAGAACCTGTGGCCTTCTACGTGCTGTTGGGCTGCAACACCCTACTGTGGGCTATGCTGGCTCCTTTGTGAGTCATTCCAATAAACGATGGGGGGCACTTCCATTCAGGCAGACGGGGCGCTGCCCCACCAACCTCAGTCTGCCTGAAGCCAGCCCCCACCTGCCTCCCATCTTATGTGCAACCCGCCCTGGGTGTTGGTGTGCCTCCTGCTCGGTCTCAGTGCTGCCTCATGTGGAACTGAACGAGGAGGAGGAGGAGGACAAAACCAGAATGAGTTGGCTCTGCCTGCCATTGGATCTCTGGCTCTACCTACTGCTGGCCTCCCTGCCTTACGCCCTACCAGTCCTCAAGGGCACCAGCCACCACTGATAAAATACTATACAGTCATACCTCTGGTTACGGATGCTTCAGGTTGTGTTTTTTTGGGTTACGGACCTGCCGAAACCCAGAAGTACTGGAACGGGTTACTTCCAGTTTTCGGTGGTTGTGCATGCGCAGAAGTGCCGAATCGCAACCTGCGCATGCACAGACGCGCCACTGCAGGTTGCAAATGCTGCAGGTTGCGAATGTGCATCCCACACAGATTATGTTCACAACCCGAGCGTCCACTGTATATGATTTTAGTGATTAGCTGCACCCTCCAGGATCTAGGGCAAACCTTGATGCTTTAAACCTACTCTCTCTCTCCATACACAGATGCAAAGTTCCTGCCTGATTATGGCAATTTAAAGTTGTTGTTGTTTTAAATAATAATTTAACTGATAATTCAATCAAACATTGTGGGCCACATTCATCACACTGTGATTTCCAGCAGCTGGTATTCAGAGGCTTACTGAATAGAGGTATAGAATCATAGAATTGTAGAATTGGAAGATATAGGCCAACCAAAGGTAGAACACAGGCATCATAGCAAATCAACCGTGTTCTTTTTGCCTTCTCAGTAAGCTGGCTAAGTGCTTCAGGACCCTTGTTCTCCTCAGGTTTCTTTGTCTTTAAATGGGGCCGCCTTTCAGAGACAGGACTGTCCCCGACAAAGCGGGACATTTGGCCATCCTGCCTGGAGGCCAGAAGCAGCATAATAATAATAATAATAATAATAATTTATTATTTATACCCCGCCCATCTGGCTGGGCTTCCCCGGCCACTCTGGGCGGCTTCCAAAAGAATATTAAAATACTATAATACATCAAACATTAAAAGCTTCCCGAAACAGGGCTGCCTTCAGATGTCTTCTAAAAGCCTGGTAGTTGTTGTTCTCTTTGACATCTGGTGGGAGGGTGTTCCACAGGGAAGGCGCCACTACCGAGAAGGCCCTCTGCCTGGTTCCCTGTAACTTGGCTTCTCGCAGTGAGGGAACCGCCAGAAGGCCCTCAGTGCTGGACCTCAGTGTCCGGGTAGAACGATGGGGGTGGAGACGCTCCTTCAGATATACTGGACCAAGGCCGTTTAGGGCTTTAAAGGTCAGCACCAACACTTTGAATTGTGCTCGGAAACGTACTGGGAGCCAATGTAGGTCTTTCAAGACCGGTGTTATGTGGTCTCTGCGGCCGCTCCCAGTCACCAGTCTAGCTGCCGCGTTCTGGATTAGTTGTAGTTTCCGGGTCACCTTCAAAGGTAGCCCCACGTAGAGCGCATTGCAGTAATCCAAGCGGGAGATAACCAGAGCATGCACCACTCTGGCGAGGCAGTCCGCAGGCAGATAGGGTCTCAGCCTGCGTACCAGATGGAGCTGGTAAACAGCTGCCCTGGACACAGATTTGACCTGTGCCTCCATGGACAGCTGTGAGTCCAAAATGACTCCCAGGCTGCGCACCTGGTCCTTCAGGGGCACAGTTACCCCATTCAGGACCAGGGAATCCTCCACACCTGCCCGCCTCCTGTCCCCCCAAAACAGTACTTCTGTCTTGTCAGGATTCAACCTCAATCTGTTAGCCGCCATCCAACCTCCAACCGCCTCCAGGCACTCACACAGGACCTTCACTGCCTTCACTGGTTCTGATTTGAAAGAGAGGTAGAGCTGGGTATCATCTGCATACTGATGAACACCCAGCCCAAATCCCTGATGATCTCTCCCAGCGGCTTCATGTAGATGTTGAAAAGCATGGGGAGAGGACAGAACCCTGAGGCACCCCACAAGTGAGGGCCCAGGGGTCTGAACACTCATCCCCACCACCACTTTCTGAACACGGCCCAGGAGGAAGGAGCGGAACCACTGTATAACAGTGCCCCCAGCTCCCAGCCCCTCAAGACGGTCCAGAAGGATGTTATGGTCGATGGTATCAAACGCCGCTGAGAGATCCAGCAGAACTAGGAAACAGCTCTCACCTTTGTCCCTAGCCCGCCGGAGATCATCAACCAGTGCGACCAAGGCAGTTTCAGTCCCATGATGAGGCCTGAATCCCGACTGGAAGGGATCCAAATGGTCCGCTTCTTCCAGGCGTGCCTGGAGTTGTTCAGCAACCACTCGCTCAATCACCTTGCCCAAGAATGGAAGATTTGAGACTGGGCGATAGTTGGCTATCGTGGCCGCATCTAAAGATGGTTTTTAAGAAGCGGTTTAATAACCGCCTCTTTCAGCGGGTCTGGGAAGGCTCCCTCACGGAGGGAAGCATTCACCACCCCACGAAGCCCATCGCCCAGTCCTTCCCGGCTAGCTTTTATAAGCCAGGATGGGCAAGGATCAAGGAGGCAAGTGGTTGGTTTCACTCGTCCAAGCAGCCTGTCCACATCCTCGGGGTAACAGATTGGAATTGATCCCACACCACTTGACTAGACAGGACTCTAGCCCTCTCCCGCCCCGGCCCTGCTCCCACGGTGGAGTCTACCTCTTCTCGAATCTGAGCGACTTTATCTGCAATGACTTTGCAAAGTCATTGCAGGAGATCATGTGGCCGCTACTGGGCCCTGATGGAGCAGGTGGTTCCGCTAAATTGCGAACCACCTGAAAGAGTCTCCTGCTGCTGTTTTCCGCAGATGCAATAGAGGCGGTGAAGAAAGTCTTCTTCGCCGTCGCTATCGCCACTTGGTAGGCTCGACATTGAGCTCTAACCCGTGTCCGGTCAGATTCAGAATGGGTTATCCGCCACCGGCGCTCTAGCCGTCTCAGCGATTGTTTCATTGCCCTCAGATCCGTGGAAAACCACGGGGCTGTCCGGACTCCATGCAATCGGAGAGGGCGCTTTGGAGCCAAACAGTCAATAGCCCTGGTTAACTCCACATTCCAGCGGGCCACCAGGGAATCAGCTGAAAGGCCATCAACATGGGATAAAACATCCCTACCACTCTCTGGAAACCATTTGGATCCATTAAGTGGCGGGCCGGACCATCTGAATCGGTCCCGCCTCCCTGCAGAGGGGAGGGTCACGGAGAAGTCCAGTTGCACCAGGAAGTGATCTGACCATGGCACTTCTTTGGTTTCGCTTTTACTTAATGTCAGATCACCAACATCCATAGAGGTGAACACCAGGTCTAAGGCATGCCCGTGGCTATGAGTTGGGCCAGACTTATTCAGGGACAGCCCCATGGAGGCCATGCTTTCCACGAAGTCCCGAGCGGCCCCTTGTAAGGTCGTGTCGGCATGGATGTTAAAGTCCCCTAGGACAACCAAACTAGGTGTCTCCAGGAGGACATCCGCCACGACCTGAAGCAGCTCGGGCAGGGAATCCTTGGTGCAGCGGGGAGGTCGGTACACCAATAGGAATCCTGTACTGCCCCTATTGCCCAACTTCCAGAACATGCACTCAGAGAACTGGGTCTTTCCAATAGGACGCCTGGTGCAAACTAATGACTTCCTAAAAATCACTGCAACCCCCTCCCCGCCCACAAGGCCTGGGTTGCTGTGCGTAAGAGAAACCTGGTGGACAAGCAGCGGCAAGGACGGGCCCATCTGCTTCATCCAACCAGGTCTCTGTCACACATGCCAGGTCAAATCCTCCATCCACAATCAGGTCGTGGATGGCAGAGGTTTTATATAGCATGTCTCCTCCACTCACCCACTCTTGTCCGTAGCTATCCTGAACATCTTGGATATGGTCGTTCTCCCAGGCTGCCCGAAGCCCCACACACTTCAGCGGGTACCAGCCTTCCTGGGCCATGGCAGTGAAGTAATCGGTGAAGCCAGCAAAGGACTGGATGGCTCCTGCGTGGCAGGGAAGAACAGGGGAGTTTGTGTCAGTGGGCGGCTAATCCCAAAGGCTGGTCCATTAGAGCACATGGAGCCACTGCCCCCCTGACCCAAGCTGCCCCCAAACATTCCCAACCTGCCTGCCAGGTGTAGTGGGCCTGGGGTTTTGAGAAGGGTCATGGACCTGCTACCATTTCTGCAGCAGGGTCTTGGCAGCATCCCTTTCTCCAGAGTCCCAGGGCCACCCAAATCAGCTTGAAAGGGGAGCTTTTAAGCCACTGGGAAGAAGTGTCACCACCTTTCTTGCTGATTGGAACCAATCGGAGTGAAAGGAGGTGAGTCAACCACAGAGGATTGGCTCCTCGGGTCAACCCGGAGAAGGCGTGTGGGAAGAACAGCAAGGAGAAGTTGTTCCCTTTGCTCCAAAGATGAGCACTGAAAACAAGGCACTTCAGTTTCAAGAGAACAGTGTACAGTGTAACGTACAGTTGACCTTTATGGGGAAAAAACAACTTTAGTGACTCCAAAAGAAGAGCCGCTTCAGATCATTCCCCTGCGTGCACTTGCACAGAAAATAGTAGATCTGGATCAGGGTTTCCTAAATTTGGGTCTCTAGCTGTTTCTGCACTACAATTCCCATTATCCCTAGCTAGCAGGACCAGTGGTCAGGGATGATGGGAATTGTAGTCCAAAAACAGCTGGAGACCCAAGTTTGGGAAACTGATCTAGATGAAAGGTGTTCTGTGGAGATCTGCATGGATGTCTGTAGTGGATCCCTAATTATTATTGTATAATTATATGTTTATTTATGATCTTAGAAGGTTGTATAATCTCAGAAGGGGTGTGGCTGTGAGGGAGCCTGGCTGCGATCATCATGAACAGATCCTGTGCTTCTGAATTTGCCACTGCACAACCATCCATCACTGCTCAGATGATGTGCCTTTCTCCTCCCCATGGGATAAGGCATGATGGGGCAGGTATCTAAGCCAATTCCTGCCAGTCCCTATAGAAGCTCCACTCCACATGGAGCCCACCTAGGCTTCCCTGCCTTGTCTCACGTAACATAGCTTGCTCTCCCCCGCTTTCCAACCTCTAGGCTCCCCCCTTCCAGCTCTAATACACACCAATCTGGAAGTAGGAGTAGACCGCTAGCGCTTCGTTGACCAGACGGTCCCGTCGAGGGTTGCGTGGTTTCAGGTGCATGATGTCACTCTCAGCCCTTTCATAGGCCAGGGAAACTGAGGGGAACTGAGAAGAGAGATGAGAAAGGTTTTTGTTTTGGAGTTGGGGGTCGGAAACAAGACTGAGCAGCCCTGGGAAAGAGCCTCTGCTGGATTAGTGTTGGCCACTCACAATGTCTGTGCACAGCTCGATAAACAGGATGGTGATACAACCCAGGGGGAGCGGGACACTGACAGTGATGTAGATCAGATAGGGCGTCAGCTCTGGGATGTTCTTGGTTAGGGTGTACGCGATGGATTTCTTGAGATTGTCAAAGATCAGGCGCCCTGAAAGGAAGAAAAGAATGAAAGAAAGATGGCGGTGGGTTTAATGGATGACTCCTGTTGTTGAGCTGGGATTCCTTCCATCGAACTTTTCTGGATGTCATCTGTGGGTCCCTTCCAGGCCTGTGGTTCTGTGTCCAGCAAAGTTTGGAATCTAATAGATGAAGCTGTTGAGCCGGTCAGATCAGCCTCTTTGTAAGGAAATGGCCTTAGCTGGCCAGTTCAATGCTCTCATCAGCATCTCAAAGAGTGAGCCTTGTTGCCACAGTGATAGCAAGAGGATGATGCTGTCCAGGAATGGGGCAAGCACAGCACTGTGTTCTCATCAGCTTCCCAGAACACAGTATCAACTTGCTATGTGACCACCCAGCCTCTAAATAGTACAAACTTCTACTGTCTTGCATGACACACAGTCAGGGTTCATGCATACCTAGCAGACCCCTTTAGACATCCCTGGCTAATTGCTAAGATCTCAGGAGGAGGGACTGCTTTTCCATGATTAGTGGAATGCCACCTTCTGACACTTAGGAAGCGGGTCTTCTTGGTGGTGGCACCTACCTTCCCACACGAAGTTGCCACCATCAGATGCTGATATATGACCCAAAGGCACTAACCCGCCCCCTTGTGCCACAGCCTCCCGAGAACAGACCTTGCTCGACACCAGTGACGATGGAGGCGAAATTGTCATCCAGCAGGATCATGTCAGCAGCATTTTTGGCTGCGTCGGATCCAGCAATGCCCATTGCCACACCGATGTCAGCTTTCTTCAGCGCTGGGGAATCATTCACCCCATCTCCTGTTACTGCCACAATAGCACCCTGCGAACAAGGAGAGAGAGAGAGAGAGAGAGAGAGAGAGAGAGAGAGAGATGGGCCTCCTGCAGATGGATGTTTTATTGCAGGTGCATGCTGTTAATACATCCGCAACACAATCTTAGCACATCCGTGGTGGATTTACCCCATTCTTGTTTGTTCTTTTATGTTTCCCTGGTGATCCCACATTTACTGCTGTCCTGAGCAGGAACAGTGCAACAAAAGTGGGAGATAAACAAACCGGAACATTTTTGATATACAGTGGTACCTCGGGTTACAGACGCTTCAGGGTACAGACTCCGCTAACCCAGAAATAGTACCTCGGGTTAAGAACTTTGCTTCAGGAAGAGAACAGAAATCGTGCGGCGGCAGCGGGAGTGGTACCTCAGGTTAAGAACAGCTTCAGGTTAAGAACGGACCTCTGGAACAAATTAAGTTCTTAACCTGAGGTACCACTGTAAAAGGTTACAGGATTGCAGCAGGAAGTTACAGGATGCATAGGGATTGGCAACGAAGCAGTGTGACCGCCCCCAAAGCTTTTGCAGGGACAAACACTATTGAAAGTGGGATTGTGTGTGACATTATGAGCAGAAATCATTACTAACGTGCAATAGAAAGGATGTCTGGATGGGCTCATTCAGGGATCTGCAGATGGAACCTGCACCAAAATGTTGCCGTATGGAGTTCAGAGTCCCAGGCAGCCAGTCCTGCCCTTTTCCAGGATATTCCATTCCAGTCCCCCCATCAAAAGTCAGTTATCATTCCATGTGGACTGAGCATGCTCAGTTCTCATTGGGCTGTCCGCACACCCCAGACTGCTTAGTTTCCCCTCCTAAAGATTTTTGTCCTTCTGCACACCTTGAGGTTTCCTCAGGTGCTTTGTCTTGTTACACAGATAGTGTTATTTTGGATGCACAACCATCGACGCTCATGCCTGAAGACTGGAAATGGAGGGAATGATAATCGTATGAAGCAGGTGATCCAAATTCACCACGCCCACAATACCTTCTGCAGTTAGGGTTTTGTGCCCCTTACCAATTTCTGACAGCTTTCCACAATGATGAGCTTCTGTTGTGGGGAGGTGCGAGCAAAGACCATCTCTGGGTGCATTTTGAGGATCTCCACCAACTCCTCAGTTTCCATGTCTTTCAGCTGCCCCCCATTGACCACACAGGCTCGGGCGTCCCTGGATGCCGAAGCAGAGAAAGGGAGAGCCCCAGGGTCACATACATAGACAGGCCCTTTGTAGTGGCTGCACCAATAATTGTGGGGAAAGTGGCATGGATGGGCCCTTTTCTGATTGCCTTTTTGCTGGCTGGTCAAGACATTCTTATTTCAGCAGCCTTCTGCCTGCTATGTTCATTTTGACATGTCATCAATGCCACTGTTGTTTCAGTTGGGTTTTCAATGCATATTTTATGGATTTGTATAGTTGCAAAACACTTTCCATTTTACATTGTCCTGCAATTTTACATTGTTGAAATCTGCCCTGAGTGATTCATGGGCACTAGAAGGGGTGAGACAAAAGTTTTTTTGTATAAATAAAGAGCCTCAAGTTTTCAAGTGAGAGCCTCTCATCAGCAACAAACAAGATGTAGAGTTGGTGTTTTCAATGTCGGACAAACACAACTCTGTCCTTCCTTTGTTTCAGTGTGGCTGGCTTACCACATTTTGAAGGAAGTGACCCTCTGTAGATGGAGAACTTCCCCCTGTATGGTGACTATTATACCCAGAGTCTAAAGTCACCTAATTGCACTTTGTGATGCTTCTGAGCAGGGTGGATAAAAATCAATGATTTTTTAAAAAAAAATAATTTAAAATATAGGATTTTTTAAAATTTAAATCGGATTTTTTAAATAAAATGCTTTTGGATGAAAAATCTTTCTAAAGATAGTTTTCTATTTAAGTTACATTATAGTCCAAAGGCTATTCATTAGGAAATAAGAATTTGTTTTAAGTTTTTCATGTGTGCTAAAACTCAGTCTAAGTTTTTTTTTTAATGTTTAACCACATCCGTTAACAAACATGGATACATATGCTATAATGTTATTGTTTGAGTTAAATAAATTGTTTAAATTGTTTAAATTGTTATTAAGGAAATGATTATTTTTCTCCTCCCAATAAAGTACAGCAGAAAAGTTGTCCCAATATAAACAGTTAACTTATTAAACCTCACAATAATTTTATAATTATCTCTGTCTATGTATTTCTAATAGTACAACCAAATCAGTAATTTTTGATATAACTACTCTGAAAATTTATTATTCCAAAAATGAAACCTTCATCTGGTTGTAAATATGAAGGTTATACCAGCAAGAATGAGTCTTTCTGTAAAAAAAAAGATTTAAACTAAGTCTTACTGACTAGTGATTTGAATGGTGATTTAAATCAATTTGATTTAAATCAAAGCCACGCTACTTCTTTTTAAAAAATATATCTTTATTAATTTAAAATAAATACAGATGTACATACAAGTAAACAAACATACAATCAAACAAAAAACAAATAACAGAAAAATCGAACAAACCACCACACTATAAGATATAAGAAGATTAATATAATTATCATCATATATACTCCTGGTACAAAGCCATGCTGCTTCTGAGGCAAAGCTCTCTGTGTTTAGATACTCACCGCTTGTTGACCTGCTCCACGGGAATGCGCAGGCGGGTGGCGATATCTTCGACCGTTTCGCTGCCCTCAGAGATGATGCCCACACTGGCAGCAATGGCCTTTGCGGTGATGGGATGGTCTCCTGTCACCATGATCACCTGGAGAAGACAGGGCAGCGGTTCAAAATGGCCGTTCCTGAAGTGATCTTTGGTTGTCGTTGCATCAGCACAGATCGAATAAGCCTGACTGGAAAATGCTGATGAGAATGTTGGTCTAGGTTCAGGGAGGCATCTGCACTATACATATAAAGCACAATGAGACCACTTTAAACTGTCACGGCTTCCCCAAAAGAGTCCTGGGAACTGTAGCTGGTTATGGGTGATGCTAGGAGACACTCCTCCCCACCACAAAGCTACAATTCACAGAGTGGATTGTGGGAATTGAAGTTCTGTGAGGGGAATAGGGGTTGCCTAACACCCCTCAAGACCCTGAACAAGCTACAGTTCCCAGGATTGTTTGGGGGAAGCCAATGAGTGTTTAAAGTGGTATGATATTGTATGGTGCAGATGGGGGTCCTGGATTCAAATCCTAGCTCATCCATAAAGCTACTTGGGTAGCTGACCTTGGCTCAGTCACAGTCCCTGAGTTTGTCTCAAGGGAGGGTAGGAAATACATGTACAGTGGTACCTCGGGTTACATACACTTCAGGTTACAGGCGCTTCAGGTTACAGACTCCGCTAACCCAGAAATAGTACCTTGGGCTAAGAACTTTGCTTCAGGATGAGAACAGAAATCATGCCCTGGCGGCGCGGCGGCAGCAGGAGGCCGCATTAGCTAAAGTGGTGCTTCAGGTTAAGAACAGTTTCAGGTTAAGAACGGACCTCCGGAATGAATTAAGTACTTAACCCCAGGTACCACTGTAGTTTTAATGTCAGGCCTCTGACCTTTAAAAAAAAGAAAGGAAAAGCTTTCCCAGTGAATCAGAATCACATCATTTTATATTCAGGAATGCTCAGTCCCTGCCTCTAATTTAATTATTTATTTAATGATAGTTTGTTTTATTATTAAGTTTATATCCCACCTTTCCACCAAGGTGGCACACGTGGTTTCCGCCCCCCCCCCAGTGATGTTCATCGTGACTGAGTGGGGATTTGAACTCTGGCCTCCCAAGTCCAAGTTTGACATTCTGACCACTAACCCACACTAGCTACATACCACTGCAACTCTATATATGACTAACGGCCACTAGAGATATCATCCCTATTGCCCATACAAAATGTAAATTATTATTTTTTGCCAAGATGCTTGTTACTAGGGATGACTTAAGACATTTTGCAGCCAGCAGTGAAGAACAAGATGGTGCCCACCCCCAAGCCCTGCATGCCTCCCATTTCCACAATCAGAAGCTGGCTGAACTGGCAGGTGAATCTTATTCCAGTATTGCCTAGCCTTGAATCCTCAGATGTTGGACTACAACTCCCATCATCCCTGACCATCGGTCCATTCTGGCTGAGGCTAATGGGAGTTGTTGTAGTCCAACAACATCCGGGGGACCAAGGCTGGGAAAGGCTGCCTAACACTGGTGACAGGATAGTGCGGGTGAAGAACAGACTGTGTCCTGCCCTCCAACAGAGGGGAATGGCACACAGTCTCAGGAGAAATGCTGCCGCTCCTCCCAGGATCTGCCACCTGAGGCAGTGACCTCACTCTGTCTAATGATAGGGCCGGCCCTCTTGGTTGCTGTTAATTTTTCCGACGGAGCCAGAAACACCCCGGAACAGCTGGCAGCATACCCGGATGCCAGCGGTGCGGCATTTCATAACGGCATCGGGAACGGTGGCTCTGGGCGGATCAATCATGGAGATGAGGCCTGCAAAGCAGAGCCCACTGGTGGGGAAGTTCATCTCGTCACTGTCGAAGTTGTAGCCACGTGGGAACTCGCTTTGGGGAAGGTACAGGTGGCAGAAGCCTGCGGGGAAAGAGAGAATCATGGTGAGGCCTCTGCCAAGGGTGGACACTTAGAGGCATCGTCAGAAAAAGAGGAAACATATCACCAGAGAAGAGGACATGGATCTGCATATAATCTGCATATGGTAATATTTTCCTTTTCAGTATTGTTTTACTACTAGGTTGTTTGCCACCTTTGGAAGGAAGGGGCAGGGTAGAAATGCAATTAATAATGTGTAGAGATGTGCATTTAGAAATAATTGGGCCACATCCACACCATACATTGAAAGCATTATGCACTTTGAAGAGTCATGGCTTTCCCCCAAAGAATTCTGGGAGCTGTAGTTTGCTAAGCGTGCTGAGAGTCGTTCGGAGACCCCTATATTCCCCCACAGAACTACAATTCCCAGAGTGGTTTAACAACCAAACACGGGGAATTTGGCTCTGGCTCCACCTACTGCTGGCCTCCTGGACTCCTACCCTTGTGGTCTCATTGGACACTTGCTTAGGAAGGTCATCGCTCAGGGGCAGAGCACCTGCCTTGCATGCAGAAGGTATCAGGTTCAATCCCCAGCATCTCCAGGTAGGGCTGGGAGAGATTATTTATCTAAAACCTTGGACAGCAGTTGCCAGTCAGTGTAGATGATACTGACTTAGATGGGCCAATGGTCCAACTCAGTACAAGGCAACTCCTTGTGTTTCAGCCAGTTGACATGCCAGTTGCCAGGATCAGCACAAGTACCGGGCATCCTCAGGATGAGTGCTGGGCGGCTTGGAGCTGTCATTGACATTTCTCACAATGCCCTTTGATGTTCCAACACCCCAAGCCATTGTGGGAGAGTGAAATGGGAGCTCCATGTCACTCCTGAGAGCACTGACACAGAAAATCCATGAGAGGGAGAGAGAGTTTTGCTACGTGTTCCCTCAAATCTATACAGCTGGCTCTGATGGTACCTCAGAATACAGACCTGGCCTTTATCAGGTCCCAAGTTCTACCAACAGCACCCACACCCACCCCTCACCCTCCCGCCTTACCCAGTACACGCTCGCCCAGCCCGCCAAGGTCCATGTAAGCTGTTTGGAAAGCCTCCTTCCACTGTTCATCGAGGGGCAGCTCTTGACCCTTGATCATGATAGTGGAGCAGCGTTCCAGGATGCGCTCGGGAGCTCCTTTCATCACCATCAGGTAGCGCTGGTCTCGAGGGTCATCGAGCTCATGGATGGACAGCTGGAGCGAAGAAGGGGAGCAGGAGACACAGGAGGACTCGTTCATAAAAATATGCCCTGCGTTTTAGCTTCCTTTCTTTCAGCCTCTCGTTGGGGAGAGCGGGACTGAGGCCTAGTCTGGGCACACGGCAGACAATGGTGCCATCAGGGCACAACTTTTTTTGGGGGGGCATTCTGCAGAAGGATCACCCCCAAATGCAAGAGGGGTGGGTTTACGACATGTTGAAGTAAGTGATGTCATAGGCACTGCTATTCAAAATCCAGAGTCCAAAATGATCTAATGGTACACACTGACAGTGGAACTGGTAGACTGCACTGCTTCAGGATGTGGGCAGCATGTGAAAAACAAACAAACAACAACAGCAACATCTCCCCACAAGTTCAATACAATAACGAGCAAATTAGAGAAAAAGCTTCATCCCCGACCTACTCCTTGCAGTGCTAAACTTCTACTTGCCTGAAGTTTTTCTTTTTTTAAAAGAAACAAACATCCCCCATAGAGGAGCATTCAAAAATGTGACCTTGCATTCTGAAGCGATGTAGTCCACTCCACCACCTTGGCACTCTAGCACAGGGGTGGGGAACCTTTTTATTTTTAGACCAAGGGCCACATTCCCTTCAAAGCAACCTTGTGGGGGCTGCATGCCAGTGGTGGGTGGAGGGCTGAGGCAAAATCAGGAGCAGCAACCCATGTAAATGTTTCCTATATCCTTCATCTATGCCAGCAAGGGGCGTTATCAGAGGTGAAGCTTGCTTTGCAGGCAGGGTTGGTGAGTACAGAAGAGAACTGGGTCCTTATGGGCCAATGGGCTGCCTCAGAGTTTTCTGCAGTTCATTCTGAGCTAACTGAACAAGGGTGGCTGAGGCTGGCAAAGGCCTAGTCAGCCCTCCGGAGCAGAGTCAGCGGCTGACCTGGAACTTGTTGGTGGAGTTGAAGGGGATCTCGCAGGCTTTCTTGTAGCGGTCCCGGTACTCCATCACATTGCCCAGGGTGATCTCAGAGAACTTCAGCAGGGCTGTCTCCGAGGCGTCTCCGATGACGATCCGCTGGGGTCAGATGCCAAAGAGAAAATGGACATAGGTCAGTACAGCTGAAATGCAGCGCCAGGGGCGAGGAGAGAAAAGGCACATTTTAGAACCAGCCCTGATGATCTGGAGACACCATCTCCACAAAAGGGACTGACAAGTTTACTTACAGATTGACTGGAGATGGAAGAGTCTCTGAGCATAAGAAGAAGGCAACCTATTGCCACACATGTAGGATTGGTGGGCAGGGCGTAGGCTCCTCCAGGCTTGATTTGACACAAACAAGCACCAGAGATACAGTCTTCCCTCAACCCTGGGTCCTCAGATGCTGTTGGACCACCTCCCATCATTCCTGGGCATTTGCCAAGCAGGTTGTGGACGATGGGCTTTGTAGTGTTTTCCCTATATGTTATTATATTGTGAATCGCTTCAGGATGCTTTATGGGAAGCAATTCACAAATAGAACGAAGAATAATAGTTCAACAGTGCCTCTGCTTATCGATGGATTTGGTTGATTCAATAATATATGATATTATTACTCCTTAAGATTCATTCCACCCATGAGAGTAATGGCTTTTATGTTATTCTGTGTTTAAAGGCTTCTATCTTTATTGTACCAGCCTGATGTGTAGTTGTGGTGGTGGTGTTGTTGCTGCTGCTGCTGTTAACCCAATGATGTGTTTTCTTTAAGTTGCTTTTCTTGCTTTAATTAAAAAGTATATTATTAGTTTAAACAAATACTATTTGAATTATTATTTGAAACATTAGCTTCAGCTAAGTTGCTGCATTGTGTACTTTTGGACGGCACATTTACTAGCAGAAACGTATTCCAGCCATATCCCATTGCTCTTCCTTACCTTTGGGACAGGGACGCTATCCTGGCCTGATTTGAAAAAGGCGCGGTTGCAGAGGCTCACCACTTTGCAGAGAGCTCTCCACGTCTCAGAGGACTGATCAAAACTTTGCCCTGGAAGGCACAAAATGAGACAGAGTGAGGGGAGGTGGCGCTAATAGTTTTTTTCTGTATCAAACGGCTTAGGACTGAGTTATCCAAAGGATTGCTTTCACCCATATGAACCCGCCTGGGCCATGACATTAGCCTCGGAGGCCTTGCTCACTGCAAGCGTTTAATGATTCTAATGAACTGGTATACTGGTGTCCATTATAGTTCAGATATTATTGATTTATTTGAGGTGCCTGTGGTCCCTACCCTTTACCCAAGAGTCCCAGGGTGGCCAACCATTACATTAAAATAACAAAAAAATGTCCAGCAGCGCCTTAGAGACCAACTAAGTTTTTTCTAGGTATAAGCTTTTGTGCGCATGAAACAGAAGTCACCAGACCCTTATATAGAGAGGGAGGACATAAATCTGACATCAGGAATCACAAGACAGAGAAACCAGTAGGAGAACACTTCAATCTCACAGGACATTCAATACAAGATATCAAAGCAGCTGTCTTATTACAAAAGAATTTCAGAAACAGATTTGAAAGAGAAGTTGCTGAATTACAACTTATTACTAAACTGAAAACAACGGAGAGACCTGGTCCGAATAGAGATATTGGATTCTTGTCTCATTACACATGCTAAAGCTATTTTTGGTCATCTGCATACTATCTCTTGCTTTTTCCTGTAGGACTAATTGCAGTAATTAACAATCGTCAACAGGTTTATCATACTCATTGAGACAATCACCCATCTCCTACTACGCTTCTGAGAAATACCCCACCCCACCCTCTCTCTCTATATAAGGGTCTGGTGATTTCTGTTTCAGAGTATCTGAAGAAGTTTGCATGCACACAAAAGCTTATACCCAGAACAAATTTAGTTGGTCTCTAAGGAGCTACTGGGCAATTTTTTATTTTTATTTATTTATTTCGCCTGTGTCAGACCAACATGGCTACCTACCAGAAATTAAAATAACAATTGACATGGTGACACTGCATGGTGGTTTCTGACATCAAGGAGCAAGTTTCTGGCTGTGTTTGGATATGATTGGTCGTGCTGGGTGGCAGGAGGAGGGAGCTGACAGCCATGACCACCTGCTGGACTGCTTCTAAGTAGGAAGGCAGGCAGGTGGGGGCAGGTGGGAGAAGATGGTGGAACAGTGCCCTATTCACCCTAATGGACCAGCCTCCACCAATAGCCATGGATGATGGGAACTGTAGTCCAATAACACACATATTCCGCACCCCTGATTTAAATCAATTGACCCTGCCTTTCCTGGCCCACCCTATCCATTAGTCTCTCGGACACAAGTGCCTCTGGCCCAGCATTTGTGAAGCCCAGACTCTGCACCTGACTGATCTTCTGTGGTGTCCGCTGTATGGATCTGGTTGTCAAACCAAAGGTGGGAGACAGTCATGCGGTTCTGAGTGAGAGTCCCTGTTTTATCAGAGCAGATGACAGAAGTTGAGCCCAGCGTCTCGACGGCCTCCAAGTTCTTCACCACACAGTTCTTCCGGGCCAGGCGTTTGGCTGTGAGGGAAAGACAAACCTATGAAGAAAGAGAGAGAGACAAGGACAGAGAGATGGAAATGTAGAAAACTTCAGCTGAAAATACTTATAATGAAGGAAAGGTTACCATGTTTCAGGCTTTGGGGCTGCATACTACAACACTAAATCACATTTGAAACACATTTCTCCCCTCAAAGAATTCTGGGAATTGTAGTTTATCCCTCATAGAGTTGCAATTCCCAGCAACCCTGTACAAACTACAATGCCCAGAATTCCTTGAGGGGCAAAATTTGCTTTGAATGTGCTTCAGAGGAATAGCGTGTACACAACGTTTGTTAAAAGTGAGCAAGAGGGGCATGATAAATCTATGAAGATTATGCATAAAGTGGACAGGGGAATTTAGTTTTCTCTCTTTCTAATAAATCTGTAACTCTGAGGCATCCACTGAAGCTGAATGTTGGAAGATTTGGGACAGACAAAAGAAACATGTCGAGGGCTACATGTTCCCCACCCCTGCCCTAAAACCGAGGGAGAGCGATACTTACAGTGACAGTTGCCAGAAGGCCCTCGGGGACGTATGCCACCACAATGGCCATGAAGAAGACCATGGCCTTAAGAAAGGGGTATCCAATCACCATGGCGACCACAAAGAAGGTGGCCCCAAAGAAGATGGCCAGACCAGCAATGATGTCGACAAAGTGCTCTATCTCGATGGCGATGGGCGTCTTCTCATTCTCCACGCCCGAAGCCAGGCTGGCAATGCGCCCAATGATGGTACGGTCCCCAGTGTTAATGATGATACCCGTGGCTGTGCCTGAGAGGACACAGGCAGATAAACAGAGCTGGTATGGGTTCATAAACGTGACCCCCCAAACTTCTTTAGTTAGGGGCATGTCCAGATGGCCAAGCCCCCCAAGGTGCATTCTTCACGATGGGAAACCATTCGTAAAGACTCTGTGTGGATTTGGGCCAGGCCCTGCCAGCTTTGTAGATCACGGGAAGCAGCGATGGTTGAGCAGCTTTTAATGGTCCTCCCACTGCCTCACTCAGGATGAAGACCCTCAAGAAAAGTGGTCAAGGACTGCATACTGGCAGTGGGCAGGGCCAAATCCCAAAGCAGGACCATAATATAGATATATGCACTACACACACACACACACACACACTTCTCTCTCTCTCTCTCTCTCTCTCACACACACACACACACACACACACACACACACTGTCCACCCATTCACACACACTTGGACACCTTCCTACCTTCTAAGCACATGGTAGAGAAGAAGGCAATGTTTCTAGTTTCCAGGGGGCTCTCGTGGGTGCACTCGGGGGCTCTTGTCTGAGGCTCTGATTCCCCAGTCAGAGAGGAATTATCCACCTGAAAGGGAGAGAGAGAAGCGTGATTCATGCATGTGGCTATTTGCCATGGACTGCCTCTCCCCACATGAACTGACATGGTCCTCACCGAGATAATCATCTGAGGCCCTTCTTTGTGTGCCCTCTCCATGGGACACAAGAAGGAGCCTTTTCAGTGGTGGCCCCCTGCTTGTGGAACGCTCTCCCCATGGAGGCATACCTGACACCATCTTTATGTACTTTTATGTTACAGGCAAATATTTTTCTCTTTATCTGGGCTTTGGTCCTTAATTTCAAGGGTGGCATGGTGGCCTCTATTAGAGGGGCATATCTGCATAACTGTGTTTTTAGCTTTCCCCCTTGGTTTTATAAATGTAATTTGTTTTGCGCCACTCTGTGAGAAAAGGGACTAACGAATATTGATATTAATATCAAAAGCCCTTGCCTACCCCTCGCTTTCCTCCCTGAAATTTACCCTCCTGCATCAAGACGGCATTCTAGAAAGGTGGGTTTTATCCAATGTTTGTTAGCCTCAGAGTAGACCCTTGGAAATTAAAGGACACCATCACCTTAGGCCCATCAATTTCAGTGGGTGTATTCTGAGCAGAATTGAGTTGGATACAAACTCTTTGCATGTAACGAACAGGTGAGTATGGACGCCTGGATAGGTGAAAATTCGTTGGCAGGGAGGGATTTGTTTAGGTAAAAGCGGCTGGTGGGGAAAGGGTGAAGCCCTGTGCTTCTCTGCTGCAACTGCGTAGAAGTGGCTATCAGGATTCACATGCTCCAAGTGACCAAGTAATGCGTCAGCTCCCTTCCCAGTCCCATCTTGTCCAGCACTTTCTTCTCACAGTGGCCAACCAGATGCTTCTGGGAAGTCCCCAAGCAAGGTTGTAGCCTTCTTGCACTGTCTTTCTCCAACAACAGGCATACTGCCTCAGGTAGTGGAAGTGGTACATAGCCATCATACGTTGTAGCTATTGGTAGCCTTGTCTTCCATGAATTTATCTACTTCTCCCCAGGCAAAAAAAATAATCAGACTTTATGGTTTGCTTCATCCAGGAGAGGGCAGCAGAGGCACAAGCTACGAGAAGGTAGGTTTTGCTTAGAATTTCCCCCTTCCCACAAAGGTCTTGTGTACCTTGCAGCCTTGCGAGGTGATAATCCTGATGTCTGCTGGGACTCGGTCTCCCCCTTTGATCTCCACCAGGTCGCCCACCACCAGCTGATTGGCGTTGATCTGGAACTTGTCGCCATCTCGAATCACTGTGGCTTGCTGTGGTCGGGAGGAACAAGAGTCAGACGTTAAAACTTGGAAACCTATAAATCAAACCACACCTCCAGATGGGACTATTGTAATGCGGGGTGCGGGTGGCGCTGTGGTCTAAACCACTGTGCCTCTTGGGCTTGCCGATCAGAAGGTTGGCTGTTCAAATCCCCACCACGGGGCGAGCTCCCGTTGCTCTGTCCCAACCTAGCAATTTGAAAGCACGCCAGTGCAAGTAGATAATTAGGTACTGCTGTGGCGGAAAGGTAAATGGCAGTGTTCCGTTGCGCCAGAAGCAGTTTGGTCATGCTGGCCACATGCCCTGGAAAGCTGTCTGTGGACAAACGTCGGCTCCCTCGGCCTGAAAGTGAGATGAGCGCCACAACCCCACTGGACTTAACCATCCAGGGGTCCTTTACCTTTACCTATTGCAATGCACTGTATTTGAGCCTGCTGCCATGATCATGCAGCACCTCTGCTGAAATAGCAGCACTGGCTGGTAATTTGCTGCCTAGCCATGGCTGTCTACACATTACTGCTTATTCTGGTTCCAGTGTTCTCCCACTGCTGGTGTTTTTGAAGCTGAATAGTCATGACATTAGGCACAGTCCATAGGTGTCTTGTAGCTATCTCGCAGTTTACCCATCAACATCTTCTGCCTCATCCCTTTAACTGAAGATGCTTGGGATCAAACTTATTATTATTATTATTATTATTATTATTATTATTATTTAAATAATATTTATTACTTTTATAGATTACAAAAAGAGAAAAAAAAGCAAAAAGGAAAAAACAGAAAAAAGAACAAAGGAGAAAAACAAAAAGAAGAAAAACAATACAATACAATATATAAACAATACAAAACACAACCTAAACTCAAAACTAAACACATTAACCTAAACTAAACAAACCCCACTCCCTAACCTTAACCCTGAATCAAACTTATTATTATTGTTGTTGTTGTTGTTTAGTTGTTTAGTCGTGTCCGACTCTTTGTGACCCCATGGACCAGAGCACGCCAGGCACTCCTTATTATTATTATTACTCCTTATTAATAATAATAATAATTAATTAGATTTATATACAGCCCTTCATCATAAGATTTCAGAGTGGTTCGCAGAATAAAATATAGGATAAAAACAAGTTTAAGGTTCCTGCTTGGTGCAATGAATTCTTCCTTCCATATGCTAGCAGAAACTCTTCCCCAGAAGATAAAGAGAAGTCAGGGGAACTCTGAATTCCCTCATTTAATTGATCTTAACAAAATAAGTTACTGACCACAGAAGAAAGCACTCAAAGCATGAAGTCTGCTGCTGAGCTATGATTTCTTTCCTTCAACTATTTGGGTGCAGCAGGAGTAGAAAAGATCAAATGTTCTCTCTTACATTCCTTTAGTCTCCTATGGCTATTTTTCATTAAAAGAAAGAAAGAAAGAAAGAAAGAAAGAAAGAACTTGGAATTGCCAGTTTCACTTCTACAAATTACAGGAGCCTGATCTGTGGTTGTGTGTGCACACCTGCGTGTAAACCTGGTCTGATCCTTCACTGCCTTCAGCCACATTTGCAACAGCAGTCACCCAGGAACTTTCCCCTTACCTGCGGCACTAGATTCTTGAAGCTCGCAATGATGTTGGTGCTTTTGAATTCCTGGTAGTAGCCGAAGCAGCCGGTCACGACCACGACAGCAATGAGAGCAATAGCCAAGTACAGCTATATGGGGAAGAAAGCAAAAAAGAGCCTATGATCTTTGTGTAGTATTTTGTCACTCCAGCAGCTGTTATGCCTTCAGTTTCCACTTTAAAATTCTGCATTTGTTGGAGCATCACTGCTGGGTGACCTGAACCACATAACCTTTCGCTCACCAGTTTTATTTCTCGCCACTGTGTCCTCCTCATAGCATCTTTTAAGTCAGGGATGCAGAGGGGAATGGACAACAGGGCCCTCCAGGTGTCATAGGACTCCAGCTCCCATCAGCCCCAGCCAGGATGGCCAAAGCTCAGGGATGATGGGAGTTGTAGTCCAGTCACACCTGGAGGGACTACAGCTTCTCCCAGCCCTGCTTTTGGCACTTACGTTGTCTGCACTGGTGAGGTCACCTTGCCCGAGCTGGATGCCAAAGGCAATGAGGCAGATGGCTGCTGCCACCCACATGAGACACTGCAGCCCCCCGGCCAGCTGGCGGGCAAACTTCACATACTCAGGAGTGCCCTTGGGGGGCTTCAGCTCATTGGGGCCATCACGAAGAAGGATCTCTCCTGCCACAGTGCTGCTCAGGCCCTGGAAGTAGAGAGTAGGGGAGGCAGGACCATTAGAAATACTTCCCCCCAGGACTGGAGTTGGGGAATAGACAATTCTGAGTCCCTAGCTTGTCCTCTGCTTTGACAGTCCCAAATATTTGGGTCCAAGAAGGCTACCTCCCTGAAGTGTAGGTGGGTTCCCATGAGGCAAGACAGACTGATAACAGGAAGAACTTTTATTGAACTACATCACTGGGAAACAGAGTCAAAACAACTGCTTATACAGTGGTAACTTGGGTTACATACGCTTCAGGTTACATTCGCTTCAGGTTACAGACTCTGCTAACCCAGAAATAGTACCTTGGGTTAAGAACTTTGCTTCAGGATGAGAACAGAAATTGTGCTCTGGTGGCCCCATTAGCTAAAGTGGTGCTTCAGGTTAAGAACAGTTTCAGGTTAAGAACGGACCTCCGGAACGAATTAAGTACGTAACCAGAGGTACCACTGTATACATTTCTGTAAGCCTGGGCCACTCCCACTCCCAACTTGATTGGCTGTCTAAACTTCCAGACTGCGAATCACGACTCAGAGTTCAAGGGCCAATGGCAGAGGCCCAAATCCTGAAATGTTCTGTGATTGGACAACATGTATCAAATCAGAACACAGGCGCTCAGAATCCTTAGTCCAGACTCAAGCTCAGGCAAACACAGACCACTGAAAACACAACACTCCCCAAAGCCCATTTGGTGGCTGTGCTATAGCTGGAGGCAGTAATGCTTCTCAATCAACAATTTCTGGAAGATACAGGAGGGGAGAAGACTCATGTTCTCAGGTTCTGCTGGAGGGTTTTTCCACAGCTATCTGAGTGGCTGCTGTGAGAACAGGATGCAAGATTACATTGGCCTGATCCAGTAGGCTGTTCTTATGTTCGTTTACTCCCAAGACTATGACGTGCGTTCCAAAGAGATCATGAAAGCAAATGTGGGTTGGGTGGGGAGAAAACTTCTTCAACTTTTCTTTTACAAAAATGCATGGTTGGGAAAAAAATGCACCTTGAGATCAAATCTTGATATGGCAAAAGAACCGATTTCAAACGGATTGTGTTTCTAAAAGTTCTGACACAGTAGCTCAATATTTGCCAGAAGAGCTGGGGCTTTTAGCTAAAAAAACAAAACAAAAAACCACAACAATTGAATTCTCTTGGAAATAAAGTTAGTTGGATAGTTTAAGTACTCCTTCTTACCTAAGAAGCATAATATAAGGTCCAGAGGTAGCATTATTATCAATTTAAGGTGGGGTGGAAGGTTCACAGGCTATAAAGGACTTGCTCACTAATTTATTGACTGCTACACGAATTATGATAGCTAGGAAGTGGAAGGGGCAAGCAGAATATAAAATAGGAGAATGTTATAAAGAGGTGTGGGGATATAGCTATTAATGATCAATAAACATGTGCCATTAAGGCAGTGGCGTAGCGTGGGGGGTGCAGGGGGGGCCGGCCGCACCGGGCGCAACATCTGGGGGGGGGGCACGCTGGCACTCGCAGCTCTCTGCCCCTACCGGGTTAGGGGGCGCAAATTACTTGCCTTGCCCCGGGTGCTGACAACCCACGCTACGCCACAGCATTAAGGTAAGATGGGGAATACGCAGGAGAAATGATTTCGAGGAAATATGGAAGGTGTTTGTAGAATCTGTACTGTTAAACAGAAAGGGGTCAAACCATCGCAAGGGGTATTGAAATTTTGCGAGGTTGGAATGGTTGGGGGTGGGGGTGCACATTTTTATTCTTATTTATTTATTATTATTACTTTGTCAAAATAAAAAAGAAAAAAAAGAAAAAAGAAAAAGCATAATATGCCACTGACGTTGTGAGGTAATATGTGCTTTGAGTATGAATTTTGACATTTTGGACACATTTTTAAAATCCCTGTAATATTTTGTTTCAACACTAGATGGCGCACAAACATTCAGATCGGGAGGACCCCAGACAAGAATACACCACACTCAGATTGTCGCATATCCCCTCTTTAAACCTGTGGGCATCACCTTGGTGACACTGGTCCGATGCTTGAGCTCCAGGTCTTCTATGGACAACTGGTGATCGTCCTAAAAGGGAAAGCAGACCCAAGATGAAGAGAGAGTGGCTTCAGAGGGGGGAGGGAAAGGGATATTGGGTGGCAGGGACTGCCTGCAGCTGCCGCTGCCTCACAACTACCACATAAAAGGTAAAAAAAGAGAGAAAAGGTAAAGGGCCCCTGGATGGTTAAGTCCAGTCAAAGGCGACTATGGGGTTGCGGCGCTCATTTCACTTTCAGCTCGAGGGACCTGGCGTCTGTCCACAGACAGCTTTCCGGGTCATGTGGCCAGCATGACTAAACCGCTTCTGGTGCAACAGAACACCATGATGGAAACCAGAGCGCAAGGAAATGCCGTTTACCTTCCCTATTTATCTACTTGCACTGGTGCGATTTCGAATTGCTAGGTTGGCAGGAGCTGGGACAGAGCAATGGCAGCTCACCCTGTCATGGGGATTCGAACCGCCGACCTTCCGATCGACAAGCCCAAGAGGCTCAATGGTAAGCCTACAGGATCCCCTCAGAGCAGAAGGGACCCCGACTTAAAGCAGCCGCCATCCCTGCCAAGGTCACCCAATGAGCTTGGTGGCTGAGCAGAGATTTAAACCTGCGCCCTTTGCCAAGTCACCAAGTTGCCTTTCCAGATAACAAGTAACACTGGCAGCAATAGATAGGATGGTAAATATGATAAATAAATATTTTGGAAGTGTGACTGCAAGCAAGGGCCTTTCCTCAGTTGCCTCTCTGTCTCACGGAATAAGAGTCCCTTTGAGAATGTCCAAATCAGCATTCAGCTGACTTACCACATCCATCTCTTTCTTCATACTCTCCAACTTCTCTTTCTTCTTTTCCCCTTTCTTCTTCTTCTTGATCTTGACATCCATTTCCCCACCAGGATGTTTCTCCATTTCCACCGAGTACATCTCGTACTTGTCCTGAAGCCAAGAGTGAGGGGAAAATAGAGATTTGTGAACTTGAACTGATGCACCATGGCAATGTAATCAGCTGAAACTTTAGTTTTGGGGAAAGGCACTCTGCACATGCTCAGAAGCACATCCTTTTATTAACCGCAAGGGGAAGGGACTTATGAATAGAGGCATTATCATCTATTAACTGCTGGGAAAGGCACTTCATACATGCTCAGAGGCGCTGTCTTTCATTAATTGCTGGGGAAAGGGTACTTTGCACATGTGCAGAGGCACTGCCTTTCATGAATGGGGGAATGCAGGTGGCACAGGCTGAGAGGCACTATTAATGGGAAGGAAAGGCACTTCACACATGTTCAGAGGCCCTGTCCTTTATCGTATTCCGGAGCTCAAACCCAACAATCTCCCTTGCAGTAGAGACTGAATTCAAATTCGACAAGATAGGAGATTTTCTCAAAGTGAGGGTTCTTGTTAGGGCACCCTTTCTTTATGCCTGAGGAACTGGGTGGTGGTGGTCACGAGCTTGGCTGGATCTGTTCCTCAGCATAAGAAAAAACAACCACAACTCGAGTGGATTAATCTGCCTGCATTTGTGTAGGAGAACAAGATCAGTAGTTCTAAGCGGGGGGGGGGGGCATCCTTTCTGTGGGTTGGATGCAGTTTACTCCAGGGATAAGTGGATTTAAGATTGCAACCAAAATTAATTGAACCATGGCCAAACCACAGGTCAGCCCAAATCAGTTTGATTGGTTCAGGACTGAGGATTTTTAAACCCTGCTGATTTCAGTGGGATAATGTACTTGACCCCCCCGCCCATTTAACATGTGGGACATCTCTCTTTCTCTCTCTCTCTCCTCTCTCCCTACACATAGCAATTCTCTCAAGATTTCTCCTCATATTCTTCTCTCTAGTTGGGAGAGGGGTTGTTCATTGATATTAATTTTTTGTACTGTATCTTTATTTTTACAGTGGTACCTCGGGTTAAGCACTTAATTCGTTCCGGAGGTCCATTCTTAACCTGAAACTGTTCTTAACCTGAAGCACCACTTTAGCTAATGGGGCCTCCTGCTGCTGCCGTGCCGCTGGAGCACAGTTTCTGTTCTCATCCTGAAGCAAAGTTCTTAACCTGAAGCACTATTTCTGGGTTAGCGGAGTCTGTAACCTGAAGCGTATGTAACCTGAGGTACCACTGTATATCTTTTTAGAGTTATGTGGGAAATGTTCCATTTGGTTGTTTACTTTTTGGTGAGTTTTATTTATTGTTTATGACTACTTTTGTTATGTTTTTTTTAAAAAAAAAATTATGCACATTTTTTCATGTTGTAAGCCACCTTGAGCATGGTTTTAACTATGGAAAGGTGGCATACAAATAAAAAGATTAATTAATTAATAGTTATGAGGTTTAGGATTTTTTTTAACACCCCTGCCGGAAGCTGAGATTCTGCTCAGATGGTTGGATTCCTATTTCTACCCTGTTCTATGCTCTGCTGTGAGTTCACTGCCTGGATAACCCCAGGATATGTGAAATGAAGCCAACTTATGAAATCTTACATCTGTGCAAGACTCAACAACTGGCTCAACTTCCTAAACCCAGAATGACGGAAACTGTATTACAAATTGTCATGATTGTTCTCAGCCTTGCTATGTCTGTCGGCTGCCACTTATTCAACTTATGCAACATCTAATCTTCTATATGGGTGTTGCATTCACAATTAACAAGAAGGACTAGAACCCTCACTTTGCCTAAAAGCATGCATTGAAAGGTGGCAACACCTCACCCCGTTGGCTCTCTTTCACTAGCTAGATGTCGAACATGACAGGGTGATTTATAAGATGCCAAGGGCAGGAAGAAGCAAAGGTGCCAATTTCACCTTCTCATTTTCCACTCTTCTTTTCAGCTCTCCACATTCCCACATCACTTTGCCTGTATGCATTTTAATACAAACTGTACCCTAGTACGGTCAAACCTCGGTTGTCGAATGTAATCCATTCCGGAAGCCCTTTCGGCTTCTGAAATGTTCGAGAACTGAGGTGTGGCTTCCGATTGGCTGCAGGAGCTTCCTGTACTCAAGCTGCGTCGGATGTTTGGCTTCTGAAAAGCATTCGAAAACCGGAGTATTTACTTCTGGCATTCGGGAGCCAAAACATTCCAAAATGGAGGTGTTCGGGATCCGAGGTTTGACTGTAAATGCAATTCTGTACACAACACTTGGCTGGAGAACTGCATTGAAAAATTCAGAGCAGCGAGAATTTCAAAGTAATTGCTGTATTTTTGTTTTCATGGTGTTGAATGTTAGGAGGATTTCCTTTTAAATATGAACTGGGTAGAATTTCTCCCTCATCTCTTGTCAAGGGGGACCTTTGGAAACCATCATAGCAGAGTGCAGGTTTAACTCTGGCACTGTTGCTTTTCTGCAGATTTGTACATGAATCGAGTGGGTAGGGTTCTCCAGAAGACTGTGACACCAAGAAATGCAGAACTGGAAGGACCACATAGGACGTTTAGTCCAACTCCTGATCAATGCAGGGATCTTGCAACTGCAGCATCCCTGGCTGATGATGCTTCCAGTGCTTCAATACTTCCAGTGAAGGAGACCCTGCCATCTTGCAAGGCAGTCTGGTCTACTGTCACACAACTCATTCCATTAGGAGGTTTCTCTTAATGTATAGCAGAAAGCTGCTCTGTTGCCTTCCCCATACATCCAGTCTATTCCTGTCCCTTGAAGTAGCAATAAACAAGTCACCCCCCCTTTTGCATGGCAGAATTTCAGATATTTGAAGGCAGTTATTCTGTCTCCTCTTCTCCAAATTAAAAGCAGCCAACTCAACTGTTCTTCATAGAACTTTATTTTCCAGATTCTGCACCATCTTTGCTGGTCTATTTTGCATGCCCCGTGATATTTATGCAATAATAGTGAATTAGTGGTGGGTTCAGGCTGGGCCATCCACAAACCATTCTGCTTTATTAGCTGTTCTGCAACACCTCTCCAATTTCACTGCCACCAGGAGGGCAGTTCTTGCGCTGTAACAGTGCAACAAAAGTGGAACACTGCCCCCCCCAACAGAACATTTGTGGTATGAAAAATTACCAGACTTCAACTGGAAACTACGGGGCTTCAGAATTTGGAAACCAAGTGGTATATCTGCCCTGAAACATCTGCAGCCACAATTAGTATTGGAAGTGGGATCACGTATAGCTTCCCTGGTCCCACCACAATCACAGATCATCAAGAATTCACAAGAAAAAGGAGGCCAGAGATGGAAACCTAAAACCTCTGTAAAACGGGGGTGTCTAGGTGAAAGCAGAAGTTCCTTACCGCCTTCCCCATTTTGATTCCTTTGGGTCTGTCTTCTCTAAGGCCAACAAGACAGACCCGGGTGGGTCTTGAGTGTCAGGCTGCTGCAGGTGCTCTGTGGCTCAGGGAGGGTAAACGGTGACCCCTCTCGGGTGTCCCCCTTTTATCAATTCCTCTGGGTGCCACCTTGTCCCAGGGAGGAGAGGGGATGCCAAGCCCTCTTGCGTGCTTTTTTGAAGTCACGCACCAGGAGGTGACGGCCTCGGAAGGGAGAAAACAAACACCCATGAGAGCAGGCTTCACCTTGGACTCCCCTTTCCACCCATGGCAACTCCCTCTGGAGCAAACACATTCAGGCGTCGAAGGCAAAGACCTTGAAGGTGAGGGGGATGAAGGAACAGGCCATATAAAAGGACAGAGCTGGTGCCTAAAAAACAAGGCTCTGGGGGAAAGCCACGGCTGTGGCTCAGTGGTAGAACATCTACTTTGCATGCTGAAAGGTCCCAGGTTCGATCCCTGCCATCTCCCTGTGTGGCTGGAAGAGACCTCTTGATTCCCCCCCAGTATTAGTGGCCACTGAGCATACTCAGTTCTCACAAGGCTGTTTCTGGGTCCCCCCTCCCCAAGATTAGATTATATTTCTGCAAACCTTGTTTATATTTCCTCCCCCTTGTGCCATTTTGGCCGGAACACGAGCACATCACACTGTGACATTTTGTTGCAGGCCCCTCAATGTGTTATGATTAATGGATTTGATTTCAACCTGTGGGGTGCAGTTTATTATTATTTCTACATGTAAGCCCCCTTGATCGTTGCAACAGATACCCCAAGAGGGGAGAAAGCAATAGTAAGTTCTGGTCGGTAGGCCACTAGTTATGAACTGTGTAACTGAGCCATGAAGGACCATCAACAGCAACTCCCCCCCCCCCAAAAAAAATTTCTCTTGATGATGCCACTGTGGCAATGGCACATAAAAAGAAGGCGATGAAAGTATGGCAATTACAATATTTGTTAAGAGTGCTGAGAGTTGTTGGGAGACTCTGATTCCTCTCACAGAGCTGCGGTTCCCATAGTTCCTCAGGAAGAGACAATGTTTGCGAAACGACTTTGGAAACTGTAGTTCTACGAGGGGACTAGCGGTTGCCTTATTTATTTTATGTATCAGATTCATATAGCATCCTTCATCACAAGATCTCAAGGCGGTTCACAAGATAAAAATACCAGGTAACTCTCAGCACACCTTAACAAACATCAGCTCCCAGAATTCTTTGGGGGGGGGAGGGGAGCTGTGGCTGTTTAAAGTGCCTTTAATAGCGGTTTTGTGGCATGGTATGAATGTGACCTAAATGGGAAATGAATCAGATTTCGTCCCCCTTCCCTTCCTCTGGCACGAAGCTTTGCGAAAGAACCACAGCTGCGGTAGCCATGTCAAGTGGAAACTGCTATAGCCTCGCAGCAAGCATCCTACGTGGTCAGCCTTTCTGTGGGATTTGGAGTTGATCATGCCTCCCAACTTTGAGTTTCAGTTTGTGGTTCTTGAGTGGGAGAACGGGAGAGGTTTGAGGGCAAGCGACTTTTGCTAGCATCTGAAGAGATTTCTCATTCCCCTCCCTTTGTTAAACACATTATTTAACCGACAAACAAAAAGCACAAAAAACCCCAGATACCCCCACAGTGCATCAGGTTACACTTCCCTATTTGAAAGAGAGGAAATTCCTTGGAGGCCAGATCTGCTGCCCCTATCGATCCTGCCATCCGAAGGCTGTTGCCCCAATTTGCCTCATGGTTGGGCTGGCCCTCACTTAGACCATTCTTGCAACTCTCCTCATCCTTCCAGGGATTGTTTGTCTTGCAGCTACTAATAAGCTACCATTGTTGATAGAAATATAATAATAATATAATTAAAACCTGTTAGTTGTGTTACAGGAATTTATGTAAAGGTTGGGGGTGGGGTGGGTTGCCCCTCCAGCAGACATCATACACCCCCCCGACTACCAAACTCAACACAATCATTCCTGCATATGTCCCCACAAAACACTTCCCCCCATCTCTATTCAACAAATACAACAATTCACTGACAAATGTACAGTGGTACCTCAGGTTAAGTACTTAATTAATTCTGGAGGTCCGTTCTTAACCTGAAACTGTTCTTAACCTGAATCACCACTTTAGCTAATGGGGCCTCCCACTGCCGCTGCACCCCCAGAGCACAATTTCTGTTCTCATCCTGAAGCAAAGTTCTTAACCCGAGGTACTATTTCTGGGTTAGCAGTGTCTGTAACCTGAAGCGTATGTAACCCGAGGTACCTCTGTATCTATATACTGGCTCACTGGGAAAACTTTAGAAAGTCATATAAAATCGCTCCAGTATGGATTTGCGCCATTCCAACTTTGTTCTGTTCAGGAAACGAATGGCTACCAAGGAGGGGGGGGAGTCTGGGATGTGGGCAGCCATAATCCCTGAAACCTGGGATTACATATCTCTTGCACAAGAGATAATCACTGGCACCCTGGCAAATGGGTGCCAGACAGGCAGTTGTCTCATGGACAATGGCTAACCACCCAGGAATGGATTAGGTCCTGGGTCAGGACAAAGGAGTGTGATTACCTGATGGGAGGAAACCAGGAACTTGTAAATATCCCTATCGTGTCACTTGATGGGTGGTAGGCAAGGGAGGTTGGGGGCAAAAATGACAAACTGGTTTCTACCAGAAAACCCGTCCCTGTTTGTAATGTATGTATGGTGTATCTGGGATGTATGCATGATGCTTCACGTGAGGTGTTTATGGGAAAAGGGGAAACTGATAAAAGAGGAAGCATCCCTTTGTTCGGGGCTTCTCCCTGCTTCTTCCATGGGGTGGCTAGAAGTTCTGTTGCAACAGTCTTTTAAATAAAGACCAGGCCTACAGGCTGCTGTTTTGCTCCTATTTTCTTGGCTGGTGTCTTTGTTTTGGAATCCAAGTGAGCCCGGGAATTTTCCTTTTACAGTTGCTTTTTACGCAAAAAATAAAAAATAAAAAATCTCCAAGCAATTTACAGCATATTTAAAAACATAAGTAGAAGGCCCACACCACATCCTCTTTTTAGGATTTGCGCTCATAGAATTGCAGAGTTGGAAGGGTGGTGTGATTGTGGCTTTTATTTTGTTCATAGACAATAACAGAGGCTTGTCACGTCCCACTTTTCTCAGTAACTCTTAGCGGGCTGCCCTTTCCCTCCTTGTTCTTCGCTTTTGTTCCTTTCCCCCTGAGGGACCTTGACAGGACCTTGCACTAAAATGCCCCAGCCTTGCGCCCAGAGCTGCCTCTGGCATGTTCGCAGACCTTCGCCTTGTGCTGGAGCCAGAAATCTCTGGGGAACAGGGCCCTCCTCCCCAACCCTGGCTTATCAGCTGGTGACCTTACAAAGAGGAAGGAGAGATAGGGAAGATGAAGGATTAACGTAGACAAACACAACTCGCATATGTGAGATGTGAAAGCGTCAGTTTGCCTTCTCCACTGTTACTCAGCATTCTATTCCAGGTCACATGCTACAAACTTGCGTTAGAAGCCCTGCTGGGAGCCATGTAACCAACTGCAAACCACCCCATGTACACATGTATAACCCCGTTCTAAGATAGCTGCATTGACTTCCAGTTCATTTCTGGGCCTAGTTCAAGGTGCTCATGCCAGGACTTAAAGCCCTAAATGATTTGGGTTCCACATACCAGAAAACCTGCCTCCTTCCCTCAGAAGTGCTGGGTGGTGGTGACTCAGGAGAGGGCCTTCTCTCTTGGCAGCCCCTAAACTGTGAAATTCCTTCCCCAAAGACCCTCCAAATGCCCCTGTTTTCCAGTGCAAGTCCCGGATTTACAGAAGCCATGCTGGTTTTTTATTTGATCCCAGAATGTCCAGCTTTTCCTTAGGAAATCCCTATTTTCATTGGAGAAATGGTGGGGATTATGGAGTTATCCAACCTCATCTGAAGGCAGCCCTGTTTAGAAAAGCTTTTAAAAAATGTTTAATTTTTTTATATATGTTGGAAGCCACCCAGAGTGGCTGGGGCAAACCAGTCAGATATATATATGTTATTGTTATAAATTGGTATATTGGTGTAAATATTATTGGTATACAGTGGAGCCTTGGGTTACAGACACTTCAGGTTACATATGCTTCAGGTTACAGACTCCGCTAACCCAGAAATAGTACCTTGGGTTAAGAACTTTGCTTCAGGATGAGAACAGAAATCGCACGGCGGCAGCAGGAGGCCCCATTAGCTAAAGTGGTGCTTCAGGTTAAGAACAGTTTCAGGTTAAGAATGGACCTCCAGAACGAATTAAGTACTTAACCCAAGGTACCACTGTATTGGTATAAATATTATTGTTATTATTGAATAGGACGTCCCTATTTTCATTGGACGGGACGCGGGTGGCGCTGTGGGTAAAACCTCAGTGCCTAGGACTTGCCGATCGCATGGTCGGAAGTTCGAATCCCTGCGGCGGGGTGAGCTCCCGTCCTTCGGTCCCAGCTCCTGCCCACCTAGCAGTTCGAAAGCACCCCTAAGTGCAAGTAGATAAATAGGTACCGTTTTATAGCAGGAAGGTAAACAGCGTTTCCGTGTGCTGCGCTGGTGCTGGCTCGCCAGAGCAGCTTCGTCACACTGGCCACGTGACCCGGAAGTGTCTCCGGACAGCGCTGGCTCCCGGCCTCTTAAGTGAGATGAGCGCACAACCCCAGAGTCGGACACGACTGGCCCGTACGGGCAGGGGTACCTTTACCTTTATTTTCATTGGAGAAATGGTGCTTCTTCACTTTATGGCTTCTTCACTTTACAGCTTTTGGTGAATGCTGAAGATACACCATTTTACCCTGGCGTTTGACACCTGAGATGTATGTTTTCTGGGCCTATCCTATTCCTGTGATTTGCTTTTCGCTGTTTTCAATTCTGAATTTCCAGTCATCTACCACCCTCAGACCTGCTGAGGGCAGATAATTAATTTATTCACTCATTATAATAGATGGGAAAACAGGAAGCTGCCTTGTAACTGAGTCAGGCACCTAGTCCATCAAGCTTCATACTATCTACACTGCCTGGCAGCCACCCGCCAGGATTTAGGGCAGGTTCTTTCCCTGCCCCAGATGGAGATGTTGTGGGTCAAACCTGAGGTCTTCTGCATGCAAAGCAGATGCTCAGCTGCTGAGTTATGGCCCTGCAGAATAAGTATGAACAGCACACGTCTGTGAGTTGTGAAATGTGTAACCAACGGTTTGAATAAGGGATGAAACTATATTTCAAATTCCATAAGCCTATGTAGAATGCCTAATTGGCGGTGGCGGAGGCAGCGAGGGAAGTATTTCAGCCAGACCTATCCTTCAAGGAGCTCAAGACAGCATACAGGGTTAACTGTTGGAGATGCAATAGGGATAATGCTTCTCTAAAACGTATGTTTTTTCATTGTCCTATACTGAAAATTTTTTGGCAGAAGGTAACTGGAACCATCAACAGAACTGTATGGAACAACCATACATTTGCAGAGCAAAATATCCTCT